GTCAAAAAACATAGCAGATAAAATTTGAATAAATAAATGCCTGAATCACAAGTAGACCATTCCTTCCCTGAAATAAAAATACAATTTAGGAATTCTTATTTCTACTTTTCATTACTTGGAATGATACTAAATCTTTGCTTTTGGGAGTGTTCTTGTACAATGGGTGTTGGCTCATGGGTGACTTGATTCTTTGCTTGTCCCTCCTTTTTTACTGTGTTTGTTATGAAAGTCTTGTGGCATTTTGAGAAAGGTACTAAAAATATATTTTGATCCTAGAGGTATATTGTTTAGTATGGGAAATGCACATCAAACAAGGAGGGCTAATTAGATATATTCAAAGAAAGGAATGTCATGTCTAGCTTTGATTACACTCAGTGAAATGTCACTCGATCAAATCATGCTTTTTCACATCATTTCTCACTTAATTTGAATTAAGTCTCAGATTTCCTTACATTTTTATTATGTAATTTAGAGTGTCAACCTCATTTCTATATACTCCATGCTTTGCTAATTTCTGTTTTTACTTTTTTGATTTCTAAACATGTCTCATACTTCCTAGTCCTTTTTACCCCTTATTGCCTGTATTTGTCATTCCTGAGCATTTATGACAAATTCAAACCGCAAAATTAAAGCTGACAACTATTACAAATTAAATCTCCTTAGATAACATTCTTAGTCTGGATGTATGTTGTTTCAAAAATAATTGTCTTTTCAGAAGGAAGAACCATATGGTCAAGCCTGAAATAATCTAAACTAAGATTTAAAATCTCAATTTCATTTGGGAGAAAACAAATATGAGAAATCTTATAGATATAACATGTGATAGAGAATTGTGATTAAACTCATGCAATTTGTGAAATATGATTAAAAACAGAGTATTTAAAAATTCCTATAATGGTCCATCCCAAGAGATGTGTTTTTCTTGATGGTCACACTGTCGCAGATTTCACGCTGATGACTCTCCAGAATGGAGACACAAATATTCCCTGACATTTCAAGATAAAAGATCATGACGTGCATGTCCGAGACAATTTTATTCTTAAGTCCATGTTGAATTATGTGATTGCATTTTTGTTGAATTCTAAAAAGCCATCCTGTTTGATGCCATGTGGAGATAATACCCCAGTCACATATCTACCTGTGCCCTTACAAAAAAAACATTTTCTCATCATTAAAGAACATGGGAAAGAGAATTATCTATTTTAGAATGATGAATATTTCTTCAACTAGAACAATACATTGTTTCACAAATGGTCATAATTAATTTTGAATGTTATTCAAAACAATTTATTTCATGAGGAAAAATATTTTTGTTTTAGTAATGAGTATATTAATAGGTATCTTCTGGTAAGTTGACCTGTTTTGTCAACTAGAAATAAAATTTGACTGTCTCATTTTTATTTCACAAAATTTTTCTTCTAAATCTAAGCAAAGTCGTGGATTTTCTTGTATTTCTGAATAATATAGTGAATTGTCTACATGCTCATTTACTTTATTCCTCACGATTTGCTTTTTTTCACAGTTGTTTTCAAGTACCAAATAATATCACATGAGAATTTATTTCAGGTAGTCTATACTTATCTCTATATAGGCTTATCTTCTATATTTTCTGTCCTATTACACACTACAGTTCAAAGCACTGTGATTTACATCATCACATAATGGACTGTTTAGCAGGATTACCAATGTGCATTCACAATCCAATGCATTATTTACCCTGATTGTCCCAGTATATTAGCAAGATGAACCTCTCTTTTAAGTGAGACAAAATCAAATTATTGGAAAGGTTACCATTTTTGCCTCATTTTCTCATCAAGTCTTTATGCAAGAAATTCACAAATATTTGAGAAACATTTATTTATTTAAAGGCCCCATGTAAAGTTTAAACCACTTTGGCTTATATTGTAGTCTATCCCAATGTTATCAAAGTGTGATATGTGAAACTTTTTTTTTAAATTTCAAAAAGTGGTTTTTGATAGACTTTTTGTTCCAAAATTTGTGAATTTATCTAAAACCAACTTTTAGAGGTCACTCATATCTTCTAATTAGCCACAATTGATACCAATGCATAGCGTTCATCCTCCCATGTTTTTGCCGAAAAAATTAAGAAAATCGGTTGATAAACAAGCGAGAAATGAACTTATCAGTGCATGAAAATGGTTCTGAGAAAAATGCATTTCAAAATTTTAGTTCTCATAGAAACCAATGGTACAATGATATCTAAAACATAATTTATTCTTCCTTTTAACCTGGTTAGACAATAAACATTGTTTTTTTATGAAAGTCTAGCATATTTAGAAAAGATTGACATCGAAAAAAAATTTTCAATTTTTTTCAAAAAGTTTTGGTTACCTTAGTGACATCACTAATGTTTCAAAATATTTTTGATATGCTAAAACATTGAAGTGGCCCATTAAATATGGCATTTTATTATTGAAATAGTGTGTGCTTTGTTCAATCTTTGCATTGGTGTTAAAAAGATAATCTTTTTTGAAATGCATTAAGAAATATTTGATGATTAAGAAATTTCAACTTTTTTTGAAAAATGGCGGGAAATTTGAATATCTGAGAAATGAAATGCTCACAACTTTTTTTTCAAAAATTTTTTTTTGTTCAAAAATCTCTAAAATCACTTTTTAAGTCCTGACAAATAGTAAATGAATGATAAAAAAATATTTTCAAACTTTAGACGGGGACTTTAAGAAAGTTTCAATAGCACAGAGCCAAAATAATGTCTTCTTGGTGTCTTCACCTTGGACACATGCGATGCTATTACACAAAAATAGAAGTTCAGAACACCAAGGACTTCATCAGAGAACCCCCAAAGCTATCCTGGAAACGTTACAAAAAAATCTCATAAGTTTCTTGATGGAGTTATTGGTATGTTGTTATCCCAGCACTCAGCTCTGTAGATCAAAATTAAATCAATCCAAATGAGCTAAAAATAATTCATTGACTGGACACTAATTTTCTTGCCAAAAGAAAAAATCTCAAGCAATTGTTCAAATGCTCCAAATATACAATGTGTACGTGGGGAAATATTTATCTCCAAAATACACGTAAACAAATATAAAAATATCAGATTCTTTATTTCTTAATTTGGAAATTTATTTCAAGAGATGATATGATTGTAGTTTGAAAACTTGTTTGGCAAAGGATGAATGTCAATACTAGTGAAGATTCTAATAGGCAAGTTGCTGCTCAGTGATTTGGAACACAAATAGCTTTTTTGGCAATTGGTCTGTTGTTGTCAGCAGAGGTTTCAAAGCCCTCAGTGGTCAATCAGGTTTTCGCTGGATAAAGCGGGAAGAATCTAAAAATATGTGAATTCGGAACCTTGAGTGATTTAAGATGTGTTTGGTTTGGATTGAGTTGTTTTGAACATATGAGGATCAATAAATACATGAATCTTAATGATAAATGTAAAGCCTGTGAAAGTAGAACACTATTGGTTCTACTTAGATGTGTTCTACTTGAGAGGTGTTCCACTGGTTTGGTTAACAATAAGTCAGAGGGGTCACATGACTGTAAAGTGTTCAACATATAGATGTTCCACTTCATAGGTGTAACATGTACTATCATGTACGCATAATATTTTTATATCTAATCAAAGAATCCAAACAAAAATCTTTTATAATGAGGACCCAAGATGAAGATGCCAATAACAGGGTTTATTCTGTTGTACATTTAGAATTAAACTACTTTGTAGTTGTTTTAGATTTTTATACGACCCCTGGGTGTTGTTTTTTGTTTGGCTTTGGGTCTTTGAGAAAAGATACCAAGATCATAAGTCCGTGAAGCATTCACCATTAATAGGCCAATTCAAAATTAAGGTTATCAATATTTTGTTCTAAAATTGGAGGTACCATCCTCTGAAGGGTGTGTGGTTTTGGCAAAAAGTTAATGTCATAGATGTTTTACCCAACTCTTAAATTAAAGTTATAAAATTGTTTTTTTTATTAAAATATTCATTGAAACTTTAGAATTAGCAACAAATACTGACATGCGTATGCGTATAAATCCATGATGGTATGAATGAAACCTTTGGTACAAGTACTCTAATTAAAGCAAGAAGAATTGAGAAATTAGATGAAGTGACTTTTGAGAAGGGTGATCAATTTTCCAAATCATCATGTTGAGTGTAACCTAAAATCATCTGCTTTTTAGCTGTGTTAAATAATTTTGATTGTGTTTTCAAAGTGTGTTATGTAACCAGAGTAACTCAGAACATGTAGTAATTTTCCATGATGATTTGATTGCTCTAGAAAAAAGTCACCACTTTGCGCTCTTCTTTTTTTAGGAAAACAGCTGGAAAATGTTTTTTGTTATGTAACAGCCCCATATGTATGTTGTATAAGTTAGCAATTATGGACAACAAAGCATGCCACTGAGTTAGATATACTACAATGTATAAAGAATTACAAACTTTTCTTGGGCCCATCCCTTCCTACATTGCCTTAACATCAGGAGAGGTAGAAGTCATTCAAAAAACAAATAAAAATACTTTGCTCTAAAGAGATATTTCCCTTGGTATCACAATTGACATTTTTTTAAATCCAAACTTAACATTGTCAATAAAAGATAAGAATCTACATTGAATGGCTCTGTGTGTAAGTGCTAGTTGTATATGTTTACTATTTTTGTATTTTTCTTGTTTGTCTAGAAAGATGAGAACTTGTATTTTTTAGTCAAGGGCTAAGAAAACTATCTCACTAGCATATCTGCCTGGAGCACTAGATTGGAACCTAGGTGTCATCAATCTACAGGGAGTGACAAAAAATAAGATTGAAGTTTTTAAGTTAAACTTTACGTAATCCCCTAAAGAATGTGTATGTTCTTTGAATAAGATTGTTTGATTTCCTTTGTGTTTTTATTACAAAACTTAATCATAGAATTTATAATGATAATTTAGTGTGTAATTTATGAATAAAATGTTAATAGTATTCTTGTCTCACCCTGTTTATGAGTAGGAGATGTATTCTAAGATATGTGGCTTAAAAACATCTCTTCATGAATCGCAGGTCAGCGGAAATCAGAATTTAATGTCATATAAAAAATATTCATTGCTATGAAGATTTTCCCAGGAGTTGACATGTTTGGAATAATCTTAGATGTGATACTAATACCTCGGTAAGTAAACATCCCAACTCAATATTTTTTATTTGAATTAAGAAATTAGCTAAAGCTCATCAAAGCGTTTAGATTTTGGGATCAAGTTAAAAGAATTCTTGAATGCATGTTAGAGCTAAAAGTCTGGTGTGCGTGTCTGGGAAACATTTAATGTGTTAGAACCTTGAAGTTGTTTTTAGGTAGCCACTCTACCGATTCATTCTACCAATTTTTGGTAGAATGGATTTCATTTTAATTAGGCATTGGAATTTTAGTAGGAGGCATCAAACGTACATTTGTCTAAATTCACTCTAGACAGATCAGATGTATATTTTATTAACTAGATTACCTGTTAAAAAAGAATGTGAAATTTGTGTCTGTAAGGGCATGCTAAGAATTTAAGAAAAATCTGCAAACTGCTAAAATCATAGAAACTATTATAGCTAATTACTTGAGTCATAATTTGGAACAATTTTCTCAAAGTTATTTTCCCACAATTAAACTGGTTCCTTGTGTATTCAAGTGAAACTAGGTGTTTTTCTCTATTTGAGCATGGCATGTGATATTCCCGATTGCAATTTGGGATTTGGGAGATTAAAATTCCTCGTTTAAATATTGTCTACCAATCAGTGACAGTCAGACATTTTCTTGGTCATCACGCAGAATTTTGTGGCATGGCATTTTGATATCAGAAAAATGATAAGGATTTCTTATCTTACATGTTTTTGTAATCTATTCTAGCATTGTTTTAGAATGCAATGGTGACTATGAATGGTCTTGGAATTTCTCTGTGATTCTCATCTTTTTCATGGTTTTTCTCACTTTGAAATTGGTCGACTTTTGTAAGGGGGTATTTTCTTACTTGGTCAAACATTGTTTTTCTACCTAAGATTGAAAAATAATTGTTGTGTTAAAGGATCAACTGCTGAAGATGATTTTATCAGGATAAAGGTAATCCAAAAACATTAAGTAAAGAGAAGCAGAAAATGTTGAAATTAAGAATAATCATGCTTGATGATCTCAATCTGTTCTAGATTCTTTTAATGTATTATTTGCAATCTAATGTCTGATACTCATCACATCTTTTTGTTTTCAAGTAAATAATTCAAGAAGGAACTAATACAATGCTGTTATCTCTCTCAATGTCTAAACGGATGTCCTTCATCAATTCTCTGTATACCCCCCCCCCACACTTCCATACCAATTAAGGCTTCAAGATGGATTTAACATAAAAATGCAGTATTAGATACCGAATATAATATACAATTTTGGGAAGTTCTTGTTAATTACCCTGATTTCCCTTAAGTCCAAGGCTAAAAGTAATCAGTCGAAGCTCTCTTTTAAAGATATGAAATCAAAGTCTTGAAAAGGGTTAACATTGAAACAGGGTGATCTTTGACTTGATGCACACTAAATATTATCTGATATGCATCCATATTTTGATTGTAACCAATAGAAATAGGCTGATATGACCATTAATCAGTAGAAATAGGCTGATATGACCATTAATCAGTGGCAATAGGCTGATATGACCTGTTGGGAGAAGGTGGGGAAACCACAAGATGGAATGCAAAGATTTGGCCATGAAGAGAATGTATCAAAAACGATCCCATTCATATTTAATTGTGGTTTTATTCACATCTACTTCCTGAATGAATAAATAGCCCAGGGAAGATATTAAAAAGTCATGGTCATCATATTTGGTATTTAATGCTGCAGTTTGATATTGTAGCCTTAATCTTGGTAAATGAATTGTATGACATATTATGAATAGTTGTCTTACTAAAAGTCCTTGTAACCACGACTTACCACCTCATCTTAAGGAAATGAATTAAGGGGGGGGGGGAGGGGTAGATGGGGAGGACCAAAGACTTGATGCAGACTAGATTAAAAGAAATTCATGTGGATTGAGATTTGGAGGTCATGTGACTGTCTCACCATGGGAGGTTAGAGGGGGAAGGTCCAAAGATGCAAACTAGATTGAAGATGATTCCTAGAGGGCAAGAATCACAGGCTTGTCCAATGGGATATGAGTATATCATGTGGCTACATCACCATGGAAACAAATTACTCCAAAAGAACAAACGAACAAATAAACAAACAATGGTAATAAGCCACAATGGGGGGTGTAAAAACATGCGAGAAATAACATAAATCTAACAAATGAAGCATACTAATCTAACAGATATGGTTAAAGACTCATTATGAGTGGAAGGTGTTATAAATATTACAAAATAATTGATTGGAAAATACAAGTTTGACTCGCTGTCTAATGAGGCGCTTCCTTCTAAAGACAATGTAATTAATCACTGGGAGCTCATTAGAAGCATCATTAATTACCCATTGTTCAATCTATTAATTGTACAAGCAATTTTTTAATTTTCACATATCTGTGCTCTAATATCAGATCGTATTCTCTGTCGATGTAATCGTTTCATTATCAATGAAAATCTACTTAATTTTGACATATTTCAAGGAAGTAAAGCTCAGTGTTTCAATTAATGGACTTTCCTGTATGTCAATAGGGTTGTGCCAATACATGTATAGTACCATATCTTGTGATTCAGAATCTTCAAAAATAATTGTCAGTATTGATTTAAGTCTTAACATACAAAGAAGTATTTACTTCTTTCGTCAAAGGAGGAAAGATCATCAGCTTGTTAACATTCTTTATTGTAAAAGTGTATGGCTCAAGCACATTCCTCAACACATTGTCTCAATGAACGAGATGACACGATTATAACAACCAGTATTTCCCATGCATTAGACTCACAGGTATAAGAAGCCTAATCTCCTAGCATTGATGACTTAACACCAACTCATCCTCTACTTAAACCCGCACCCAGCTGCCCACTGATTGGAAACTATTTCTTAATCACGGTTTCATAACCACTGCAAGCCTTTTAAAACCCCATGGAAGAGAATCAAGCGGAAAGAATGGCATTTAACTCAGGACCCAACTGAGTAAAAACTTGTAGTTAAGATATGCTTTGATTATCAAAAAACAAGCCCAATGGGATACCAAATGACGTCTTTTAATGTAAGATAATTGGCCGTTTAGAGATATTCTTTGCCAAGGCATCTCCGGGCAGCAGTTATCAACCTGGACAAGGTGCTCTATGGTACTTATCATGGATGAACTTGTTCACAGCCCTGACTATGATCTCATTTGAGTCTTATCTACCAGCTCTGAGTGTAATCTACCAGCCATGATTCTCATCTACTTGTAATGTACCAGCTTTGATTGGTATCTACCAGCCATAACTGGAATTCACCAGTCGTAATTCATACCTATACCAGTCCTGCAAAGCCCTGACTGTATTATGTTCCAGCCTTGACTGTAACCCAGGGACTGTAATATGCCAGCATTGGCTGTGATATACTAGCCCTGGTTGTAATGTACCAGCTCTGTCTGTAATGAACCAAGGTATTCTGACTGTAATGAACCGGCAACTGAAATCTAGCTATAGCAGCCCTGCTTATGTACCAATCTACTGTTTAACATTTTAGAACATCCTTAATAATGAAAAACAGGATTGATTGTTTTATATTAATAATGATGCACTACATGTTTGAGAGGATGCTATAAGTTAACACATATTACTATATACACTATATACATATATTTGCAATTTATCAACCTGATATTATGCATTCATTTAAAAGAAATACGTTGGATCCTTCAGAATAGGCTAAACCATATGAACTGTCATATTTTATCTTGAATGGTTTCCAGGATTTATCTCGGTCATTAAAACCTCCTACAGATGAACTTCACTCATATATTTCACATTTTTCTCTGAAATTAAAATCTATTGCATTATATATATTTGTTTGTGAAATTCTGTCATTTTTTGTAGTTACTTATAAAAAGTATTTCTGTTTATTCTTTTTATTTTGTTTTTATAACCTAGGATCCTGAATGTGTATCTATAAAATATAATTTTGTTTACAGCTAGATTTAATTTTCTCTGATTTGAAATTAGATTTAAGTTGTAAAAGTAGCAATATGAAATATGAGCTTGATATGAATACTGTGAAGGAATAAATATATTTGTTTATTTGAGACATTATTCCTGTATGTAAGGATTTCATCAAATGGAAAATACATTCTGAGGAATTAGCATGGAATCAGCATGATATAATGACCACTGCATGGAGAGTGACTTACTCTATAAGTAGACACACATATCATACAGGGCCAGACCCTTGCAAAAAACAGCAAAAAATCTGGTGAACTTTTTATGGAATCTTTAAGAAAACTTGTAAGTATCAAGAATATATTTTTGCAGTGAATTAGAAATACTTAATTCTTAATTATAGACAAACATTGAATTAATTTACAAATTTTCCCGGGGTCCAATCAAAGAAAATCTACTAACTTGAAATTAGCTCCTGCAAGGGTGTCCAATGATTTGGAACTAAAAACAGCATCTTAGACTAAAATAGGCTGAGTTAAAATATAAGTAGTTGGTCATCAGATTGAAGCAGTCATTATAAGCCAGTAGTCAACTGAGAGACATTGAAAGACATTTTGGATATAAAATTGACTTTTATTCAGACGGATAACAGCAAACTCTTGTCAACTGGTACCATAAAAGTAAGTTTTAGAGAATTTTGATATTACATTTGATTGATTTTATTTATGTTATTTATTTAGCTGTTTACTAATTGAAAATATAAAGGACAGATAGTGGTATTTTTTATATGTAGCACTAATACCCAATAAGTTACATAATAATCTAATATGAAATAATTAATAAATATTGCAATGAATATGATGGATATCTTTGATAATAACTAAGAATTTGAATTCTTTTGTGATCCAATGTTAGTATGTCTAAATTATCAATGGTTAAGAAAGTATTTTTCAAACAATAGTTGAATAATATAAGGAGAAAAGACAGCCAGTTCTTGCTAGGTATACACTGTGCTAGAATACTGCCGCGAGAAGTAAAGGTTAAAGACATGATGTGATAAATAAACATGACTGATTGGCCGACCTGACACATCCCATCTTACCATTTCCTCCCTCCTTGCATTTCTCGCATTTCTTGTTAAATATCAAATAAAGTCGACAATTGTCCCATATTTGGTACAAATTTGAGTATGTATTTTTTCCGGCTGTTAATTTTTTCTCATAATTTTTCTCTTTGTGGATTATTTAGTAAATGAGCGAGATATATTTTATCGAAGGGACCGTTCCCCAAGGCTCTGAGAACATAAATGACAGTTTCTGAAACAATGTACAAGAAAAATCTATCAATTGTTTTCTACTTTCTGTATGTCACCAGAAGCAACGTTTATCACTTGTTCAATTCTCTGGCAGAAATGTTCCAAGTAATTTTCTTATTAACATTTGAGGAACCATACTAGTGTGTTAAAATTTCATAATTTATCATTTTTCCAGAATTAAGACCAAGTTTTTTATTGTACCAAAAAGGTACAATATTGTTGTTTTGTTTTATCAAATTTTAGTCTTGTCCAGATACTGGTTCATTTTGATGAGTTATTGTGATTAAAAGTCCTTTGAATCTTTAAAACTTTCTCTGTTGATTCTGTCTTAACTGGGATTGCTTAAAAGATTAATAATTGACCAGAACATTTTCTAATGGAAATATTTTGTAAAATAGTTTCTTTTTATAAAGGTGTCTTGAAATATGTACCCTGCGTGCAGAGTCTAGTTAAACTACACTCTGCCTAGTAGAAACCATATTACAGTTTAGAAGCCCCGCCCCCACGACGGGTGCCGATGACAGTTCGGGTAATAAATCACTTCTGACTTACGCGCTGACCTTTCTTCCACCAATCAGCGAGCTTGAAGAAACACGCGCCAAAATAAATTGTGAATTTTCATTGGTCAATTCCGGGCTTAACGATGACGTCAGAAGGAATGACCATATATAGAACGTCGGTCAAATTTGGCCGACGAGCACTGATTGGCGCGGTGAGTTCACAGGTTTATTTTAGTTTGAAAGAGTGAAGACGGAGCTCTCTTTTAAGAAATGAAGTCGAACGAATGCAAAGGGTATGAAATATGTGAACAACAGGATATTAACATGAAGGTGTTTGATATTACATTTCTAAACCAAAAAATGAATATTCATAATGATCTTGTCCTTAATTCAAAATCACCTTAAATGGAGTGGAATTATCAAAAATAGAATAGCCAGGCATGAAATAGACACTCTAAAGTATATATAAATTCCAAAAAATCAGGCATTTTATTCAAATTTTTGAGAGATATTTGTGAAATAAGAATGAAAATTGAGTCTTTACGTCTGAGAAAGATGGTGTATTCTAAACCACCTGTTGCAGAATACTGATACTGGTCTTAAGATTGGTCTCTGAGAAAAGAAACTTGTTGAAGCAGACTGTCTCTGATAACTGCCTGAGCTATAAATATCATTTTGGTCACATTTTAAAATGCGAAATAGAGTTACAATCAGTGAATTTAGCAAGGAATGAAGAAAACAGGCATGAAGTCAACATTTTGAATTCTATGGAAATGTGAGAAAATTAGACACTTCATTCAAATTTTAGAGAGAAATGGTTGGTAATAAAGAAGAACAAAAGAAAGTTTAATTATAAGTGTGTATGATAAGCATTATTCTATAATATAGATAACAAGTCTTTGTGAAGATATCAGTTCTCAATACAACTATCTGTCTAATACCATATCTTCTTGTGTAAAAGATGTCCGTCTGCAAATTATTTTTCGACATTTTCTCACAAAAATTTGTATGAATCATCTGATTTTCTTGCATTTCTCTACGACTTGGTGTATTAACTTCATATATGTTTTAGGAATTCTTTGCAAACCCTTTCTTTATCTTATCATTTGGATTAGAAATTACGACTTTCTTGATGTGGTGTTCATTGGTATCAAAGATCTAATCAGATAAGTCAGTAGTTCTAGGCATTGTTTCAGTAACTTCTCTTTCATTCTATTCCTCTTTGTTGTGAGTTATTTCTTGGAAGATGTGATCATGATTTCAAACTATAAACTAGGAAATGATGGTACAGTGATTGTTAATCAGGTGAGTCACTTCCATTGTATTTATCAAAAACATAATCTCACCAAATCTTGGATGAGATGGATGGATGAGGGGAACATATAAGGAGGGGACATAGAGAACACCCCCTCCCCAATAAGGAGTTGTTAGGTGACCAGAGTTGATGCATTTAGGATTGCCATATTACCTTCCCTGTTCAATTATCTAATATTCTTCCCCTATATTTAAAATATTGAACAATTGTTCTAATTATCGAAGCAGCAAGATCCAAGAGTGGTTTGCAAATGAAACTATGAATGTGCTACATGTATAAAGCAATTACACCTGCTAGCTTGTCTCAGAGGCCAATCAGCTTTATTATCATTAATGTCAATTTTCTTGGCCTCTTTTTACATGAATTACATGAAATACCAAGAATTAGCAAGGAATTTTATATTTGGGCGACAAGTTCTTGAGCTAATTCAAACAAAAATGCAAGAAAACAACACAGTTCTTTCGAATTTTTAAAAGATATGACCAAAATTGGAGTAATATTACATATCGTCTGCTTTGTCGTCTGCAAGGGTTTGATGCATAAATGTCAGGTGAACACACAAGTGGCAGCCATTATTCTTGCTGCTGCAGACAGTGATGTATGGAGCACTGCTAGGAGGCCACTCTGCAACCGTGGCATCATTCTTACATGGGCATATCAATATAACATTTGCATCATTGCTCTAAAATTGGCATCATTCTGAATTGGCATTGTTGAACCAGAGGCATCCTTAGCAGGAATGAAATCAATTGAAGGCACAATGATCGAATCAAATATTAATTTCTATTGATGCACTGAATGCCAGTTTTACAGAAAACAATAAGGAACCATTTTTCATTCAGAATTCGGAGCTCAGTAACAATTCAGAACAAATCCATTTTTAATTGTAATTAATTACGAGACAATAGACATTAACCAGTTAATGGGGAGAACCACATGTTGACCACAATGGTAACAGGTGAAAATAAAAGGTAGGAGAACTTCATTATATTACCAGAAACTAATTCGTCAATGTCTGTTTTATCTGAAATGTGATATTTTAATATTTTGTATTGTTCTTTCTTGGTATTCTCTAAAGATCAACTTCCTTATTTGGTAAGGATTGCCATACTAGGATATTTCTTATTGAACGTTATCTTATAACAGCAACAGGTAGAATATTTTCTTGAGAAAGTTTATTAATATATCTTTATGCCATCCCAGGTGTATACAATTGATAAAATAAGAGATAATCTATTGTAAATGATAAATAAAATCAAAAGAATCATATATTTTAGCGATTTATATTTATCAAGCAGGCCAATATCTATAAGTAGAATTTCTATTCTTATAGACACTATTATCAATGTCTCACTTGACCTCGATTATAGTTAAGAGAGGACACAAGAGAAAAGAGGCAAAATCAAGGAATTCAACCCTATTACCTTAAAAACAGATATCAGGTCATACAAGGAGATTTTCTTGAAATATTCTTCATTGACGAGAGTTGCGTTGATCAAAATTCACCCTCTTAGGGGTTACGTTTGTTTGTTTGTTTGTTTTGTTGAAGAATTACTTCGAATTTTACTTTCACTAAGTATTCCAACGTCATTGAGATATCTTGTAGACTTGAGAAAAACAATAACATCTTAATATTGACTTTGCAGCTTATTTATGTTTTTTTCTTCGAATTGATTTTTTTGGAATAAGTGAACAAGTAACTAAAATATGTCATGTCTTTTAATTGTTCAAATTGTTCATGCCACCCCTTGGGTTTATGTAGAGAAATACATGCTAAAAAGAGCTTATTAGTTCACACCCGCAATAGCATGTGAAAGTTAATAATTAGACACAAGTGCCGTAATTTATGCCTATTTCAATAGTGACACCCCAACTTCTCAGAGAATAATTGCTAAAAAGCCATGTGCCAAGATATAAAAGACCTAATAAAAAGGCCAAGTCGTTATACGCTCGAATCAATAATCAATCTGGACTCTTGAGATTTTAGTAGAATTTTATGGAGACATGTCCCTGCTTTAAGAATCTAGTTAAGTTGAAGTCCAAAGTTTGGAATTCTCTTCAAAAAATAAACACACGATAAGAACTCAGAATAAAATATGAGTCTTGAGAAAGGATCGCCAGGTACCAGCGGGTGAGTGGCTCATTACTTTTCATTTTATTTGCTCGAAGAATTTCATTTTTGAAAAAAAAACACTTCAAAGAATATTTGTTCTTTGAAAATAAAGTCATTGTTTTTAAAATTTTTGTTGATCTTATTCAGGAATACAGCATTCATTTATTCTTTTGTTTATTTAATACAATATGGTTAATTAGAAAAACAATATCTTCCAAAAAATGTCTGGACTTTATATGCAAGATAACTAGAAAACGGATAATTATATAGCTATCAATATTAAAACATTTAGCTCTTCATTTGACTGAACACAAGGGACAAGTAGGGGGAATTGTGATCTTCTTAAAATGGTAGTCTATTTTAAAAATGTTAGTTTCACATATTTTGTCTAAGATTTTTGTTATATTCATTTCTCATGGTTATTATTAGATAGTTTGGATGTATTTTTGATGATAAGTTAACGACACCATCGCTCTTGTATCATTAAATGCATCTTATTGAAATATTGTACACAGTATGTTCATGTGGCACCTGAGCGACAACCATCGTCCTCTAATTTTCTACTGACTCGTAACCTTGGCTACCAGATGTTATAATACATGATTACTTTTGCAGAATCACTGAAACTACGTACTTTGCAAGAACATTTTCAAAGTACTCATTATTGTAATTTGTATAAAACTACAATAGAAATGAACAATAGAGATGATTTCTACTAGATCTACACAGGGAATCTAAATTAAAACATTGAACAAATTGCAGAATTTGTTTCAGATTTTTCAATTCTTTTTGTTGGTTTTTGTAGACTTAATGGGGTTTATGTGTATTTGAGTCCTCAGATGTTGCCCTTTGTGGCTACTTATTTAACCTACTTTTACAAGGTAATTAAGGGTAATTAGCTAGCATTTCATATCCAGAATAAATAAGTGAATGCTAATATATGTTCTATAATGAACAATTATTTATAGCGAACACTTACCTCATATGTAATTTGTCAGGTGAACACTTACTTGTGGAGCTATGGTGAACACTTTTTGAAATGAATAATCTGTAAACACTTTCTATTCAAGTGTATAAATGAATTCTAAACGTAACTACCATATCACCTTTTAAAATGTAATTAACTAGGTAAAGGGAATATGCAAGGAATATGGTAAAAAGAGAATTATTCCAAATTCGATTGAAATTCCAGGTTAGTAAGAAAAAGTCATGAAATAAGTACAACAGTCTGACATTTAATTTGATTGCTAGAATAGCAGTTGCATACCAGTCTAACGCAGAGAAATATGGGATTGTCATTATGTTTGTTTGTTTACAGTATTTACACAACGGCTATCAGTGAACAATTTTTCCCAATCATCTCGTTTATTATCAGCTCATTGTAACGGTGTTCAGTGAAACGGCACTGTTAATGGCATCGACCAGTGACATAAATTACAATTCATGTTTAAGTTAGTTGTAGCATTTAAGAACAAAGGGTCGTCAAATGATAAGGTAGCTAATATTAGAAAAAAGTCGCTGAGTTTAAGTTCAAGGCGCATTTATTCAAAGCCTTTGAGCAAGATATGACATTTTATTCCATTTGATTCATGGTGAATTTTGATTGCTAAGATTTTGTGTTTTAATTCCTTAAACGTGCAACATTACATTTTTCTTACACACTCCCCAGGTTCTTTAATGCTTTTAAAGAGTTCTTGTCCTTACAATCACACGTAAGAGCCACTTTCTTGCAGATGGCTTTTTACCTATCGCACATTTTTTGCGATTTTCTCATAAAATATTGGAAGAAGTGATTGAAAATCTTGGATTTTCTTACAATTTAGAATATGAGCATTAAGATGGTACATTTATTTTCACTGTAATTCCTCTCTTTTTGGTGTAATTCGTGAAAGAAATATGATGTTTTTCACGAGGGGTTTGTTTATATAGCAGGTGGAGGGATCTACCTCTTTTGTGTACTTGAATCTTAGCCCGAGTTGTAAAAATCATCATTTTTGCCAAACCTGAATTTAGATTCCTCTTTAAATATTGTGAAAGATTTGCCCTGACTTATATGTTCCACTAATGAGGGGGTATATCTCTTGAATATTGTTGACTTAAAGATTTAGAAGACTTTTTGACTAAAATAGAAAAAAGGAAGCAAGCAATTAGAGACATTAAAGCTCCTAGACTGTTGATTCACTTAATGTCTCAATTAACGAGATTTGAAAAATGGTGTTTCAAATTTTAATCAGATCTTTTGTTCTGTATAACAGTATAAAAGAGACGGCAAAAGTTAAATATCGTCAATAGCCAAGTTCGGGGTAAATAGAGTTCAGTCTGAGGACATACGTGAACATCATCGAGTTGGGACCCCTAGAACATGGCTCCTAAGGGTGAGTGAAGATACATGGGCAATTAAAATAAGTTTATTACATATTATCTTTCTTCAAATTAAAAAAAATCATTTAGAGACATTAATGAAAAAACTAGTTAATGTTAGAATCACAGCTGTTTTAAAAGAGCTGAGATAACAACGATAAGGTTAAGTTTATTTTAGGTGGTACCTAAAATTTTCTGTTATAAATTATTTCTTATGATGGCATCATTATAAATTCTTGATTTTATTAAAATCGAGACTTCTAAAATGTAGGTTTGTAATTTATGGTGACGACCATATTCTTTTATTGGTGCCGTAGGATGGTGAATCATAGATTATCGCTGATCTCACACAACTACTTTTAAACCTTAGGTGATATTTAATATCAATTTCAAAACGATATTATTCTAAAATCGTATAATTAATAGGTAATTGGTAAATATGTATAAGGTTCCATTCCTACAGTTCTATAACAAGAAATGTAAAACTAATTTTGCGTTTTCAGAATTTTACTGTAATGGAATATAATAATTCATTTTTATCGTTGGGAGGAATTTTTTATAAGTTTATTTTTGAATTTGAGAGTAGTCAGTAAAAATGTGTGTTAAGGGTCTTCTATAGCAATGGGACAGTTCTCATATATCAACCTTTATGGCTCTCTAGTCCCAGCATAAGGTCATGCTATTAATGACTGTTCTTTAGGTAGTATCTCTACAAAAAACAGAGAATGGTAGCATTTCAAAAAAGCAACTTTAATCTTTTCGCTTTCATTTGCTTTTACACACTGACTAATTTTCACTGTTTTTCGGTGTAATTTTTCATGATAGGGACTTATCCGTGGTTAAATGTTTTACGAAGATTGTACTTTTTTGTGGGTAGATGACAGATCTTCTCTGATGCTTTCAGTATCCCTACTGGGCCAGAACGGGGAATAAATTCTAGCGTGGCATTTGAGACATTTAATACATAGAACATTTGTCAGATAGACTCTTACATTTCAGAATAAAAAATATCTTCTGTGAGACGCATCAAAAGGAATCAGTCATTCATATAAAAAATCTTGAATTCCAACACATGACTTGAAATCTCTAAGTTGAGGGGAATGTAGTTAACGACTCCAGTCTCACCAAATGGTAGAGTTATACGAGAAAATGTGACGTTTTAATTACCATCCTTTTGTTTTAAACACATAGTTGACCTCTTTTATACCTGAAAGCCACTTGTAAATGAATATGAAATTCTTAATGATTTTTTGTTGATAGTACTTGAATATTTTGTTCCTTATCAGGACTGTTTGATATGTGCTATAACGGAGGCACTTAAAGTATCATAGAACAAATATAACCTGATGCATATTGGGGAAACGTAGTGGAAACTAAGGAAGGGTTAGTCTGGTAGTGCTAGTGTTTATCTCTTCATGTTCACATCTTCCTCATTCTACCTGATAAATTACCTGACAAGAATATGGGGGACATCTCAAAAGGTCGCAATTAAACTTTGGAATTTAATGAATGCAAGTGAAAGTGTTCCAAACAATCAGGTTTTAACTGTTACCATGATCATAACTTTCACTTATTGAATGCAATTACAAATTGATTACATAACAATACATAGGACAATTAGATAAATGACCATTCCTTTGGAATATCAAATTAATAATTTTAATGAGGAATATTGTCAAGCAGGCCTGGAGCTTTTCCTCTCAATATTGCCCCAAGTTTTAATTAATTCAATCATCGTGGCCTGATCAACAATCATTCCCATCATCAGAGCTATAATTCTATACTTTGATCAGAAATATTTTTTCATATAACAGAATTGACATGTTTATAACTATGTTCTTTGTGTGATGTTTGATTTGAGTATGTATGCAGTTTGTGTGCATTTTTATGTTTGTTTCATTTTACCAATTAGGTGGAACTATGATTGATTTTATAATTTGTGAGGGCATTGTATCTGATTTGCATGATAAATCACTCTACAAGTCAGTAACACTTGCTCACTTTCAGCTCATATCGTTCCGTCTGCTGAAACTTGCATTGCATTATGGGTTAAATATTCAGAGTGCCATCTTTCCCTAAAATGTTTTGACAGTATTTTGAAACAAATGCATTAAAACTATTACTTGGTAGAGTATAATCTTGTAATCATATTAGCAATTTAAGCTAAAAATTAAACGTTATTTTTGGAATCGTTAAAAAGTTATTTCGACTTTCTGTTTCGTCTAAACATTAATTTGATAAGAACTATAAGAGTGAGGAAATATTTTATGTTTTATTGAATAGTTGAATTGCGAGATTTATGTTAATAGGGAAGCACTTATGCAAATCTCGCAGTCTGTGATTGACTCGACAATCTGTTACAAGTGACTTGAAATTCTATCGAGTATACATCATTCTCTGTCACTATTGTTTCAAGTGTGTTTATAAAAGGTGTCCGCCTTTTTTAACCAGCTTTGAAGTTTTCATTATTTACTGGGTTTATTCTGTCATTGAGATTCAAAAGTAATTCTACAATCTACATATATTATGAGTATGATTTTAAAATTGTTTCTATTTTAAAGTCAGTCCTGTTCAATTCTGCATAATGCAAATTTAATCTTGTTTTCAACATAAAACTGCACTTTTATAATAATAAAAATGTTTTGTTCTTTGAGTAATGGCTTTTATTAAAATGCATTGTACTTACAATATTAACTTTTATTAAAAAGTCATATTTATGTTTTTCAGTGGATGATGACCATTTAAAGAACCCTATAATTCTGGTGATGCATTATGGGAGATTCTGGATCATTGGAACCAATCAGTGAGTCAGAGCACCGTGATAGAGGTCGGATACGTATGTGCCGCGTCTGCAAGTACACAACCACAGACGGTAAAGAGTTCTCTCATCATCAGCTTAATGCCCATAAAGAGATTGTGACGTCACAGTACGAGTGTGAAGATTGCGATTTTTTAACATTGTCTAATATTGAGTTTGCCCGCCACAGGAAGTCACATATTCGAAACAGCAGAAGTAGCATCTCATCGAGAGTTGGCAGAGAGATGCAAAGATCTGAAGAAGGTAAGTTTGACCCTCACAAAAAATCTCAAATACTGAATATATAAATGTTTGATTGATTTGTGCTTTTTAGCATTGATTTTGTGTTATACTTTCTATAGTTCTTTGTTTATGGTTTTCTTACATTGATTCTTACTTTTCATTGCGATGAATTTGAAATATTAAAATCCCCATGAGATAACCCTAGATTCCCTGAAAATGTTAACGTTTTCCATTTGGTTTCCAAATACATTCAGCTACATGTCCAAGTTTGCCAATATTGCTTCAGGGTTCATTTAAGAGCAATGGCATACTGTTCCTCTGTTCCTGAATGGCTGGATAGCAAATCACGATTGCAATTGGTTGATACAAAAATGAATTCATTTATCATTATTAAATGTTGATAAATTAAAATCTAATGAACTGCCATTGAGTGTGTAGTCAGGCCATCATGTAATTATCTATTTAGTATCTAATACAGAGATGTAACAATGCAGGCTAGAACAACGAAACACAGTTAATCAAAGACCTAAAAAGATTTTTAAGGTTTAGAGATTTTAGTCCAGGAGGACGTCAGTAACCACGGAATTATTTAAAGGATTGTTCTGTTAATAATGGATAACAATGTTCTTGATATTCCAGACAGCAAAATGCCTCCAACCAATGAAGAAGACATCATGATGGAGGAAGGGAACAATGAGTCTAAACTGGATGACACCTTTGAAGATGATGCTCTTGTTATTGATGAGCACGTAGCAGAGTCTAGTCACGCCTCAACTGGCGCTACCTCAGGGATTGAATCACGCAAATATACTTGTCAGAGTTGTGATTTTAGCACAGTACATTATACTGATTATATGGAGCACCAAACGCAAGAGCATCAGGACTTTGAAATATATGAATGTGAGTTTTGTGATTTTGCGACTAAAGACAGAAACGTTCTTGCCACTCATGATTGTGCGAAAGAAAATGAAAAAGAGGCTATTGAGGAAACTCAGGAGCGCCCTGAATCTGAAGCGAGGGCTTATGAAGAAGAGGATGATGAAACCGTTCCTTCACCACAGTCTTTAGGCCCACCTATTTGTGAATTTGAGAATGTTTCAGACAATACGCAAGATTCAGGACCCTTCGTGACCCCATCAAGAACACCCCATGTAGTAGAACAGGCACACAATGAACATTACAATGAGGGTAAATTCCTGGAAATGGTCAAACCACGTAGTAGAATCATCCGCCAAGAAGTAGATCCGGCAAAATACACCCAGATTAATACGCTAGAGGGTATTCGCTACTCATGTTCTAACTGCGGAAATGTCTACAAATGGAGAAAATCTCTAAACAAGCATTGGAAGGAAAAGCATTATGGGGAGACGCCTACATCATCTGTGCCCCTCAAGGTGCCCAAGTTTATCCCATCAGGCCTCGTCAGTGCTGTAGGCCCCTTGCAAAGACCTAGGAAGTCTCCGATATCATTTGCACCAAGGTCAGTAGCAAAAATCTTTAAAACACATGGTCAATTATATCCTCTTTTACTGGTAACCATTGTATTATTTCTAAAGAATTTAATTGAGCACAACAATTGTCATGAAATTACATAAATGCAATTGTACAATAATGGCTTTATTGAAAAAATTATGTCAACATTTTCACGATCTCCTTCCAACAAGTCATGCAGGAATTAATGATGACAAATAATGTCTACGTCTCATGTGACATATTGTTTGAACTCCGATTGAAAATATATTTGTTGTATCAATTGCAATGCTTCATAAATCAAAGAACTCAGCCAATAGAACATACAGTAATCACCTACTGGTGAATTCTCTGTGTAAACATATTTACACAGAACGATCTAGTGAATGCTTTGTTACAGAACAATATGGACATGTAGAGCTTTTAAAATATAAATTGATTTTTTTCTCTAGGTTGTTTTAATGTCTCTGCAATTAGTGCCATCTTTAGGTCAGGTGCCATCTATAGGTGCCATCTAGTACTGAGCAATATACAAATATGTTTTTTGAAATTTCCAGTGTTTTTCTTTGAACTTGGTGGTTCTTGATTCACCATTGTATTCTATACTGGCTGAGATGTTTATTTTTTGAGTTATTTATTTTCTGTGTTGGAATGTTTAGGGATTTTTAAATATAATTTTATGGTTGTTGTTACATAAAGGTAGATTCTGATTATTGGTTGGTTTCATATTGGTTGATATGTTTGATTGGGGTTTGATTGAAATGTTGCCTCTGCCAGAAAGACCTATGTTGACATCTATAATCAGTGATATATACTAAAACAAATAAGAAGCCTAAGAAACAATGCTTGGTTTTACCCTCAGTTTACCTGTATGCTAGACTTACCACTCCTGACATCTTTAGGCAGTGATAACTGATTAAAATTTAATGTTCTATGGTAATTTCAAAATGTTCATTGATTTTCAGACTTCCCTCTCAGTCTCCGTCTGCTAGAAGTACCCCTACTGACATCTATAGGCGTGTAACAACACCAGAACTACCACTGCAAATGCAGGTATGATTCCTCACACATGATTACATAATGTTATTTGATGAAGAGCATGTAGTTCTACACATTGAAAATATAATTTCATAACTGGTGAAGGCTATTTAGAGATTGAATTCATGTTTACCTAGGTGATGGTGGATGGATGGAACTTTAACCAATGCTTATCATAATGGTGTTTTGATGTTATGGCAGTCATTGAGATTTCTTTCTAATTCTTGGAAAGGAGAAAAAGGAGGAATACCTTTTCATCAAAATGTAGTTGTTTTGAAATTTTGAAAAATTAAAACCTGTAGATCTTTGAAATCTCATGACTGTTATGGCATCAAGCCTGGGAAGAGTCCCCATGGATGGGGATGAGGTTCTTAAGGCTTTGGGATTAATTTTGCAAACTGTTTACCATATAATACCATGTTATTCATTTTTCATGCAGGCTTTCAAACCTAAAAACCTGTTTCGCAATAACTCTCACAACTCAAGCTTATTGATTGAGGTGGATTTATGCTCTTTTTGAATTATTTTCAAAATTAAACTTTGGTTGTATATATAGATGGCAGCACCACCATCTGCTTTAAGATTTTCAACAGTAAAGTAGTAAAGATGGCAGTCTTGTTGTTTGAGTAGCAAGAAACCTTTTGTAAGATTCAGAAAGAGTATAGGAAATAACTTTTTTACTTGCACACTGAAATGTTCATATCTTTACACAATAGAATTAATAAAACATGATAAAGATATGATAGAAACTCTAGGATCCACTATTTTTCCACACATTTGCAAATGTTTTGTGTAAAGATGTCCCTTGTCAATCAGGGTGTCATGATATGCCACAAAGTATTAATTAATGGTCAGCTGTTCAGTGTGAGGAAAACAACCACCCACACATTTGAAAATATTTGCAGATTCATAATTCTCTTTTTGGTTATCATGACTTGTACTGAAGCATTGTCTGCGGAAGAATATTTTTTGGAAAGTTTTGACATGAACAACAAACATCTCAATCAGCCAACTTTAGACAATATTTCCCAGGTACATGTCATACCTCACACAAACATTGCGGGCTGTAATATGTCTTTTCGCAGACAGTGCCTTAAGGTTTGACTTCCGATGATTTGATTCTCACACGTTTGTTGATATTCCTTGCAGGGTGATGGAGCGTACACTAACGCTACTTTAATAGACCTTCACATACATGTGTAAGCTGCCATTAATAATTGGCACCCATTCATAGATGTTTTATAGCATTTAGCATGTATTTTAGCATATTTGATAGCATTATGATGTTTTCTTGTATATTCGTCTTTATTAGTATTAGGGAGTTATATACTCTCCCCTGTTGTGCCTTCCTTGTATAAATGTAGTGAATTGTATTTTGTAATATCCTTTATGTAGTATTCAGTCTTCATAATGATGATATTTCTGTTATGTATGAATTATAATCATTTGATGATGTAAACATCGTAGTGCATGACTTTTTGATATTATAGAATAATCAACAAAAAATCAACAAAATTGATATACATATTGTATCTGATTTTAGGCCAATCTATCGGTTTTTAGTCCAAAATTCTTTGCATTTGTGATATTTTTAATCCATAATTCACCTTATTGTGATGTGTCTGATGCAACTGGTATTTTAGAGACATATTATTACACTTTAATCAACTCATTAACAATAAAGTCATTATTAATCTTTCAGTTTTCATTTGATCAAGATCCACAAATGATCTCATTTCTGACACATGTATTTTGTTTTCATCTCACTTCACTTGTATTATTTTGTATTAAGAATGCTACATTTCAACATTTAAGTTTTTAAAGCAATTTTAATTTTTGCCATATGTCATTGCTGTTGTTGTGAAAATAATTTTAACAATAGAACTAGATACAATATATTTTCATAAATGACAAATGAATTGCTCCACTATGCATCTTCTCAGTTGACTGCGCTAAAAACTGCATCAATAAAACTAGAAATGCATCAATTAAACTATAAATGCATCTTGCTAGAATAACTTTGGAATAATATTAAATAAAGGACTTGCTTATAGTGTACTTCTAATCTAGTTCAGTATATACAAGCATCTAATGTAATTACATGGAGTCATTTTAAAGCATACATGTAGTATTGTACTAATTCATTAGTTAGAGGATGTTACTATAGGGATCTAAATGCATTTTGAAACTGCATGAGCTCATTGATTGCAAACATTATCACTATTATGTAATATACAGAGTATGTGTTGATTATGATAAATACATGTGTTTTATTCTTTCATTTCACAGGGAGGTCAGAGGGATTCCCCATTCTCTCCTAACCATTTCCCGGGAATGTACGGCTTCCCAATACCAGTGGCGTCACCTCAAGATGAAGCCCCACTGGATCTCACAAAGAAAGCAGAGCCATCTATCCAGGTGCGCCCAAGGATGAGTCCACCTGAACTTGTGATCCCTAAACCCACACATCTGTTGAATGATGTCCAGCGTAGCGTATTTGCGATTCCACAGGAAGAACCAATCGATTTCTCCAGCAAGCACCTCATAAAGAAGGAGCCTCAGTCTGATATTGGGTATGATCTTAGTCTCAAAGTGGACACAGATCTTGGCGAGGAGTCTTCAGAATTCCCCACTCCTTTATCAGATAACCTGAAGTGTCCAAAATGTCCCTATGTAGCCCAGTTCCGATATGATTACGACCGCCATATTGAGCTTCACATGCGAAAACGCACACAGACCTGTGTGGAATGTCAGAAATCCTTCGTTACCATCGAAGAATTGAATGCTCACTTTGCAGATGCCCATAAGGATGTCATCAATGATGAGCGCCGTAACATGAGCTATAAACTTCACCCAGCTGATTCATGCTTCCCAATGGATGCCTTGCCTTTACAAGATGGGAAAACACTGAAGTGCACCAAGTGTGACTACATGGCTAGATGGCCTACAGAGCTCCAGAAGCACGCAATTACACACTCTACAGATCGACCATTTGTCTGCATGGTCTGCGGGTCAAGCTACAAATGGAAATGGGATCTGGTGAAACATTTCGATAAGAGCCACACAATGTTAACCAATCCATACAAGAAGCGAGACAATAGTCCAGGTGATCCTCCATCCCTAATGACTCCATCTGGCTCAAATGATGACTCGAGGGATGGCGATGTTATCATACTTGATGAACAACCAGAGTTGAAGCGCCCCAGATTGAATATTCCCGAATACACCCCTATCCATTCTGAAGTCTCCCCTAAATACATAGATACCCAACTCCTGGAGGGACCTCCCTTTAACAGACCCTTCAAGTGTGACCTCTGCCAGTTCAGCTCCAACTACAAAGGTGGCCTAGCTGTGCATAGACGACACTATCATCACATCTTGCCTCCAAATATGGACTCAGGTTCCCCGAGCCCTGCATCGTCCACTATGACGTCCCCGTCTCCTACGCTCTCAATCCCTCAGTTCTCTGGCATTGACTCATTGGCCAATCAGGTAAGTGTTTAACTGTCATGTCAAAATAATTTACATAATTTGATTATTATAATTTTGATTCATTTTAATAGTTCAGTCATATTTTTAGACATATTATATGGGTCATATCAAGTGGTGTTAGTTAAGAAAGTATGGTCATAATAGGGCCCATAAATAACAGCATCTCTATTCAGTATTATAGGATAATAGAAAAGAAATGAAGTTCTATTAAGTACAGTATATAACCCTTTGTGTTCTTGAGAATGAATTTATACATTGTAGATGAAGCAACTTCCTGTGACACCCAACAATGTCTCTAAATCTGGCTACACTAAAGTGTCAACCCCAGGGGGGTCAGGGGGGAGGTCGAAGCAAGTGAGGCAACCAGGCCCAGGGGCTAGTGCCGAGATGCTGCTACCTTACAAGTGTACAGTCTGTGAATACAGGTATAGAATTTAGATATTCTTGAAATTAAAATTAGTTTCCTCAGATCTCAATGTTTTTCCTTGTGTGTTTTGTCAAAGAGGGTTGCCAGTTGTTGTTCATTACATTATAAATAGTTTTGTTGAATTTGAATTATGTTTAACGACTTTTGACTTTAAAATAAGCAAAATGAAAAATTAACATTGAGTTAATGGGACTGTGAAAGATGTTCTATCTATACTTGTGTTCCACAAGAACAGGTTTTACTGTAATACATAATATTTGCAGAGCAAGATGGCCTAGCGAGATAACACAGCACATGAAGAACCATTCAGATGAGAAGCCGTACCATTGCCCACGCTGTACATACAAGTCCAAATGGAAGTGGGACGTTGTGAAGCATCTCAAGAGATGCGGAGGTGAGAAAGATTTACACTCCTTTTTACATACCCCTTTATTCAGTGGCAGCATGTTAATGTAATGTTAATAACATTCATGTTAATACCTTGTTAGTACTAAGTTCGTACTATTTTCGTAGTACCAGTTTATTTGGCTAGTATATTTGAAACCCTGTTCTAAATGAGCCTGTTGTTCTTACAGGGGGAACTATTAAAGATGTCATAGACACCACAAAACAGAAGGATCGTAGCAGACCTAAGTTTGCCCCACCGAATGTAACTGTGATGTCATCAGGAGGGTCTAATACAGCAACCCCTGCACAGCCTGGTGAGTGTATTAGAGATATGATTTTGTGTCATGTCAGGCCCATAGCCAGATTTTGCCAGGGGTTCACTTTTTGACAACTTCACTCACCAGGGGTACTGACTACTAGCCTGGACTAATAGGTCTTCTTAGGGACACAAGGCAATAAATAATATCTTGATTCGCATTGGTTTGGGTTCACAGTGTTTCCTGATAGTCTTAATAATGGCATTCTCATTTGAAACCATGTGTATAATTCGTAGTTTAAACTGATTCATTTAGCTAATATAGGTTCTTATTCTTCTATTTCAGCATACATTTACTCACCTCTCCCCCTGAACCAGAACTACAAAGTGGTTCCCACGCCACCCCAGCAGCAGAACTCAAGCCCCCTGGGAGGAAACATCCTTTCCTCCAAGGGACCCCAGGAGACGAGTCAAAACATCTCTGACCCAAATTTTAACAACATGATTAATCAGGGTCAGTATATCTGCCTACAATGTCCATTCATCGGCAATAGCCCAGCGGAGCTTAAGCGCCATTCTGTTCTGCATTCCGATTCCAAGCCGTATGTGTGTAAATCCTGTGGATACGGCTCCAAGTGGAAATGTGACCTAAAGAAACATCTAAGGACATACAACCACGAAGCTCTTGACCCTGAACTTGCTGCGGCAATGGCAAACAGTCAGGCTTCAACAGATGATAAACCAGATGAACCACTTCCTGAGATGGAGAAGCAAAAGTCCAATGAGACTGTCCTTTCAGCGCCTGTGTTCCCCACCCCCATGCTAGTCCAGGGGACCCAGCACTCTATGATGCTTCCCATTCAGCTCCCAGGACAAGACCCAGAGGATGACAGATCCTCACAGGTGTACAACTGCCCCCAGTGTAAGTACACAACTACTAAGAAACACATGCTAGAAGCCCACCAGAGGATCCACACGCAACCAGGGAAAAAACCAAGCAACAGGCTGACATGTAAACAGTGCGAATTTGAAGCTGAAGACCTACCCACATTCCTGCAACATAAACTCACCCACTCTGCCCAACAAACAGATGATGGCACCGATCTCTTATCTGAGATCCAGGGGGACCGCAAACATCGCCGTAAGCCCGTCAAGCAATTTAGATGTCACAAATGTCCATATGTATGCTTTAAGAAATCAGGCCTAGAGCAGCATGAATCGATGCATGAACCTAGAGGAACAGACACATTCAAGTGTGATTACTGCGACTACAATGTCTACAGCCGCAATCTTCTGACTCAGCATATGCGTCTCCACCCTGAGTTCACTCAGCAGTATGAAAATGAAGACAGTGAAGAAGACTATCAGCTTGAATACAACATGGAGCCCAAAGTTGGCTCATCAAAACAGCGGATCTTTCCAAAATCAAAAGATTCACGATATGACCACGAGGGGGCAGCAGTGGACCTCTCCGGGTCAGCAGACGATGGAGAAAACATCCCACCTGTCCTCCAAGCAGTTGGATTGACAACACCTGCTGGAGCTGCAATCATGGAATCCCAGAAGTCTCCAAAGAAGTTATCCCCAACTGAGCAGATTTTCTCCCCTATGTTAACATACTCAATGCAAGGTTCCCCTACAAAGAATAATGGTAGCCCAGTTGCCCATAGATGCCCAAAATGCCCATATGTGACTGGTCACAAGATCAACTTTGAGAAGCATATCCGCATGCACACAATTCGCAGCAAGTTTGTGTGTGAATGGTGTGACTGGAGCGCTGATAGGCTGAACCTTCTCTGGCGTCACGTTAAGCTCATCCACCCAGAGCAGCTTGATACATTCCAGCAAGATAAGGACGAGATATATGGGTTGAAACGCAAACAAGGACGCACATCACCCAGTTATACTCAGCAGAATGGCAGTCCAAAGCAAGATGGCGATTCATCACAATCCCCAACTCCAGGGATAGATTTCAACTCTAATACCTCCCTTAAGTCTATGAGTCAAAGCTCAGCAGGACGTAAGAAAAACTATTGCAACAAATGCGGGTACTATACAGATAATTTATACAACCTCCAGCGCCATCTGGATCAGCATAACAAGCCAGGGAGACATGTCTGTGATCGCTGCGACTATAGCGTAGATAGACTCAACTTGCTGTATCAACATATACGTGGTGTCCACGGTGACCAAATGGATGGTAAAGATCCTATTCTAGATGAGGAGGCAAGATCTGATGAGGATATTGATGGTGCAACACGTGAATACATCAATGAGAAGGTGATCACACTTGGACCAAAACTCTACAAATGTGGGGCTTGCGATTTTACAACTCAAAACATAAGCATTTGTAACAGTCATGCTATGAGACATGGGAGCAATAGCCAATTCACGTGTGACTTCTGCGACTTCAGTATGGAGAACATGAATGGAGTGTACCAACACATGGTCACAGTCCACTTACAGAGCCTTAGGCAACAGGAGAACCTGGAGAGACTCCCTGAGGAAACAGAACCTGAGCTCTCCCACTCTCACCCCCAAGGGGGCCTTGAGTACAGAGAAGGTCACATAATGAAATGTCCCGAGTGCCCCTTCAAGAGCATGGTAGTTGAATCCATGGAGCGTCATAGAGGGAGACATGGGTACAAGGGGAAATACACATGCGAGCATTGCAACTATAGCCTTGACAGAGTTAACCTGCTGTACCACCACATGCACCTACATGAGAAATCAAACTCGAAGTTGATGAATAGTAACAGCATGGTCCCCATGAATCTGAGTCGATCACATTACATGGAACTAGAGCCAAAACCAAAACGATCAAGGGCAACTGAATCTGGAGGGACTAGCTCAAGGGTAAAGATCCGCTACAAGTGCACCAGATGTCCGTATGCTACATTCTGTAAGCAGAACATTTTTAAGCACAAGAAGCAGCATCTTATTAAGAGTAAATACAGATGCGAACTCTGCACTTACAGCGCCACTCGTTGGTTTCTTCTTCAACAGCATATGAAGTTTCACGACTCCGAAGATGATCCCACCACTCAACGTTCCATATTCCAAGACATATTCCTTGACCCTGAAGAAGATGATAGCGTTGTTGAAATCGAACGCAGTAAAGTACCATCTGGCACCTACAAGCAAGATCCAGACAAACTGGAGGCTTTGGCACGTTTGAAAAGCTCTGCTGCTGTTGCGAAGAAGGCAAAGGACATCAAATGTCGACTCTGTGGATTTGAAACAAATTCTGATGTTGAGTTCTCCACACATGTGGAGTGTCACGAATCAGGCCAGAGATACAGGTATTGCGCAATAATTTAAAATATCAAATTATTAAATCATATTTTAACTTCATTACTACGATATATTAAATCATATTTTAACTTCATTACTAGAGAATATTGACTTAAATCAGAACAAATGAATCAAATGCTTCTTTAATGTTTCCATGTTTATTTTGTTAATGTTTTCAACAAACTCCTGACAAATTCACTTTCTTTTTTGCAGGTGTGACTATTGTGACTTCATCACTAACCATATCAACTCTCTACATGGTCATCGTCGCCAGCATTGTCACGATTCCTCCTTTATAGAGAACCCACCACTTGAGAACATACTCAACAGAAACTTTCACGAGATTGAGTACTTTAAAATGGAAGACTCTAGTATCGGAGTGAATATGAATATAAACTATGAGTCACCCAAAGTGAATTATGAATCGCCCAATCCAAGTCCCATGAGTGTAAAATCTGATGATAACTCGAAGTCCGCATCACTGAAAAGCGACCAATCAGATTATGAATGTGCATTCTGCGGGTTTGTGTTTTTGACGGAAGGGGAGCACATGAGTCACACGCAGCAGCACGGTGCCAATAAAAAATATGTGTGCGATTATTGTGATTGGTCGAATGATGTATTAGAAGATGTGTATGCACATAGGAACCTTGTTCATATACGCTCTTCCAACTATGATCCCCACCCGTCTGAAGATGAACTTAAAAACAAAGACACCAGTTCATGTAGTGAAAATGAATCAGTTGATAATTCAGATGTGAACAGTAAAATGATGTATAAATGCGACCAATGCCCATTTGAATGTAGCAGCAAAAGTGCTCTTGGTGGCCACATGAGGTTCCACGTCAATGCAGGACGTCACAAATGCGATAAATGCAATTTCAGCATTGATAAACTAAATCTGTTATACCAGCATATGAAACTTCATTTGAGTGGTTCCACCTTCGCCAATCATTACCAGTGCCGAAAATGCCCCTTTATTACAAAAAATCGAGACATTCTCCAGTTCCATGTTGGTTGCCATGGCAGTAATTGTCAATTCAAATGCAACTTTTGTGACTATGCAGTGGAGAGGTTGGCATCTTTGGAGCAACATAATAAACTGCATTCATCTAAATTCAATGTCAGTGACTCAGATCTGCCTGTACATTCGTTAAAACATTATAAAGAAGTACGTGAAAATCAGTTGTTGAACTTTAGTCTGAAGGCCCCCGAGAATGGACATTCTGATCATGACAAACCACATGTTAATCATGACAAACCCAAGCTTAATGGAGGTGAAAATGAGCCTGATGCCCCTGAGGACTATATGTCTGATACTGATGATTACGAGACCCATGATGATGATCTTACCTCTACATCTGGTGTTAAACTTACCCCAATACGTGGCAAGCCTCTAAAACAACACTTATGTTCAAAATGCCCGTATAAAACCACCAACAAGAGTAACTTCATATCACATCTTGCTCAGCATCGAGCCCAGAGTAAATTCACATGTCCGTATTGCGACTACAGCAGTGCACGGATGGACCAGATTGGAATGCATATGAGACTGCATTTTCCAGAGGCTGAATTAGAAGCAAAATCAATTGAGCTGCTCGTTGCAAATAATGACTCTCCCGCTGATTTAACAATGGGAGGAAACGTTGATGAGGAAAATAATATAACAGACAATAAGGTGTCTGATTTGAAATGCAAGGCCTACAATAAAACCACTACCTGCCAACATTGTAACCAGAACCTTGATAATATAGAAGCACACGAGTGCCAGCGTCATATCATTGGATACTAACTTATGTATTTATATTGATTTAAAACATGTCCACTGAAAGACTTACTTAACATTAAATTAGATGCATTTATTAGCAAAAACATGACTTTAGATAGAAACACATTTTATATAATATGTGTTCAGATTGTAGATAGATGGTGAGCTGAGAATTTTCTGATGTGAACATAGTAATTACTGAGTTACATGTAAAACTAATACAATGCTGCTTTCTCTCTATATCCTGTTACGAATCTAAAAGTATGTTAAACATGACAATATAGTGAATAAGTCACATACAAAATGTTGTCTATTTGACATTAAGGTGACTTACATCTGATACTAACATGACGAGGTTGTGATCTTTTAAATTTATTTACACCTATACCATTCCATGTTTTTTTTTTGTTATATTCAGCACTTGCTTTTCCTGATGGCCAACTGTTTAGGCCTCGTGTTGAAGATATGTTAAATCTTGAATATTGTAGTTATTGTATTTTGCTTAGTTAGTAATTATTGCTTTGCTTTAACTGAATAATGACACAATAATATGTATATATTGCAATACCATATTCATGCTGCAATATCACATTCATAATGCAATATCACATAAAAAGCAATATCATTGATAAGTAAATGCGTTTACAGGTTCTACAGCAATTAAAATTAAGATGTAAATCAATGATGATTAAATTATAAATTAAAGATGATGCAATAATATATTATGGATTAGAAATAAGGTAGATTATTCATTTGGCAGCTGTATTTGTCTACAGATGTTTCACAGCTGCATTGTAATTATAGATTGTAAATATTTTGTGTATAAAGGTTGAAAAGACCCAAATGTGAATCTATGAATTTATATCATATACAGACGTAATCAAACTTCAATTTTTGGTTTATTTTGAAACCATTTTGCAATGTTGTTGTGGATGTTACAAAAACTGCATAGTTGTCATGGCAACTTGGGCACATTTATATAACATCAGGGGAATCCCCTTTCTGAAAGGGAACGGTGTAGAATGCCATGATTTTTATTATGTAGATTTTGAAATTATCCACTTAGCAATTATTCTCTCTTGCCAGGAGTGCTTTCTTTGTGTAATATAGGATATATATTTTATTTCATATTCTTTTATTTCATGTATACATATTATATCATATTTGTAGCTAATATAGTTATTAGACATTAGGTTAACATTTTTGTTATATTAGGTTTATATATTGGACTGTGTAATATTTACTGGTGCAATCGTATCTACTTACTGTTTATCAGTAAATCTGATTTTCTTTGTTGTAAAACGTTCAGTGCAGAGAGTGTTAAATCATTCAGTCTTTGAAACAAAGCCACTTTAAAGGGGGAATCAGTCACAGAGAATAATATTTTTAATGTTGTGGCAATTTTGAAATCTGTGATTCATAAAAAATGTAATTTCAATTTAAATCTTAGTTATCTCCTCCCATTTAAAAAGGTATTATGAAACATTTCCATATTTAAATATTAAAACGAACAGAAAATATGAATTCCCAGTTTCCTATGGCATATGCTACCTTTAAAACATTTAATGAGATTTGGCTAAAACTTCAACTTTTAACCGAAAATCCAAGATTGGTTTTGGAGCTCGATATTTCCTTTTTCCCAAATGAAAACATCAACTGTTCTGAACTTTTTATGACTTGTTAAGAATTATATTATTACATGATAATAAACTAGAGGCAATAACAAACCGTGGCAGCGTGCAAAATTCCTTGATAGAAACTGTACACAATTTGATGGCAAATATAGCGATAATTAAACCAGTGAAATTAATTTGCAAATATAGATTTTTTCTGTATACTTGGTAACAGACACCTTGGCCATTCGTGTCTAATTAGATGCAAATTTTATGTTTTGGTGATAATTTTCGTAAATATTTGTTTTAAGTTGTTACATCTACAAGGCAGGTGAAGGACGCATATGCAATATAAAGTGATTAATACTAATTAATTAATTAATCAATTAATTGATTAGATATTTATATATTAGTTTATATATATTAATAGTTTAGTTTATAGTTAGTTTAATTAGCTATTAGTTTAAATCAGAATACCGTGAGATTTATTTGTAAAATATGATTTTGCTAGATTTCTATATGAAATACTTTGTATATAATATTCTGTAGTTTTGAATATGGCAGAGCCTTTACTCTGTACTATTATTGTACAGTCAAACTTTGTTGAAGAGGAGGGCTTTAAATTAACTCTTGCCTGTATGTATGTATGTGATAAAACTGATAAACTCTGAACCAGGAAAACAAAAGAAATAGTTGTAAACATACAATGTACTATAATTGTGTATTATCAATTATGGTATAACATAAAATGATAAGTTATGATTTGAGTTTTCCTTTATGTACCTACCTTATGTGTTATCTAAACATAGACAAATAATCCTCTTATTCCTGATTTGAAAGAAATCTCAATATGCAGCATAGTTTGCCCATATTTATTTATTTATATGCATTTTCAAACCATTATTTATGTAACCTAATATGGTAATCTCATCTTAAGTGTATCGTATGAGTCTAAGTATGACATTATAAACAGAGATTTCAGTTACTATTGAGATAAAGACAATATGTAGTCCCATTTTATTGTGAAACCTGGTTTATTGTATATTTATTGTATACTAAGTCATTGTATACTTTGCATTATCATCTGAGTACATAGCTAGTCTACTCAATTGTCTTTCACTTACCTAATAATATCATTTGAGTAAAAGTAGAGTTTTAGAAGTAGAATGAACCACACTACTGCTCGTGTTTATTTAGAAATAATTTTGTGTATTTACATTTTATAATTATGAACAGTGGTGTATTTTCAAGCAGATTGCATTAAAAGAACATGTTGAAGGTAAATGTATTGCAAATACAGGGTGCCCAAAAGTAGGTTTACAGTTAATAGATTTTGTTAAATTGCTGTAAATCTACTTTTTGGCCACCCAGTATATTTGCTATATTTTATTTCCATATATGGACAATAGGATCATTATTATTAGGATTTATTGATCTGAATCTTGATAAAAATGGAGTTTGTTAGAAATGATGCTGTAGAATCATATTCTTAATTTCGTGAAACTGGTCATATTCGGTTATGTTGTATATTTATGTATAATAGAAAATAAAATGTATATAATTATATGGTAAAAAAAATGATATTAATTTCAATTACTAATTTCTTTGGATGTTAATATTATGTTACATGATTCTTGTACATAAATGTGTTTATATTATTTCAGTTGTGTATATGATGTCAGTTCAAACCAAAAGGTGGCACTGGTGGACATGTTATTCACTCATTTTTCTCAAAACCTTATTTTCTTGTAATTTGATTATTTTATCATTTATTTATTTATAGTTCAAATTTTCAGGATATTTCATTCAAATACACAAGGGACATACTGAATATGTACTGTATATGATGGATATTACATGTATATTATATGGATATACATCTATGTACATGTATATGCAATTTACATGAAGTGAAAGCTAACGTTCTTGGTGTGAAAATTCAACATTAAGCAAAAGTAAAGAAGAGCATATGACATTGTAAAACATTATAACATATAAAAGTGTGGAACATTATTTTCATTATTTTTTGATTTTTGAGAGAATTTGAGTGAATAAACCATGCTCATCATAATGCGAGGGTTTTGATGTGATGTTGAGGTGCTGGTAGAATAGATCTGTTATTATTGTTGTACATATTCAAGTCAAAATAACTGCACATTACACAGAACTGCAGTAATGGTTATAATGGAGAAATAAAGGAAGAAATAATTGACTAACCTGAATAAATATTTTGTTTATTATTTGAAAGAAAGGAACATGTTTTAAATACAGTGGTGTAAATAACAGCAATATAAAGGCAGGGTCCATCACGTTTTTGTGTATTAGTTGTTCAACAACATTTTAGACCATTTTCCTCCACTTTCCCAAGCTCTGCAATGACAGGCTAAACATGCTAATCTTGAATCATTTTTTAAAATAATGTTTGGCCATTCCCTTACCTTTATGAGATTGATTTTTTGACCCAGCCCCCAATGAATATAGAAACTTAATTTTGTTTTCCCATACAAGACTGATAAGCGCCCAGTTTTTGATTGAACGGAGCAACAGACTATATATTTTTGAATAGTTGACTGAACAAAACAAAAGACTATATATATGTCTTTGAATAGTTGACCAAACAAAGCAACAGATTATATATTTTTGCATAGTTGACTGAACAAAGCAACAGACTATATATTTTTGAATAGTTGACTGAACAAAGCAACAGACTATATATTTTTGAATAGTTGACTAAACAAAGCAACAGACTATATATTTTTGAATAGTTGACCGAACAAAGCAACAGATTATATATTTTTGAAAAGTTGACTGAACAAAGCAACAGACTATATATATGTTTTTGAATAGTTCACCAAACAAAGCAACAGATTATATATTTTGCATAGTTGACTGAACAAAGCAACAGACTATATATATGTTTTTGAATAGTTGACCAAACAAAGCAACAGATTATATATTTTGAATAGTTGACCGAACAAAGCAACAGACTATATATTTTTGAATAGTTGACTGAACAAAGCAACAGACTATATATATGTTTTTGAATAGTTGACCAAACAAAGCAACAGGTTATATATTTTGCATAGTTGACAGAACAAAGCAACAGATTATATATTTTGCATAGTTGACCGAACAAAGCAACAGATTATATATTTTGAATAGTTGACCGAACAAAGCAACAGATTATATATTTTTGAATAGTTGACTGAACAAAGCAACAGACTATATATATGTTTTTGAATAGTTGACCAAACAAAGCAACAGATTATATATTTTGCATAGTTGACTGAACAAAGCAACAGACTATATATATGTTTTTGATTAGTTGACCAAACAAAGCAACAGATTATATATTTTGAATAGTTGACCGAACAAAGCAACAGACTATATATTTTTGAATAGTTGACTGAACAAAGCAACAGACTATATATATGTTTTTGAATAGTTGACCAAACAAAGCAACAGATTATATATTTTGCATAGTTGACTGAACAAAGCAACAGACTATATATATGTTTTTGAATAGTTGACCAAACAAAGCAACAGATTATATATTTTGCATAATTGACTGAACAAAGCAACAGACTATTTTTTGCATAGTTGACTGAACAAAGCAACAGATTATATATTTTGAATAGTTGACCAAACAAAGCAACAGATTATATATTTTGAATAGTTGACTGAACAAAGCAACAGACTATATATTTTTGAATAGTTGACTGAACAAAGCAACAGACTATATATATGTTTTTGAATAGTTGACCAAACAAAGCAACAGATTATATATTTTGCATAGTTGACTGAACAAAGCAACAGACTATATATATGTTTTTGAATAGTTGACCAAACAAAGCAACAGATTATACATGTATATTTTGCATAATTGACTGAACAAAGCAACAGACTATATTTTTGCATGCATGACCGAACAAAGTAACAGGCTATATTTTTGAATGCATGACTGAACAAAGCAGCGGACTATACATGTATATTGCTGCATTGATGATTAAACAAAGCAACAGACAATATATGTTTGCAAGGATGACAGAACAGAGCAACAGACAACAACTAGCTGACAATTATTTTCCATACTTTAAGTTAATTGACTGCATACTAAGAAATGGACTCTACCATGTCCATGTTATTACTTGAGAGTTCAGTTTATAATGTTCATAATGTTCTCCATGACCAAATATATGGCACTAATGGCAGTAGTTTGAACCACGTTCAGTTCACTTTATAATGTTCACTCTCCATGACCAAATATGGTACCAATGGCAGTAGTTTGAACCACGTTCAGTTCACTTTATAATGTTCACTCTCCATGACCAAATATGGTACCAATGGCAGTAGTTTGAACCACATTTAGTTCAGTTTATAACGTTCACTCTCCATGACCAAATATGGCATCAATGGCAGTACTTTGAACCACATTCGGTTCAGTTTATAATGTTCACTCCATGACCAAATATGACACCAATGGCAGTAGTTTGAACCACACAGTTCAGTTTATAATGTTCACTTTCCATGACCAAATATGGCACCAATGGCAGTAGTTTGAACCACATAGTTCAGCTTATAATGTTCACTCTCCATGACCAAATATGGTACCAATGGCAGTAGTTTGAACCACACAGTTCAGTTTATAATGTTCACTCTCCATGACCAAATATGGCACAAATGGCAGTAGTTTGAGCCACACAGTTCAGTTTATAATGTTCACTCTCCATGACCAAATATGGCACCAATGGCAGTAGTTTGAACCACTCAGTTCAGTTTATAATGTTCACTCTCCATGACCAAATATGGCACAAATGGCAGTAGTTTGAGCCACACAGTTCAGTTTATAATGTTCACTTTCCATGACCAAATATGGCACCAATGGCAGTAGTTTGAACCACATAGTTCAGCTTATAATGTTCACTCTCCATGACCAAATATGGTACCAATGGCAGTAGTTTGAACCACTCAGTTCAGTTTATAATGTTCACTCTCCATGACCAAATATGGCACCAATGGTAGTACTTTGAACCACATTCAGTTCATATCATTTTCTCCCAGTCCCATATAAGTCATTGCTTTCTGTACAAGTTCCCCTTTCTTGTCCTTAGCCCTACATGGAACACCTTTCCCTTTCAACCAGGAAAGCAGGGTTACGGTGTTCACTTTGGACAACTGAAATAGAAATTTAATTGAATATTTAGAAATATATATATAATATATCATATACTAATACAGACTTTAGACGTGGCAGTATTTAGTATAATAGTATTTTCAAAACAGAAAAGATAGTAACATAAATTGAATTTAATATGTACATCATACAGAGTGTTGGGTACAAAGTATTTTCAAAACAGAATGTAATATTGTTCACTTAAGACAACTGAAATAAAGATTGAATGGCAAAGGTCTTAAAAGAATGTTCAAAATTTAGAACTCTCTGGAGAAATATAAAATGGCAATGACCACATAAAAACAATTTTGTACATTTAAATCATATTAAAATTCAATTTTAATTACCTACTTTTTTTACTTTTTTTTTATTACAATTATACTTTGAGAGATATGTAACATGATCTTGCTGATTTAAATTTTGACAACAGTTTCTGAAAGGTTTGGAGGGTTACTAGACACTTTTAAATTTTGTTTGTTTGTTCATTGTTTTTGCTGCTTATGATGTGTTTTGTTGTGACAGGTATGGTATTCAACCCTCATGGCACATTGCATACATGCTAAGTGATGGTATTCAAAATGGCACTGACCTGGTTATTCCTGGCAAGTCCTTCAATGTCCATGTTCTCTTGAATCTGAGGCTTGGGCCGTGCTTTCTTGACACCCTTCTCATCTATGGATGGTGCCTGGGGTCTCTTCATCTGCTGGAAATACATGTATGTAGGGTTGTCTCAGTTTTGCGCTACATTTTACATGTACTCCATTCAGGGTGCTCACTGGGATTCCATTTGAGCCTGAAGCTCAGAGAAGAGGTCAGAGTTTGTGTGGAAAGCACATTTCATGGAGTGAGTCCCTAGAGAGGGTGTCTGAAGGCATGCCCATCATGGATAATTTTGGAAAATTCACTTCTCTCAGATGCATTCTAAGGATGCAAGACATTTTTCAAGTTTGCAATTGAAGAGAATTACTTGATTTTTTTCGAGTTCTTGTTTACAATTCAGAAGAAGCACCTATACTGGAGTATCTTTTGAAAAATGCTGTAATTGATGCAAAAACATTTAAATTCTTAAAGTCCCCATATAAAGTTTAAACCACTTTGGCTAATATTGTAGTCTTACCCAATGTTATCAAAGTGTGATATGTGAAACTTTTTTTTCAAATTTCAAAATATGGTTTTTGATAGACTTTTTGTTCCAAAATTTGTGAATTTATTTAAAACTAACTTTTAGAGGTCACACATGTATTTTGATTAGCCACAATTCACACCAATGCATAGCATTCATCCTCGCATGTTTTTTGCCGAAAAAATTAAACAAGAACACAAATGTGTACAAAATGTCCCCACCTATTGGTGATCCCGTCAAATGGTTATCCTGAAAATGAGTAGACAAGACTTTACCGACACAATTTGAGGACGGAAAATCTAAAATGGCCACCTTAAAATTTACCTAGATTGCCATAGAATTAGTCAGTTCTAGATTTTCATACTAAGAACCATCCCTGAAAATTTGAAATTGATCCGTCACACAGTTAACCAGAAAACATGTAAACAAGACTTTACAGACAAGATTTGAGGACAGAAAATCCAAAATGGCTACCTTGACATTTATCCAAAATGCCAAAAAAACTAATCAGATCTAGATTTTCATACTAAGAATCATCCCTGAAAGTTTGAAATTGATCTATCAAACGGTTCACCTAAAAATGCGTAGACAAGACTTTACAGGCAAGATTTTAAGACGGAAAATCCAATATGGCTGCCTTGACATTTATCCAGAATGCCAAAAAACTAATCAGTTCTAGATTTTCATACTAAGAATCATCCCTGAAAATTTCAAATTGATCTACCAAACGGTTCACCTGGAAATGCGTTTCAAAATTTTAGTTCTCATAGAAACCAATGGTACAGTGATATCTAAAACATAATATATTCTTCATTTTAACCTGGTTAGACAATTAACATTGGTTTATTATTGAAATCTAGCAATTTAGAAAAGATTGACATCGAAAAAAAAATTTGAAAGTTTTTGCTACCTTAGTGACATCACTAATGTTGCAAAATATTTTTGATATGCGAAAACATTGAAGTGGCCCATTAAATATGGCATTTTATTATTGAAATAGAGTGTCCTTTGTTCAATCTTTGCATTGGTGTTAAAAAGATAATCTTTTTTGATATGCAATTAAGAAATATTTGATGATTAAAAAAGTTCAACTTTTTTTGAAAAATGGAGGAAATTTGAATATTTGAGAACTGAAATGCTCACAACTTTTTTTTCAAAATAATTTTTTTTTTCAAAAATCTCTAAAATGACTTTTTAAGTCATGACAAATAGTAAATGAATGATAAAAAAATATTTTCAAACTTAAGACAGGGAACTTTAAGCACTGTCATTCTACTTTATTACTGCAACAGACTTGTAAAGAATATGTTTTGACAAACACCAGACTGATCAGCATTTTTAGTAAAAAAGAGGCTGACAAAGCTTAATCACAAATGTCTTATATTGTGTTCTACCCTAGTTAATTTAATTCTTCTTGAATCTCATTAACACATCATTAAAAAGGGAGTTCCACCATAATAGGAGGCACATGTCCACACATTACAACAACATGTAATGAGGAGGTTGTGGGTTCAATTCCCACCAAGGTGGTGTGACCTTTTCACATCAACCCTTAGCATTATGCTTTGATCCTGTTTTTCAAATTAACCCTACATGTATATCACGAGGCACATGTCCAGTTGTCCACACATTACAATTTTGTCAAAATAGAAATACATCAAAGAATCCCCATGCTCTGCTTTGTGTAAAGAGTTACTAGTGAAATATCACAGTTATGGTGGTCATTACTTTTTCATAATTCTATTCTCAGATTCTGGAAAAGTTGAATAAACTACCCAATTCAATGATAAGTGGCTCATTGTTAGACATCTGTGTAACTGTTACATGTACTTATTTGGGAACATTATTAGTGGTTCCAAATTTCACTCAAATTCAAAAAGCACCAATTTTGTTTTTAAAATTTATATTTGCTCATATTTCAAGAATACCGCTTCAACAGACCTTTCCAATAAACCCTGCCACCTTTTGCTATATAAAAAAATCTTGATCAGATTGATGATTTCATAGGTTGTAGATACTGTATGTTGAGTACAATCAATATTCAAGTTTTCCAAATATAGGAATAAGTTAATCCAATTTTATCTGGAGCAACCTATGTAACCATCAGTCTAGCCAATATGTCTTTATAGCTTCCTTGATGTAGCAAGTGGTAAATGTGGTAGGGTTTCTAAAAAGGGTATATATTTTCATGAATCCATCTGACAAGCCTACTACAAGTATTTTCAATCATTTCCAAAGAAAAGTCCTGCACAAATTCAAAATGTTGCTACTTTTGGGTATTGTCATATACTAGTCGCATTAGTCACAATTGGTGCATATATTATTAATTTTGCCTTTGTATTTTGGATCCTGGCTATGCTAATGTTATGTAACAGTTTATTCCATTAAGCACATTTGAGTGTATGGTCATCAATACGGTATGTCAGTTTTCATGTAGGAGCTGTTATTTTGTGATCATTTCTGTAAACATACTAACACATATTTACTCTCTGTATTTCACTACCCAGATATTCCTTCTGAATTCTCCTACTAACAGTTGTCCCTCATTGTCCACTGCTACAGCTTGAGGGTACTGCAATCCATCTGATGATGTCAGGAGATATTTGATAAACTCGCCATCTGGTCCTAACAAGTGTACTCTGTGGTTGTTGGTGTCAGCCACGATGATATTGTCAGCCATGTCTGTACATAGACCCCTGGGATTATTCAGTTGGTTCTGTCCACTACCTTCAGTGCCATACCTTAACAGCTCATTGCCATCTCTGGTCATGCCCACTATACAGTGTGCTAGATAATCAGATACTATCACTTCATCGTTGCTATTGGTGGCTACATTGAGTGGCATTCTGAAGGTACCTTGTGCAGCCTTGGTCAGTATTTTATCAGTAGCACTATCTACATGGTATACTGTCTTAGTTCTTTTGTCACATATAACAAATTCTCCTCCTGAGTTAACAGCAATACCCCTACATTCTCCTAGGAGGGGTATCTTCATATCTCTGCTGTGTGTACCATCCTGGTTGTATATGTGGACTTCATCAGTTCCACTGGTAAAATATATCTCTTTGCCTTTTGTAGTAGCATGGTAAAATCCTTTACCAAATGTCGTCTTCAAAGTAAAGTCCTTGTCAAAGACTATAGCTGATGTATTTCGCCCATTTGCGATAGTTTCATTGTTACTCGTCACAGCTAAATCATGAACATTCTACGTTTTATTTAACGCCGTCCTTACATTAGATGGACCCCAAAAAATAATGTTGGACGGAAAAATAAAAAACTCCAGAGTCCCTTGGACGCACTTTATTTTTACAGCAATTTCCAAAAACCTTACCTCTTAGAACACTCAAACAGTAGTACAAATGAAAGAATATAAATTGGCCTACCTTGTGAAGACAAAATCTAAGTATAATAGGCAGATAATCAGCAGTGTTTCAGAGAAACACTGAAATAATTATCTTACTGTAATTCGGCCACCATTTTGATTGACCTCTAAAACCAAAACATCATTGCTTTGAGATTAATGGTTCAGTAGCAAAAAACCTTTATCACTGTCCTGCCATCTTTCAATGGATACTATTATTAACAATTAGCCTACACATAAACTTGACAACAAACTGTTTAATTAATACAGTTGATCTTTTTGGCATTATCTTACATCATAGTGAGAAAGCACAAAGGGCAACATTTGAAAACAAATAAAATATTACAAGTCAAAAATACATATCAAACTATTGAATGTTGATCTTTATATTTCATTGAGATTGATAATGTGTCAGAAAGGAATATTGAGTTTATTAATTTACATCAGAGTGAGGAGGAACAAGGGGCAACATTGAAAAACAAAGTAATTAAGAAAAAAATTAATTACAATCAATTATGTATTATAAATATTATTATTGGAAATTTTTTGCCGAGATATGCCAGAATGCACCAGAGAGGGTCTAAATTACAAAATTGTCTGAGCTAGTATGTACCTACAGTACATGTATGTGTATTATTTGAACAGATTTAGATAAAAAGAGGAAAAATTGAATTATCATTACATCCTTCATGTATTGACAATGATGATAATGAACATTATGAAATGTTACAATAAATATGTTTATGTAGTTGTAAGTTTAGTAAATATAAAATCACTCCATAAGACTACATGGTAAAAAAGACAAAAATGCCTTACATTTGTGTTACTTTAGAAAAAAACGAGTACTTGAATTTGCTTTATCCAATTTTTTCATTTTTAATTAGTTTCAGGCCTTTAATTTTTCGGACCCACTTTTTTTGGTTTGGACTCCATTTTTTTTTACCGTGGGGTCCATTGGACCCACTTTTTGGTAACACTAAATAAAACGCTGACATTTCTATTTGATTCCACCTTCTTTAATACTATTGACTTTTCAAGTATTTCTATTGTATTTTTAAGGGTGTTAATGTTCACGTTTCCAAACATTATTCTATCCTCAAACACCTCACCCCTGTTGATGTTGAATGTAATGTTCTCATCAAATTCAGAGGATTTTGGATTGGACCATTCTTTTAATTTTGATGTGATGTCTTTGGCTATGTTCGCTAGCTGTGAATCGTGTCCATGTTGTTTTAATGTATGCAGTTGTATCATTGTGCTCTCAGTGGTGGCCTTTTGCATGTGTAGATGTCCCAGATGTGCCACTGCTTGCTTGGCACATGTGGCTCTTTTTTCAGCCACATAGTTGATGTCTTTGGTGTATTTATCACGAATGGCTTGAATAGCCACGTTCATATCATTGTTCAGTTCATGTGTGACATCATCTGCTTCTTGTTCCATTTTATCCTTCTTGGTATGAGTACTTTGTATTGCTTTTTCATACGTTTCAACAAGCTGCTCACCTTTCTCTATGAGTTCATCAATCAGGGTTATGTTATCCTCAACAGCCTTATGGATATCGACACATTCGTGCCCAGAATGGTTGATTACATAACATGTCGCACATACAGCACATTGGTCCACCTTACAGTATATCTCAAGTGGAGTCATCTTATGTGTTTCGCAAAACACCACACGCTGTTTTATGATCTTTAGTGGGGTGGTTGTATCTTGTGCTTTGTCACCTGTAAGATCAAGTACTGTGTGACCTTTATGAAACTTTGTGTGATATCTGTCACAGTCTTTACACAGCTGCTCATTACATTGTACACATTTTGTTATTGCATCAATGTCTATTTGGTCATTCTTACATAATGTACAGTAAGGATTGTCCCCAACATCCAAGGCTTTGAATAGATCCACTAATGAACTTGTAGTGAAGTTGACCTTAAATTTAGCCACTCCGCCTTCAGGTATTGTATGAACTTGTCTACATTCTGGGCAGCTTAGACAGTATTTCACTCCTTCCGTGATCTTTTCTAATTCATCCAGACATTTACAACAATATGTGTGCATACAAGGCAGTGTCCTTGGGTCTGTTAATGTTTCATAACACAGCGTACATTTTAATGTCTCTTTAACATGTTCATCTATTGCTGTCGCCATTTTGATTAATATCGCATGATGTTATATTGAGTTGTTTTTTATGCATGTTGAAATGATAAGAACTGTATTCTTTACACAATCACTACTCTCCATTCTTTCACTGTAGCCAGTATGTCAACTTCTGATTGTGCAAATAGTACTGCATATAGTAGCCCTATAGAGGATTTAGAGGATACCATGACCTTAGCTATTTACATTATAAAAAAAACTATTGAGCATTGAAGTGTTCCCTTACAAAAAATCATTTATGCCTTCTTATAGGCTGAAACTAATTGTTCTTATCCTTGGGACAATATGATATTTTCTTCTGGCAATCCCAAGCCCTCAGGAAATATCATATTGTCCCTCGAAATAAAACCCATATTCAATAATGCAGATGCGAGTAGATAGTTACCAGTTTCACCACCAGGTGGCTCGTTCGGGTCAGATAGCATGGCGAGTATATTAGAAAGTTCCCTTTAACTTAAATTACATCTGTTTTAGTGGTTCAATTTTCATATAACCCTTATGATTGTATCTACTAGTTATGCAAATTAAAATATGTGCAGTAAAAGAAAATGTTATCTGTCCAATACAAGAAAAGATATTTCACTTTCTGTGATTCTGTAAGATGGGGTCTGTGGGGAATCAACCCAAACTAGAAGTCACATTTTCAAAAAATTTTTAAAAAGTTGATATACCATATTTCTAGATGTACTTTTACATGTAGATTTCAAATATGACATCACTTTGACTGAATTTTGAATATTTAATGATTATTTTTAATGATTAAGATTATTTCTACTCTAGTACATCGCTCCCATAAAATACCTCTATGTTTTTACATGATCAATACTCTTAGATAATATTTAGTAATAGACCAACCATATTAGACGAGTAGCAGCCGGCAATATTTGAAGAGATTAAACCTCCGAAAGGTTACTGGCTAATCTTGGTACCGTTGGAAAGCTTAACTTCTGCACTAACATGCTTGATGACTAAAAACATTCAGAACAGGTGGAAAAGTTCTTAAAATGCTGGTTTCCATGGTAACTGCAATGTTGTCACTTTTAAGGCCCATGAATATACTTTTGAACATATCTAGATAACGCTTTGACCATATGTCTTGATAAAAGTATCACTGTAAAGATAATTTGACACAGTTTTTGAAAAAATGTATTTTTTGGATTATTGGACTCATTGTGATGTCATAGAACTAGAAACGGCTGATTTTTCGGTGATTTTGACAGAATTTAGACACGTGTCGTATGCTAATGTAAGCTACATTATCTAATAAAACTATTTTGTGTTTAAAAGTGACTTAACACAACACTTATATGTATATTATCGGGCAAACAATATCATTATGATTGTGATGTCATAATACAAAGAGATAGAGGCCTAATTCAAATATCTAATATCGAGATTTTTGACAAATCAAGATATATTTGAGGCATTTATACATTTATACATTTTCAATGATAATTTAAAAAATCCTCAACAATATAATGTTATGTTTAATATATCAATGAAAAGGTTACTGGCAAATCATGGTACCGTTGGAAAGCTTAGCATCTGCACTAATATGTTTGACGACTAAAACAATTCAGAACAGGTGAGAAAATTCTTTAAAATGCTGGTTTCCATGGTAACTGCAATGTTGTCACCAGTAAGGCCCATGAATATACTTTTGAACATATCTAGAGAACACTTTGACCATATGTCTTGATAAAAGTATCACTGTAAAGGTAATTTAACAAACTTGTTGAAAAAAGGTATTTTTGGATTATTGGGATCATTGTGATGTCATAGAACTAGAAACGGCTGATTTTTCAGTGATTTTGACAGAGTTGAGACATGTATCATATGCTTCTGTAAGCTACAATACTTAAAGTAAACTATGTTTTGTCTTTAAGTGACTTAACGCAACACATAGTATTAATATATCGAACAATCAATATCACTATGATTGTGATGTCATAATGCAAAGAGATAGAGGCCAAGTTCAAATATCTAATATCGAGATTTTTGACAAATCAAGATATATTTGAGGCATTTATACATTTTATATATTTTCAATGATAATTTAAAAAATCCTCAACAATATAATGTCATGCATGTTAGATATGTCGATGAAAAGGTTACTGGCTAATCATGGTACCGTTGGAAAGCTTAGCATCTGTGTTAACATGCCTCATCCCTAAAATAAATCAAAACAGGTGAGAACATTTTTAAAAATGATGGTTTCCATGGTAACTGCAATGTTGTCACTATTAAAGTCCATAAATATACTTTTGAAGATATCTAGGGAACGCTTTGACCATATATCATGTTTAAAGTTTCATTGTAAAGGTAATTTAACAAACTTGTTGAAAATACATATTTTCTGGGGTTTTGGGCTCATTGTGATGTCATATAAATAGAAACGCTTGATTTTTGGTGATTTTGACATAATTCACACAAGTACATATCATGCGCTTTTGTAGCCGATAGTAGTTACAGAATAAACTATTTTGTGTAAATACATGATTTAGGACATGTTGTACAACACTTATATGTATTAGTATATCAGACAAGTAATATCATCGTACTTGTGATGTTATAATTCAAAACTTTTAGATAAAGGTATATTTCAAATATATCGAGATTTTTGACATATTCAGATAAATTTGTAGAAATCTTAAGATAATTTGAAAAGCTTCAACAATATGTCACGTTCGATACATCGTCGAAAAGATAATTCCACTACCCCATCATAAACACATATCTAAGTTTTTTTTAGTGATTTCTACCAAATGTTATAATATGTGTCAAGTGTTTCTGGAGGCATATGGTGCTTATATGTAAAATTATGATAAAAAGCTTATAAAAACAACATGTACGTGTATCAGTATGTCAGGCAAGAAAAGTTTAGATATTTAGTTGAGACTTTAGGGTGAGATTTACTTAAAGCGCTCGGTTCCATAGTAACCATTTAATATTTTCTATATATTCAGAGATAACAGCATAGTACGGAGTGGGCATATCTCAGTTGTTCTTGTACAATTGAGTTTTAGGATTTATTAGTACTGATGCCCTTTTAGGGCTAAACATACAATTTACAACATACAACATACAATTTTCATTAACAGTAAAAATAGCAATAAAATAAAGAAAATAGGATTACATTCTTCAAATGACATATTTGAAGACTATTAGTTTATGGTTCATTATTCATGCTACAAAGTTGTTGATTGAATTAATATTGGTACCCTATGAAAGCCAAAAAATATTTCTGATGTTTTATGAAAACAATATTCAAATAAGCTAATTTTCATATTAATAATGGCATCATGACCCGTAATTTTGATATATTAACACCACTATCAAATGATCACAGCCGTGGCCTGACTTTGTTTACATTTCCTAGGAACATACCAGATTTCAGTAAAAATGGCGACCCTACCCTACAGAAATGGTGATAATTAGTGCTTTAACAGTCAATATTGGCTCATTAATAGCCTTTAGTGATTCCCTAGTATGAACGGGTTGTGCTTAAATAGTCAAAATTGATTCTTAATAGCCCTTAGCAATTCCCTTATATGCTTGGGTTTTGCTTAAATATCCCAGATTGGTTTCTCAATAGCCCTTAGTGATTCCCTTGTATCATCTAGATTGGCTCTTAATAGTGATTCCCTAGTATGCCCAGGTTGTGCTTAAAATGTCCAATTGATTTCTTAATAGCCCTTAGTGATTCCTTAGTATGCTCTGATTGTGCTTAAATAGCCCTGATTAGTTTCTTAATAGCCCTTAGTGATTCCCTTTTATGCTCGGGTTGTGCCTTAATAGCCCGAATTAGTTTCTTGATAGCCCTTAGTGATTCCCTAGTATGCTCAGGTTGTGCTTAAATAGCCCCAATCGGTCTCTTCATACCCCCTAGTGATTCCCTAGTATGCTCTGGTTGTGCCTAAATAGCCCCAATTAGTTTCTTGATAGCCCTTAGTGATTCCCTTATATGCTCGGGTTGTGCTTAAATAGCCCCAATTAGTTTCTTGATAGCCCTTAGTGATTCCCTAGTATGCTTGGGTTGTGCTTAAATAGCCCCAATCGGTCTCTTAATACCCCTTAGTGATTCCCTTATATGCTCGGGTTGTGCTTAAATAGCCCCAATTAGTTTCTTGATAGCCCTTAGTGATTCCCTTATATGCTCGGGTTGTGCTTAAATAGCCCCGATCGGTCTCTTAATACCCCTTAGTGATTACCTTATATGCTCAGGTTGTGCTTAAATAGCCTCAATTAGTTTCTTAATAGCCCTTAGTGATTCCCTAGTGTGGCCGGGTTGTGCGTAAATAGCCCCAATTAGTTTCTTAATAGCCCTTAGTGATTCCCTAGTATGGCTGAGTTGTGCGTAAATAGCCCCAGTTAGTTTCTTATTAGCCCTTAGTGATTCCCTCATATGCTCGGGTATTGCTTAAATAGCCCAAATTAGTTTCTTAATAGCCCTAATTGATTCCCTAGTATGCTCGGGTTGTGCTTTAATAACCCCAATTAGTTTCTTAATAGCCCTTAGTGATTCCCTCATATGCTCGGGTATTGCTTAAATAGCCCATATTATTTTTTTAATAGCCCTAATTGATTCCCTAGTATGCTCGGGTTGTGCTTTAATATAGCCCTTAGTGATTCTCTACTATGATCCGCTTGTGCTTAAATAGCCAAAATTGGTTTCTTAATAGCCTTTGGTGATTTCCTTATATGCTCAGGTTGTGCTTAAATATCCCTCATTGGTTTCTTAATGGCCCTTAATGTTTCCCTTGTAATGCTCTAGATTGGTTCTTAATACCCCTTCGTGATTTCTAGTATGCTTTGGTTGTGCTCAAATAGCCCTAATTGGTTTCTTATAGCTCTTAGTGATTCCCTAGTATGCTGATTCCCTAGTATGACTTGGTGGTGCTTTAATAGCCTTCATTGGTAGCCCTTAATGATTTCCTTGCATACCCTAGTGGTGCTTTAAAAGCCTCTAATGATTATCTAAGTCTTGTGGTGCTTTAGTAAGTGTCCCAAATTAATCTTATTAAATAAAAAAAGCATTTGACCTCACATGAACAATGTATGACAGGGTGAGTTGAATTGTATGATGAATTTGGCTGAGATAAAGCTTTAAAAGTTTGTTATTTTTTGAAAAAGAAATACCAATGCAAAGATTGGACAAAGGACACACTAGTTCAAGAATAAATATCAAATGTTATTTACGAGCCAATTTTTTTTAAAAACATGTGCGGATGATTGCTATGCATTGGTGTGAATGATCTCTTATTTAAAGATACTCGTGACCTCTGAAAGTTCAAAAGACACTTTTTGAAATTTAAAAAAGAGGTTTCACATATCACACTTTGATAACATTGGGTAAGACTACAATATAAGCCAAAGAAGTTTAAAGTTAATATGGGGCCTTTAAAAATGTTAATGTTAGCGGTAAGACTACAATATAAGCCAAAGAAGTTTAAAGTTAATATGGGGCCTTTAAAAATGTCAATGTTAGCATTGTGTTTCAATGATGAAAATTATTTTGACAGTCAAATCTTAAATGAAACAAAAGGTTTAGAAGATAATGTTAACCCCCCCCCCCTTTAAAATAGGTTACGTTTTAGGGGGTTAATCAACAATATTTCCTCGAGTTATAATTTTCACCAATAAATACTTCTTTAAATACACAAATTAATCTAACTCTGGTCAATTTAAGCTACTAGATAGTTTTTGTGATGTTCTTATGTGTTAGAAATATATATTAACCATTATTTTAAATATGAGGTCAAGTAGAGGGCGTCACCTTTAGGCCCAATTTCTCTTTTCAATTTCTTTTTCTAGGGCCAGGACCAACTTAGAGTGACCTAGGTCACACAATATTTCTCTAATTTTGGCCTTGCTGCTGACCTATTACACAGTCTGTAAGTCTTGATAAATCTTGCATCGGGCAAAACTATGCTATGGCATGAAATGCAATTTTAGTTTTGGTGCAACATGTATCATATTTAATTTTGATTTCAACAGTAAATAAATGTACCTAGATCTAACATAATGCATCACTTCATAGTAAAAAATATATATCTGGTGTCCCAGAAAATGAGACACTTTTTGACAAGTATTTTCTGGGCAACTGATGAACCAAATTCACTAAAAATTTGCACAAAGTAGCCTAAGAGTATCATTTGCAAGTTGTAAAAATCTAAAAAAGATCAAACAAATATTCTGTGATCAGTCAAAATAGCTTGTCTGTGTGTCATGACTAATTAATTTGTTTCATTCTTCCAAAATATCCAAAATCCATTTATTCTCAAAATTCATTGGAGATGATATTGTTAGAAAAAATACGGAAATGTATTTTTGCTTGGAAATGGGTTAATAAGTAACTTTTACACTGATATTGGATATTTTGACATACTGTGTTTAATTTACAAATACACACATAATATATGAGCAATTTCTTACATATTCATAGTGCTAGCAGAAGAAGAATTTGGTTCATCTATTCCTGAGAATTTACTCGTCAAATTATTTCCCGTTTTTTTTGGTGCAAACGATATAAAGTTCTCAGTGCGTTGCTCCGGTATGGGATCTTTTGACATTCTACGTTGAATTAATTAGTACTCACATTTACTTGATCTTTTTCATAGTGTTATACGTTGCTAATGATACTCTTGGGCTACTTTGTACAAATTTTCAGTGAATGTGGTTGCCGAGAAAATACTTGTCAAAAAGTGTCTCATTTTTGGGACACCCGATATATATAACACCATGCTGTATAATTATTTCATTGTAAATATGTAAACTTAAGGTCAAAATTAATCATAATGAATAGTTTGCATATTTTTTCTAGAAATACCAGAAATTATTTTTGCTTTCATATGGTACCAATGTCATTATGATCTCATAATGATTAATATAAACTGTTACTATGGAAACGAACGATTAAAATATTTTTTTGCCTAAAAATCTTAAACAACACCAGTGCATCCGTAAAGCTCAATATGCAAGCTTTTGATCAGTATCAAAGCCCAAAAATACCTTCTACCTTTCTCATTCAATATCTGGATTTGTTAAAATTCTCGATACTAGATACATGTGTTTGATTTAGGCCTCTATCTTTTTGCATAATGACATCAAAATCATAATGATATTGTTTGCCTGATATATAAATACATGTAAGTGTTGTGTTCAGTCACGTATAAACACAAAATAGTTTATCTTCAATACTATTAGGCTACAAAAGCACATGATATTTGTTTGTATTTTGTAAAATCACCAAAAATCGAGCGTTTCTATTTCTATGACATCACAATGATCCTGAAACCTTGAGAAATGTGTATTTTTAACAAGTTTGTTAAATTAGCTTTACAATGATAGTTTTAATATGATATATGGTCAAACCGTTCTCTAGATATCTTCAAAAGTATATTCCTGGACTTAATAGTGACATCATTGCAGTTACCATGGAAACCATCATTTTTAGAAATGTTCTCACCTGTTTTGATTTATTTTAATCATTAGGCATGTTAACACAGATGCTAAGCTTTCCAACAGTACCATGATTTGCCAGTAACCTTTTCATTGATATATTAAACATAACATTATATTGTTGAGGATTTTTTAAATTATCATTGAAAATGTATAAATGCCTCAAATATATCTTGATTTGTCAAAAATCTCGATATTAGATATTTGAATTAGGCCTCTATCTCTTTGTATTATGACATCACAATCATAATGATACTGTTTGCCCGATAATATACATATAAGTGTTGAGTTAAGTCACTTTTAAACACAAAATAGTTTTATTAGATAATGTAGCTTACATTAGCATACGACACGTGTCTAAATTCTGTCAAAATCACCGAAAAATCAAGCGTTTTTAGTTCTATGACATCACAATAGGCCCGAAAATCCTAAAAATATGTTTTTTCAAAAGGTTTTTTAAATTACCTTTACAGTGGTACTTTTATCATGATGTATGGTCAAAGCGTTCTCTACATATGTTCAAAAGTATATAATTTGTCCTTAATACTGACAACATTGCAGTTACCATGGAAACCAGCATTTTTAAGAACTTTTCCACCTGTTCTGAATTTTTATAGTCTTCAAACATGTTAGTGCAGGTGTTTAGCTTTCCAACGGTACCAAGATTAGCCGGTAACCTTTTGGAGGTTTAAACTTCTTTATTTGAAGACTTTATGAGATCTGGCTACTCATCTATATATTCATGTTAATGAAACAGAAATGGAGTTGGATGCACTTTTTGTTTTCAAAAGATATTAAAAATGAAGCAATTTCCAACCAAACCTATTTGTAATAGAATTTAAGGCAAAACATGAAAAGGTACCCTTAGAAAAAGTATACCTATAAGATTCTGCCAAAGCAACAGTGTGGGCCTAATTCCTGTCTTGATTCCTATGACCTAATTATGATATGAGGGATCAGAGATCAAGTACTGTATCCACGCGGTACAAACTTCGATCGTTAATTAAAATTTTTGACCTACCAGGTGTTTGAAAATCAAGGATTGCGAGTCTCATACTGCACCATTTTTCTTCAAACTTGTTTCATTCAAAGCAAAACAAAATTGCCTTTCTGTTGGTACATTGCTTTATTGAAAAGAGTCGCTCGTTTTAGCAGCGTTTTGGTCCCCAGTTGTGAGAAGCCCTTCTCACAACTGGGGACCAAAATGCCGCTGAAAGTAGGGACTCTGTATAGCAGAATAATGTACCAACAGAAAGGCATTTTTGTTATGCTTTGAATCAAACAAGTTTGAAGAAAAATGGTGCAGTATGAGACTCGCAATCCTTGATTTTCAAACACCTGGTAGGTCAAAAATTTTAATTAACGGTCGAATTTTGTACCGCGTGGTATCAAATACTGCTTTAAAAATAAATAATAAATAAAAATACTGATTTTTAAGAAAATCAATAAGCAAATGATAAATGTAGCTTGTAAACAAAATACATGTTATAAATAGGCACAAAGTCCTTAAGATTGCAAGTGGCTTACCTGAGAAGGTGTTGTTCCCCCTTGTTGATGCAGCCTCTGTTGACTGAAGGACATCAGCTTGGGTGTACAACTACCATGGAAACTATGAGTGTAACTGTGGGATGGTGTGCCTGGGTTTGTTGTGAGACCAGGAGTACTAAACCCCTCAAAATCATTTAAATCAGGATCTGTTAGTGGGCCTCCTGGTAGTGGAGTGTGGTGGGTATTAAAGCCTTTTGATGGGCCACTTGGACAATGGGACTTAAGCTGAACCTTGGAGGACTGTGATTGTGTCTTAAACTGGTGCGATTGTGGCATGTGTTGGGATGAAAATGTCACTCGTGCTTTAGCCACCTGTGTTCCTTGAGTGTATACTTTTGGGGTCGTTTTATCAGAAGCATCTACTTTTGCATGTACACTATTCTTGGGAGGGATATGTCTCCCATTGTCAGTTTGAAAATAATCTAGTTGCATACTAGCAGGTATTTTAGTGTTACCTCCAGATGAATGCGATGGTGGTAATGTAGAGCTACCTGGCTTGTTCTTACTCAGGAAGACTGGTCTTTTAGTAGTATCTTGACTAGTAGATTCCTTTGCTTTAAAGACAGGGGCAGCAATCTTCTTCTTGTTCTTAAACACAGGAATTATCTTATTCAGTACCTGGGCTTTTTGGTTGAAAGACTGTTGAGAATGAGTCTGTCCAAAACTCAATCTTCGCTGAATGTTTTGTGCAGCACTATGTGAAGCACTTAGTTCTTTTTTGATCTGCTCACTTTGAGTAACATCAAGTCTGTTTTGTGAAGGTTGATACCCAACATTACCAGTTTTAGATTGGCCGAATGATGAGCTAGGAGTCTCTTGATTAGTGATCCCTGGGTTGCTTTCTTGTTGATCAAAATTTGATGGTCTTGGAATACCTCCTGTGATTTTAGTTTTACTTCCATTAAAAGAGTGATGAGTTGAGTCTATGGGTCTGTTTTCACCCACAGGGATGTTGGGACTGGTTTCCATGGGTGTGTTACCATGGTTAGGCCTTTGGGTATTGATAGAATGGGACATGGTTGACACATTCCCTGGGGGTAATGATTGTGCCCCCAGTGGGGGTTTAGCTTTGAAGACTGGCGCCATAGGTGTAGTAGTGGTAGGTCTGTAACCAATGGCAGTCCCATGGGGTGGTAGTTCAGTAAGCAGGGTCTTCTTGCATGATTCAGCATCCTACATTCAGAAAGAACATACATACAGTTAATAAATTCATTTTTTCAGACAGTACACGGATATGGAATTTTCAATAGACCAGGCCGGTTTAATAGTACTACATGCAATGTATATACATGCATATTGTAAAAGAGCAGAGGAATATTTACAGGTGCAGAATAACAATAACATATAACTATCTTTTAAATATCTATTTATATTCTAGTACTCATTTATATACTCAGATATGTCCAACAAAGTAAACAAGGCATCTGACAAAATGTTACCATGGCAAGTTATTGGAGATGGTTACAAAAGTGTGACAATTTGTTACAGAAACCAAACAGACATATGCTGAATGGTGTTTACAAAAAGTGGTAACCATGACAATATTTAACCTCTTCTTGGAGTTGACTTACAGAAGCCTCAAGGAGGGTAGCCTGGGGATATTGGGGTTTGGGATTGAATAGTAGCTTCTCTCCGCATACACTTGGTAGCTTCGATCTTAGATCAGACAGGAAGTCAGCAATGATTGGTTGAGGATTTGTTCTCGGAAATGTCAACATATTCCGAGTTCTAATACAACAGCCTGGATATGTGAGGAGAGTTAAAGAAATGTGTATTATAAAATAATCATATTACTCCCTCCTTATAACCTTGAAAGAGAATCATACAACACTGGAAATTGATATGTGAGTTTGATACAGCTAAAAATAGAAATACAGGGTGTCTTTAAAGTCTCTTTATACTTCACACATACTTTGTATTGTAATTGTAGAGACTTTATAAACCCTGTATTATCTAATATTAGTGACAAACTTGAACAAAAATCCCTCATTCTAAACAATGTTACCAAAATGCTACATAGTAGCTGGAATTACACCATGCGTTTTAGAAAGGCGCCTAAGGTTTTAACCCAGTTTGAAAAATAGGTGTAATCACGATTGCGGTTTTACAAAAGCTCTTTTCCAAAACTCCTAGAACCCTAGTCACTAAAATAAAATTCCCAAGGCGCAAATTGTTGGTGTAATCAGGATGGCGATTTTGTAAAGCACTTTCCACTTAGCCCTTTTAGCGATTTTTCTGGTGTAATTCCATCAATTGTTTAAAAGGTCTTTAATCTATTCTGTTCAATTGGAGATGTGCTCATCTTTGTAAAGGATATGTTAAGTATGACCCTCCGTTGAAGCCAAAGAAGATTTGGAAATACAGCATCCCCTCATCACTGTCAGGCAGTCTGTAGCCATACTGTAACAATACCAATATCACCAATATAAAATGGACGTTCAATAAAGTGAAACCTGTATATCAAAACACCTCTCTTATCTGAACACCTCTCAATGTGAACTCTTTTTCTTGGTCCAAAAGTTATCTTCCATTAACTCAGGTGTTTATAAAATCTTGAAATCTGCTAATCTGAACACTTTTGGCTTGTCTCAGAGGTGTTCGGATTAAGGTTATACAGTAAATAAGTGGAATCAGTCTAGAATATTAAATGAATAATTAACATGTTACTTTCAAGTTTGAAATAAGAAAGTCAAGAATAAGATGATCATTTGGAAGTCTTCATTGTAGAATAGCATATCAAAGCATCTTAATTTTGCTCCAATACAAGCCTAGCTAAATCTATCACTGCACTGGAGTTTTTCGTAATATAGTTTCCGATCGAATTTTTGTCAAATCAAAAAAATAAATTACTCGGCAATAGGTTATTAAGATGAATACTGGCGAGAGATGTACACTGACAAAGAATGGTTGAAATAACTCCATAAACTTTCAAGATCTAGGAAAAAACGATGAAAATCTCCCCTAAAAAGGACCCCTTCGAAAATGGCATTCTCCAATTAAGGGCAAAAAGGTTGAGTTATAAGCGGACTGACACTTTCCTTAAATGGAGAAGTCTCGATGAATCTCGCTTAAACTCCGCCCCTTCTTCGTGAAAAATCACATGAATTCCGACTTTTGCTGGGTCATATCCGGGCATCTCGGCTTCGAACCCAATCAGAAGTTTCAATTTTGACTGGCGCCGCATACATTATCTCAAGTCTCACCCAATATTTTTATGTATACGTTAATTACATTAAGTTTGGAAAATGGCTTTGATGAGTACTTTCAAATCACCAATTATGAATGTTTAACAGGTTTTGATAATTAAGTGACCCAAAAGGAGACTTCCAGTTACCTTTATGGAGGGAGGTGTATGTTAAGCCAGACTCACATTATTTTTCCAGTGCCTCTTGAGGTCCTTGTATGTTCTGAAAGGTCCATCAGTTGGAAGCTGGTGCAGTATTCTTGACACTCTGCCACGTTTCATGCTGAAGACAAATACTAGAGATGAATATAAGTGTGTTTGTGTTCCATGATTTTAAGCACACATTGGTAATTGTATAGCTAATAGGGAGTTTAAGCTTGCAATAAAATCAAAACGCCAACCTATAAGTATGACCAATCGCCCATACAAATGCATTGCTTAAATATTTTCCATTCACTTTTAGGTTGTGAAAAACATTGCAAACTTAAACTCCCTAAAATCTTGAATTTTCTGTCAAAATTTTTAAGTGGTTAACACTTTAAATGTTTGATCATTACATTTATTAATAGATGTCACTACTACATTGTACCTTGGTAGAACATAGCACCAGCAGTTGTGTATGTTATCCTCTGTTATGATTGCCTCTTTATTCATCGTGAACTCTCTCCTCACATCTATTGCTATATCGAGGTCTTCCAGCTAAAATGAGAAAAAATGAGGCAAAATCATAAATTGAGGCAAAATCATGAAATGAGGCGATATCATGAATTGAGGCAAAATCATTAAATGAGGCAATATCATGCATAGCAATATCATAACGCATTCCTCTGACAAAAAGCCAATACAGTAAAACCTGTCTAATCCGAACACCCAGGGGACCAGCCAAAAGCGTTCAAATTGGCAGGTGTTCAAATTTCGAGGATTTTGTTGGTCGGTGGGGGGGGGGGATTTTCATTGTTCAGTCCACTATATTGAACACTTAATACTAACTCAGAAAACAATAAATGTTGTTGATGAGTTAATTCTACAATAGATAATAATAATACACTGTAAAAGTATATGATAGTCTCGTATGAAATCTTATGCTTCTCAAATGACTTATCCCATATTATGGTAATATAGCACTGCTTTACTTTTGCTTGAAAAGGTCCTTCATTGTTGTTTGTTTCTTGGCACTTTTAGCATTAGCAATATTTGAGTAGATATCCTCTTCAAGTAAAAAGAATTTTTCATGGGTGTTCATTCGAGATGATGTATAATCCTTCAAAATATCAAGGGCATTCAGGATGTCAGATGTATGCCTTTTAGGAGACATTTTAGTGATAGGATATTACAAAGTTGAATATTTTTCTCTTGTGATATAATCTTGTCTGCAAATGTCGTCTGTGTTGTCCTTGTGATTATAAAACATTTGCTGATTGAATCTTAGCTATCATAACAGACCCATGGGATATAAAACAGTTAAGACCTGTTCATAATCCAAATCAAAAACATCCAGTTAATTAACAATAAGGATAAACCAATTATCTCCCAGATTCTCACCTTTCTCTTAATCCAAATCAAAAACATTCAGTTCTTTTCTAAATCTTGTCTGCAAATGTTGTCTATGTTGTCCTTGTGATTATAAAACATTTGCTGATTGAATCTTAGCTATCATAACAGACCCATGGGATACAAAACAGTCAAGACATGTTCATAATCCAAATCAAAAACATCCAGTTAATTTACAATAAGGATAAACCAATTAACTCCTGTATTCACACCTTTCCAAAACATCCTGTTGTTTTCCACAAATTAGGGATGTCACTGAGACTGAATAAGTTAGTTAGGACAATATTGGTTCTTTGATTACATTGTATATGTAAAGATAAATAACAACTATAACATTGACTCAATCTTTGGCTATAATTGAATTGTCCAGACATTTGATTTCTGATAAAAATGTTCAGATTAGACAGGTCACTTTTTCAAATCTGGTTGTTCACTGTTCAAATTAGGAGGTGTTCAGATTTCAAGGTTTTTTTAACATGGGAGTCAATGGGAGGAAAAAATGGGACCGAAAAAAAGTGTTCAAATTGGAAGGTGTTCGGATTAGCCAGGTGTTCAGATATACAGGTTTTACTGTAAATAACAAACAAAAAAACATCAGCCCAAAACTCAAGTCAATAAACTTTCAAAACTGGGAGAGTCTATTACACCTTCTTATATATATATACTCTATTTAAATATATGGTAAAACTTTATTTCTGAACATCTCTAAAATCTAAACACCTCTCAAGATAGAGAATTTTTGGTTCAACATTTAAATGTGCCATAGAATATCATGTTAAAAAAACCTCAACATGTGAACACAAACTAACCTAAACACTTGAACATCCCAATGACATTCAGATAAGACAGGCTCCACTGTACTTTGAATTTTCATATTTTGACTTTCCCAATGTTGTAAAAACACAAATGAGAGGAGGTGGCGATCATAAATCATTATAATTCAAATGAAATGTTAAAATGGAGATGTACTTCACCACTGACTAACCTTTGCTGGGAAGAGTTTGACAGTCTTTGCTGTAATAGCCACAAACAGCTCTTTGTGTTGTAATGTCAGCTCCAGGTGGATTGCATTCATCTTATCAGAATTGCAAAGAAAATTACGACCTAAAAAATGAAACAGTAAGGTAGATCTTTACAGATATGGTTTGAAACAATGTCCATACCTGCCAAATGCCCATGCAGGAAAGTATTGTTGTATTGTCACCCTTTTGATTTTCCAAATTCCCTGTTATTCAACAACTTTGGACTGCCTACAATTCATTTCTAATTTAATAAACACTAGATGCAAAAGTATGCTTTCCATATAGAAACTATGGAAATACACCCATTGCAAACATTGAAATTTTGTTTATAATTCAGTATTTGAATTATAAAACCTGAAAAAAAACAAGCATAAAATGTACCATTTATGAGTGTTTCACCAACTTTATTCCAGTTAGGTGCCAGTTTAGCCAGCATGGTGTAATTCAGACAGCTTTGATAATCTGCTGGGCTCACAGGGCATGGCTTCTCAACCTGAAACAAAGGGCAATTTTGAAAAATGTATTCAATAAGCAGTTTCTGTAAAACTGAACATGTCACTGAATGAGCAGGTATTGTATTTTTCAATAAATATCACCAATTATAATTCAAGATAAAAATGAGACACATTAACAAAGTACCTAGGCCAGCCACAACCCTCTATAACAACCTCCTTAGGAGACACACAACCATTAGATCCTACCGCCGAGTGGGAAGACGAATAGATGGCATTATAAAAACAAAAATATAGTCCAATTATTGTAATTACATTAGCATCACCAGTGGTTGGATTTTGGTAAGTACATGAATGAAAAAGTGTATGTGTGGACCAACTCTGAGACATGATTTGATGTGATCAAGGTGCATTTTCTTTAAAAAATTTGACCTTTTTGACCTGCCTCCATCTGTCAAAATCAGAATGACATTTTTTGACATTTTCTATAGATGGCGTCTTCAACAGGTGAGATCTTTTGATTTTCGTGGGGAGTTTTGATTCAAACTTTTTTGACTGACAGAGGACATACTGGGGTATGATGCAATGATAGCAAAACATGTCCACAAATCTTAGTTTTCTCTTGAAGACAGATCGTTTGTATGGGAATACGCATGTTATAACAATTAGTTGGGTTAACCCTTATGAAGTGGTGAAGTAGACAAGGGAGGTTCAGAGACCTGGAGCAAGACAAGTGATTACCTTGAATCCCATCTTGTTGAGTCTTGCTTGGAGTTTTCCAGACTTGTACATAGTTTGGGTTAGAATAATGAGCAGTTTTTTCTCATAGTTTAGGTCAGGAGTGGCTATGATATCTGGTTCTGTAAATATCAGCTCTCTGGAAGAAATAGCAAGAAAGTAGCCTACAGTAATCTAAAAGATGGCATTAACATGACAAAATGTCACCACCTATTTAAAGACAGATAGATGTTCAATCTTAGCCTATTCACAAAATCAGATTTGAAAAAAAGTTGGTCAATTTGGAGCAAATTGAAAAAATACTTTTTGACCTTTTCACCTTGAGAGGGTCAGTGAAGGTCAAATCTTAATTAAATCTAAAAATCAGTACATGAACAGTGCAAAATCCTGGTAAAATTATGTGGTAAGTTTCGGAAGATGAGTGAGGTCAGCAGGGCTGTCAACTTGGGACCATCTAACATGAGTGACTTCAAAATGTTGAACACCTTCCTTCAAACTTTGGACAGCTTCAGTGAACACTGGCAGATTTTGAACACCTACGTAGCCAGCTTTTTGTAAGGGGGGGCTCAAAAATCCCCCCGCGACCCCCCCCCCCCACAAAAAAATTCCCCATGCTAAACCAAGCTCCTTTGTATTGGTGTATTGGAAGCTAACAAGGGGGGAGGGGAGCACTTCAAGTCAGGATAAAATATCCACGCGGAAAATCTTTTTAAGGCCCTTAAACCAAAATTTAGAAAATCTATGGCACATTTTTTGTAATTTGGCCTAACTTTGAAAAAATAAGTCCCAAAAAGGTCAAGTAATGCCCAAAAAGCCCCACTAAAGAGGCCCTACAATATTTTTGGGTCAACATTTTTTTCTGGGACCATCCTAGGGCAGCACAGAAATTTTTTTAGGGCCCTTAAACCAAAATTTGGGCAACAATTCTGAAAATTGATGGCCCGTTCTTTGAAAATTTGGCCTAAAATTGAAAAAATAAGGCCCAAAAATTTCAAGTAATGCCCAAAAAGGCCAACAAAAGAGGCCCTACAATATTTTTGGGCCAAAATTTTTTCTGGGCCCATCCTATGGCAGCCCGGAAAACCTTTTGGGGCCCTAGAACCAAAATCTTGAAAATTTATGGCTCGTTTTTTTAAATTTGGCCTAAAATTGAAAATATAAGGCCCAAAAAGGTCAAGTAAAAAGGTCAAGTAAAGGCCAAGGCCAACTAAAGAGACCCTACAATATTTTTGGCTCAACATTTTTTTTCTAGGCGGAAGGCCCATCCTAGGGCCGCACGTAAAATTTTTAGGGCCCTAAAACCAAAATTCGGGTGAAAATTTATGGCCCGTTTTTTGAAAATTTGGCCTTAAATTAAAACAAATAAAGCCCAAAAAGGTCAATTAATGCCCAAAGAGGCCCACTAAAGAGGCCCTACAAAATTTTGGGGCCAACATTTTTTCTGGGCCCATCCTATGGCCGCGCAGAAAACCTTTAAGGGCACTAGAACCAAAATTTGGGCCTAAATTTTGAAGATTTTTGGCCCATTTTTTGAAAATTTAGTCTTGAATTGAAAAATGAGGCCCAAAAAGGTCAAGTAAAAAGGTCAACTAAAGGCCAATTAAAGAGGCCCTAAAATTTTTTTGCCCCAACATTTTTTTTCTGGGCCCATCCTAGGGCCACGCATAAAATTTTTAGGGCCCTAAAACCAAAATTCGGGCCAAAATTTTGAAAATTTATTGCAGCCGTTTTTTTTAAAATGAAGACTGAAATTGAAAACAATAAGGCCTGAAAAGGTCACATTATGCCCAAAAAGGCCCACTATTAAAGAGGCCCTACACTTTTTTAAAAATAATGCCCAAATTCGAAAAACAATGCACAGTATGCCAGTATTTTAATCTTATTGCCCAGTTATCGCATCCTACGACCCCTTTAGATTGTGGTCGTAGGCCCGATTCATTAGTAAGCCTGTGTTTCTACAATGTAGGAGAATGAACTATGCATTGCACACATAAATGACCTACCTCGATACATTCCTGAGTATTTTAGAATTCTTTTCATATAGTTGAATCGCAAATTGTATGGGTTTATCGGCAGAACGAAGATATTTTCGTTTTTGATAGCAATATTTGCGTGTAGGTTCAACCGTCAAATTCCTCCATTCAGTTCCCGGCATGCACCAGTCATAAGGGAAATCCCTGGGGAATTCCCCTTCCGACATTTTGAAAATTGCTGAGATATTTCCGATGTAAAAACTAAAATCTCTTCGTTCTGACGATAAACCCATACAATTGGCGATCTAACAACATAAAAAGAATTTTAAAATACTCTGGAATGTATCGAGGTAGGTCATTTAATAGCGCAATGCGTAGTTCATTCTCCGACATTGTAGAAAGACAGGCTTACGAATGAAACGGGCCTGCTACGACCACAATCTAAAGGGGTCGTAGGATGCGATAAATTGCCCAGTGAATGTGGGGAAGAGCAAGTTTTTCTTCAAGGAAGCAAAAAGGTAGGTCCACATTTTTTTGGTGATATCAAGGGGATATCAGAGCCCCCCCCCCTGGCTATGGGCCTGGTGATATATACACATATTTTGTACCAAATGCTTGACATAAATGGCAATCGTGTGCAAAGACCGAACGGAATGCGTTCGCCGTTCGTTTTTTTACCGTGTCGGCATTTCACAAAAGACGATTTTTAAAAATATCAACAAAATGCGTGATTTGCGTGATATTTGATCATACAAGCTAAATTGATGCAAAATTGATCCAGCAAATGCCTGACAATCACGCCTAATGCGTGAGGGTTAAGTTGACAGGGCAGGGTCAGTCTGTCGTTTTCATTTCATAAAATTGAATTCTAAGTAGACTAGATCTATTACCTGCATTTTATTATTTGTGGTGAGCATTTATAAATAACACCGGTGCAAACAAAGTCTTTGGGTAAACACACTGTCAGTTTCCATAGTTTTGTCAACGTTGGAGACTCTGCAAATAGTAAAAGGCGATCTTTAGAGCTCATTTTGCAAAAACTTCAAAACAAAAATGGCGCGACTCAAACTTGTAGATCTAGTCTCGGAGCTAATTTAATTTTAAATTTTTTAGTCACGGCGCTGAGACAAAGGCAAAAATTATTATATTATTGATATATAATATTATGTTTAATTTACTATGGGCTACGCTTTCAACTGGAAGGACTTTCCATATTTCATACTCATAAGCATTGCATTTTGGGTTTTCAAAATTGAAGAATGTAAACATTCCAAGAAAATCAAGAGAAAATCTTATTTTTACTTTTTAGGGAGGGTTTGTAGAAAAAACGGGTACCTTTTGCTAACTTTATTTAAAAAAAATTGATATGAATGTTTCTTCAGGTTCAACAAAGTTATAGGGCTGTAAAGTCAAAATTGTTTTTCAAAAAACCTCTCCCATTGAAATAACACAGGGGACGAAGTCATTTTCAAAAATGACTTTGAAGCGCTGTAACTTTAATATTCATCAAATACTTAGTGTACAAAAAAGTTAGACAATTAAATTTTGTAGCCTTTATGAAAATATTTTTTGCTGAATCTTTTACTGAAAAGATATCCTGATTTCTGATTTGCCCCGAACCTTCCATTTCCCTACATGAAAGACGATTTTCAAAAATTCATCAAATTTATCATCAATTTTCGACCTATTATATTGTAATTGAGGGAAAAAATTGAGAAAATTTGGAGGCATTGGAAATAAAGTCAAGTTACGTTTCTATCAATATACGAACGTCAAGTGAAATATGTTCAAACTGACACCCAAAATGCCAAACTCTCTCGATCTCATTTCCCATCTTTCCGAGGCGGCTCAATGGATAGCCGACGACGGTCGAATAGTCGGGGTGATGATGCTTGTTCAGATGAATAATCTATAAATTGCATTTTTAATCATTTGAAGTTTCAAAGTTATTTACGTGGGTGCACCATAACTAGGCTACTCAAAACCGCACGGGTGTCCAATTTTGAAATAAAAAAATACATTTTGAGAAAACGTGATATTCAAGTGTTTACCTTTATACTATTAAGACGAGTACTTTAGGTTAATGTCAGAATGCCCTTCAGCTGATCAGTTTTGCGCAATGTCCCAAATAATCAAGTTCAAATTAAGCAGATTCTCTATTCATTACCTTGTTATTTGATCGTGTTTTGTGTTTGGTTTTAACTTGCGCTAGCCTGTGACTGAGGGATTTGTTGTTTTTATTAATTACCTTCTAATGGAGTAGACTCCTTATAATCATATTATCAGTTAACAACAGTGCATGCTAAAGAAATGACATTGAAACTATGGATTTTGGGCATCTACGATATTTCACGATCATTTTGCTGTTTGTTTGTATTAATCACTATGGGGATGCAAGGAGGCTTCAGATGAGTTATCTCATTGACGAGAAAACACTCGTGTACTATCCTTCGGTTGCTAGATATAGGAGAGAAGTCCATTTCAAGGGGATCTCCAAACATGACCAACCTGATGGTTCGAAGACATGGTAAGGCAAAATCAATTTACAAAGACTACATCACGTGAGCTTATGCTTTCTTGTTTCTTTGCCGAATCATTCAATGATTGAAAGTGGTAAATAGATTAATAGATACTCGTATATAGTATTAACAACCTTGCTTAAAGGGTGCATATCAGAGCCTTCATTTAGGTTAGTGGTATCCTAGCCAATGGTGTAGTTAGATTTTCTAGTTCCGCTCTTTCACGTTTTTACATTTCTCTTTCGATGATAATGTTGTTGGAATAACAGAATGTAAAGATCAATACACTTTGAAGGAAAACTCACATCTCATTGTTTCAGATTCCTAAATCAAGGTGTATAACCCAAACGCTCCTACATACACGACGGAGCGTTTCATTACTAAAAGTAAACAAAGAAACGCTCCGGAGTAGGAAAACTGGCTGGCGGGAATGATGAGCCGTCTGACGATTTCCCCAATAATGGGAATAAGAGGTATGAGTTACATATTTCGAGTATACCATTCGATGGGAGTGATATTCATGTTGTACGTGGCTGGCTGTTGACGTTTGAAGCAATTAGGAAGAGCTATACGAAGCAGTATAGTTATCAAAATTCAAAAACGTATTTGTCATTCTACCGGTCAAAACCCCTTTTGTCGATACATGTGATTAGTTGAGCCAAGATTAGAGCACCAACGTATATTTTAGTCAAATTCCAATGCTTCAACGCACCATACATTATCGTAATAGTGATTTGATGACCGAAAATCCAGTCTTAAAAATGATGACATTCTCATATTCAAGAAACGCTCCGATCTGATTAACACAGTGAACTGGAAACGCTCCGGTAGTCTAGATCAGTTTAGGAAATATATAGCTTGCCTTTCCTTTTCAGGAAGAGAAAGAAAAGATCTATTATACCCCTTGGCATCAATAGAAGAAAGATTAATTCACATATAAATTTTTGTTTTTTTTCTATAGTTTTATGATTTAGCACATATGTAGGCATGACATCATCTAATGTATAGGCTTAAATCAGCTAGTTGCACGTTAAGCACCACCAGGTTCAGATGTTTCAATTTGCCTAACAAGTACAACACGTTTTTAAGAGATAGATTCGATTCGGGACTCTTCTCTAATAATCTGAAAATGATATCAAAACAAAATGGTAAGAGCGTTTCTAAAATTGTGTTCTAAATCGACGGAGCGTTTCGAGGAAAACAAGCGATTTCTCAAGAACAAGTAATGGATTTGGACTGGGATTTTAGGAAATGAGAATATACGAGTTTGTGACCTACTACTTTAACAGAAAGATTAACGTTTTCATAGAAATGCTAGTTTAATTCGTAATTTGTGGTCAAAACGTCATCTTCAGATTCGTTCGATCTACACTACGGAGCTTTGATCAAGCAAATAACAGTTTACCACCAGAAGTTGAATAAATAAGATCTTTGCTCACGGTATTGTTCATCGAATGGTACATAATATTTCACCATTACATATGATATGTAAGAGAAACGAGAGAAACAATACTTACGGTCATAGTGGAATCTTCATTAGCCGCCATTTTATTTCGCTCCGGAGCGTTTCCGCGTAAATGTAACGCTCTGTCGTGCATGTAGGAGCGTTTGGGTTATACACCGTGTAAATACATTAGGAGACGACACTTACGTACTATTTCCACCGTGATTTCGCATAATTCAGTATTGTTTTTAGGTTTGAGGAGTGGAACTACAACACTTCGGAACATGTGGGAACTCATATTGATGCACCAATTCACTTCGGGAAAAATGGACCTGGAAATCGATGGTACATCGAAGACATCCCGTTTGAAAGATTCATTGGTCCCGCTGTAGTTGTTGATGTGTCCGATAAAGCAGACATTGATACAAATGTGGATTATGGTGCAACGATCGAAGACATTCAGGAATACGAACGCCAATTTGGGGCGATACCTTCAGGTGCAATTTTACTTATTCACACAGGATGGGGGAAATACTGGGGCGACCAGGTTAAATATGCCGGAACTGATACCAGAGATGAGAAAAAGGCCCATTTCCCATCTTTGTCCCCCGAAGCGGCTCAATGGATAGCTGACGATGGACGCATTGTCGGGGTAGGCGTGGATACCTTAAGTTGTGACACAGGAAATCGCTTGGATACAGCGGCGCACGTGAACCTATTTGAAAAGAACATTTATTGTTTGGAAAATGTGGCCAATTTGGGGAAGCTGCCTCGTAAGGGGGCTACAATCTACGTCATGCCTATACCTATCAAAGGAGGAAGTGGCGCTCCCTCTAGGGTATATGCAACATGGGACAATGGACAATCCTCCGGATTTACACTGAAAAGTACTATGGTGCCATACCTCGTTGCACTTATGGGAATATGTAGGATAGTATTTTAAGGAATGCCTTTTCAACTAGCTCTCTTTATCGGCTGTCACTCTCAGCTCATAAATTATTTTTCTTTGAGGAGAAATGAGAAAGGTACTTTAATATAATCCTCAATGCCAAAATTTCTCCACTGGCTTGAAAATAGACTTTGCTTTAAATTCGTGGTTTAATAACTTCTGTTGTCATAAGGTTGCTCCACTGTGGCGTATGGACACAATTTTAGGATGCCCAGCAAATGCTATAATCATGAGCTTTCAACTAGATATAATATAACGTACATGTTGTACATAAGTCGATTGAGGACAGTGTGTCTTATCTTGGAGAAAATGTACAAAGATTAACATTTGAAGAGGGGGTAGAAAACTGCCACCTAATGATAACGTACAGTGTCAAAAATACGGCGTCGTATTGTTGGCCGTACCTTGTCAATTTTTAACTGCTTTAAAGCAAAAACTACCACGTAGATTTTAAAAGATTTAATCTGAGATATACATAAACACTGTGATAAAGGATTTCATGTTTTATCATGTGTATTGTCTTCGAAAGACTTTTTACTTACTTTCTTTCTTTCTGAGTAAATCTACCTACGTCGACAGGTTGGAAAATCATAAAAAAGGACAAAAATCCTAAATTTTCCGCATGGAATACTTACTTTTGTCAAAATCAAAGTAGAACTCTAGTTGAAAAATATATTGTGCTAAATTATTGCCATTTCTTAGTAAAATGTCGTTCTCCGGTACGTTGCCAAAATTATTCGATGGTACCCCGTGGTATTAGCACTACCAAAGGTATTATTTTGCAAGCCATAATTTCCCTTACTTTCGGGGCCACCCCTGGTGTTTGTTAGTAACACTCTTGTAGTTACAATGCGAATTTGAAATAAGCATGATAAAAATTTTATGTGTGGATGGATTTAGAACTGGATTTAACATCAAATTAATTAATATATTTATTAATGTATAAAGTTATATAGCAATTCCTTATCGTGACCTTGAACAAGACAACAGGATGTAGAGCAAGATGACCTTAATTTTGATATTGTTTTCCACATAAATTAGGGCATCTCTTATCTCGGTCGAACCTAGCTACTTATCTCTGGGAGACTTATTCTTGCACGTTTTCTTATCTTACCGTTACCGTTACCGTTATCTTACTTTACTATCTTACTCTTACCGTTCTCTTATCATGAGGGCAACACTGAAACAATTCTGCGTGTCTATATTCTAGTTCATGCTAGAGAAATTACATTGGAACTATGGATCTGTCTAGGGATCTGTGGCATCTGAAATATTTGACGATTGTTTTAATGTTCATTTTTGTTTTGATCTTTTTGGGCACGTGTGCGGTGATCACCTACTTGACATGTATCAATATAACATGCCCATGTTATAACCCCATAGATAGGTGAACATATTTCGTGATGATTTCTGTAACATGCAGACAAATGTGGCTTTGGTAGGCTCGCACATGTGTAGAAAGCGCAACCAACATGTAAAATCACGCGTACATACGTAATGTACCCTGATCATGTTTTGGTGTAGCAAGCGTAGTTGGCGTAGGCCTAGGGTGAACCATGACAGTGTGTGAGTATACCTACAGACTCATGTTTCCGTGTAGCAAGCGTAGCTGGCGTAGTAAACATACCATACTGTTTTTCTTCAAATAAATGCCCGTAGCAGACGTAGTAGTACATAAGGGTGACCCTACAGTGTGTGTGTATACCTGTAGACTCATGTTTTGGTGTAGCAGGCGTAGTTGGCGAAGTCAACACAGTACATACTATGAAGTGGTCATTTTCAATAAAATATCCGTAGCAGACGTAGCTGTACCCAGGGTACACCATGGCAGTGTGTGAACCCTACAGTGTGTGTGTATACCTATAGACTCATGTTTTGGTGTAGCAGGCGTAGTTGGCGTAGTCAACAAAGTACATACTATGATGTGGTTATTTTCAATAAAATACTCGTAGCAGTATACATAGCTGTACCTGAGCAGACGTATCTGTACCCGGGGTGCACCATGGCAGTGTGTGTGTATACCTATAGACTCATGTTTAGGTGTAGCAAGCGTAGTTGGCGTAGTAAACATACTATACTTTTTTTGTTCAATTAAATACCCATAGCAGACGTGGTTTTACATAGGGTGACCCTACAGTGTATATGTATACCTATAGACTCATGTTTTGGTGTAGCAGGCGTAGTTGGCGTAGTCAACACAGTACATACTATGAAGTGGTCATTTTTTCAATAAAATACTCGTAGCAGACGTAGCTATACCCAGAGTACACCATGGCAGTGTGTGTGTATACCTATAGACCAATGTTTTGGTGTAGCAAGCGTAGTTGGCGTAGTCAACATACTATCATGTGGTTATTTTCACTAAAATACCCGTAGCAGACGTAGCTATACCTAGGGTGGACCATGCCAGTGTGTATGTATACCTATAGACCAATGATTTGGTGTAGCAAGCGTAGTTGGCGTAGTCAACATACTATCATGTGGTTATTTGCAATAAAATACCCGTAGCAGACGTAGCTATACCAAGGGTGGACCATGACAGTGTGTATGTATACCTATAGACCAATGTTTTGGTGTAGCAAGCGTAGTTGGCGTAGTCAACATACTATCATGTGGTTATTTTCAATAAAATACCCGTAGCAGACGTAGCTATACCTAGGGCGGACCATGCCAGTGTGTATGTATACCTATAGACCAATGTTTTGGTGTAGCAAGCGTAGTTGGCGTAGTCAACATACTATCATGTGGTTATTTTCAATAAAATACCCGTAGCAGACGTAGCTATACCTAGAGTGGACCATGACAGTGTGTATGTATACCTATAGACCAATGTTTTGGTGTAGCAAGCGTAGTTGGCGTAGTCAACATACTATCATGTGATTATTTGCATATAAAATACCCGTAGCAGACATAGCTATACCTAGGTAGGACCATGACAGTGTGTATGTATACCTATAGACCAATGTTTTGGTGTAGCAAACGTAGTTGGCGTAGTCAACATACTATCATGTGGTTATTTTCAATAAAATACCCGTAGCAGACGTAGCTATACCTAGGGTGGACCATGACAGTGTGTATGTATACCTATAGACCAATGTTTTGGTGTAGCAAGCGTAGTTGGCGTAGTCAACATACTATCATGTACTTATTTGCAATAAAATACCCGTAGCAGACGTAGCTATACCTAGGGTGGACCATGCCAGTGTGTATGTATACCTATAGACCAATGTTTTGGTGTAGCAAGCGTAGTTGGTGTAGTCAACATACTATCATGTGGTTATTTTCAATAAAATACCCGTAGCAGACGTAGCTATACCTAGGTAGGACCATGACAGTGTGTATGTATACCTATAGACCAATGTTTTGGTGTAACAAGCGTAGTTGGCGAAGTCAACATACTATGATGTGGTTATTTCCAATAAAATACCCGTAGCAGACGTAGCTATACCCACAGTGAACCATGGCAGTGTGTGTGAATACCTATACACTCATATTTTGGTGTAGCAAGCGTAGTTGGCGTAGTCAACACAGTACATACTATGATGTGGTTAGTTTCAATAAAAAACCCGTAGCAGACGTAGCTATACCCAGGGTGAACCATGGCACTGTGTGTGTATACCTGTAGACTCATGTTTTGGTGTAGCAAGCGTAGTTGGCGTAGCCCGGAAGGTGAGATAGCTTGGAAATTACCAGTTCATCTCAACTTGATCTAGTGGATTATGATTAAGGCTATGGTCTTCCAACCCCATATTTGGTGGTTTAAATCTCGGTCGTGGCAAAGTTATTTATCTCTGGCCCCCAATGTTTTTTAAATCTCTTTTTATATAACATATAGTCATATCTATTACTTTTTGGGGTTTTAGATTATAGATGTATCGTATATGTGTTACTTTAATCATATAGTGACATCTTTATTTTTGCCATATTACCATTGTAATTGCAAAGACATCTATCAAAATTCAACTAATTGATTTAATTAGCTTTCAGGCTTTAAGAATTGAATATAATACTTTCATAGAAGCATTCATCTTAGGGTCATTGTTTTGGTTGGGCCACATAGCCATAGACTTCCATGCTAAACACTTGCAATTGTCACGAAATTTCATGATTTATTTTAACGTAATTAAATTGTTTGAGATTACAGCTTACATCTATAAATTCAAAAACATATCGCCTCATTGAGAGGTACATGCAGATTTTGGCGATCTATCATTATAAAAAGCTAAATATTGTGGAAAAACATTTGGAAATGAAATTTCCTACATAATTGCCGACTCATGTTAAAAAGTCATGAAAACAAGGTTGAACACAAAACATTGACCCAGTTACTGTCTATTTGGCATGGGATCACTAAGGGAAATATTATCAATGACTTAAATCGTTAACGGTTAAGTTGTATTCCAAGAAACTTATTAATTTAGAAATGCAAAATGTTCAATTTTGTTTTTCAATTATACGAAATCGCACCTGTAGAGAACGTTTACAAAATTATTTAAAACGGAGATATTTACTTATGTAACATTCATTGGCATGTGTCAGGAAGTAAATAAGAAGAATATGCATTTGATTCTATATCTTGTTCCCAAAGGAGTTTGTTAAGGAGCGGTATATCTTAACGTACTTTTATCATCCCGAACTCAAACATTTCGAATACTTATTTTGAGAACGCTTTGTTAAGAATGGATTCGTTATGTACTCAAAATTAATACGTTAAAATGTGTATTATCATCTTAATAACTACCTCATAAATTGTTTTGGAAATCAAAGATGTACGATTTTTGAGATTTTTATTTTCGAATGTTGACTTAGTTACTTGGCTTGACTGTCTTGTGTCTCAATGGATGGACCGTGAACACTATATATATACAAAATTAATAAGCTAAATATCTAAAGTGTCCAATCAAAGTTATCAAACACGTTGACTAGCATTTTAATGCACTATTCAATCCAATCTCAGTGCTAGCGACTACTGCATCGAGCCACTTGGTTGCATAATCAACTCTAGAAATAACGTTTAAAAATGACCCGCAGTCATTACAGACTTTTTGCGAGGAATTTTATTTATCGTACAAGAAAAATACCACATTCTTGCTTCGTACTTGCAATATAACTGAATTATAAGGTATCGGATGCGTTCTAGGTGCAAATCACAATAATTATAACCTGACGATGAGGTAGCGGCAACTTGTGTCAAGTGTAAACTGACTGTAATCGTTAAGTTTCAATATGACATGCATCTGACACCCCCCGCTCTAATTTCCAAGTTAACGTGATGAAAAATACTTTGCCTGCATTAGGGTTAACTGTGAATTGAGGTACGAGCATTGAGACAACGTACATTAGAATTGACAACGTACATTATGTACAAAATACAACTACGCTTGCTCCACATAAGAAGGAGTATACAGGTATGTCATGGTCCATGCTTGGTATAGCTACGTCTGCTACGGTATTTTATTGAAAATAAGCCCAGTGTAGTATGGTATGTTGACTACGCCAACTACACCAAAACATGAGTCTATAGGTATGCATACACACTGTAGGGCCCACCCTAGGTGTACCTACGTCTGCTACGGGTATTTTATAGAAAATAACCAGATCATAGTATGTTGACTACGCAAACTACGCTTGCTATACCAAAACAAGCATACACCCTGTAGGGTCCACACTAGGTATAACTACGTCTGCTACGGGTATTTTTTGAACATAACCACATCATAGTATGTTGACAACGCCAACTACGCTTGCTACACCAAAACATTGGTCTATAGGTATACATACACACTGTCATGCTCCACCCTAGGCATAGCTACGTCTGCTACGGGTATTATATTGAAAATAACCACATGATAGTATGTTGACTACGCCAACTACGCTTGCTACACCAAATCAGTGGTCTATAGGTATACATACACACTGTCATGGTCCACCCTAGGTATAGCTACGTCTGCTACGGGTATTTTATTGAAAATAACCACATGATAGTATGTTGACTACGCCAACTACGCTTGCTACACCAAAACATTGGTCTCTAGGTATACATACACACTGTCATGGTCCACTCTAGGTATAGCTACGTCTGCTACGGGTATTTTATTGCAAATAACCACATGATAGTATGTTGACTACGCCAACTACGCTTGCTACACCAAATCAGTGGTCTATAGGTATACATACACACTGTCATGGTCCACCCTAGGTATAGCTACGTCTGCTACGGGTATTTTATTGCAAATAACCACATGATAGTATGTTGACTACGCCAACTACGCTTGCTACACCAAATCAGTGGTCTATAGGTATACATACACACTGTCATGGTCCACCCTAGGCATAGCTACGTCTGCTACGGGTATTTTATTGAAAATAACCACATGATAGTATGTTGACTACGCCAACTACGCTTGCTACACCAAATCAGTGGTCTATAGGTATACATACACACTGTCATGGTCCACCCTAGGTATAGCTACGTCTGCTACGGGTATTTTATTGAAAATAACCACATGATAGTATGTTGACTACGCCAACTACGCTTGCTACACCAAAACATTGGTCTCTAGGTATACATACACACTGTCATGGTCCACTCTAGGTATAGCTACGTCTGCTACGGGTATTTTATTGCAAATAACCACATGATAGTATGTTGACTACGCCAACTACGCTTGCTACACCAAATCAGTGGTCTATAGGTATACATACACACTGTCATGGTCCACCCTAGGTATAGCTACGTCTGCTACGGGTATTTTATTGCAAATAACCACATGATAGTATGTTGACTACGCCAACTACGCTTGCTACACCAAATCAGTGGTCTATAGGTATACATACACACTGTCATGGTCCACCCTAGGCATAGCTACGTCTGCTACGGGTATTTTATTGAAAATAACCACATGATAGTATGTTGACTACGCCAACTACGCTTGCTACACCAAAACATTGGTCTCTAGGTATACAAACACACTGTCATGGTCCACCCTAGGTATAGCTACGTCTGCTACGGGTATTTTATTGCAAATAACCACATGATAGTATGTTGACTACGCCAACTACGCTTGCTACGCCAAATCAGTGGTCTATAGGTATACATACACACTGTCATGGTCCACCCTAGGTATAGCTACGTCTGCTACGGGTATTTTATTGCAAATAACCACATGATAGTGTGTTGACTACGCCAACTACGCTTGCTACACCAAAATATTGGTCTATAGGTATACATACACTCTGTCATGGTTCACCCTAGGTATAGCTACGTCTGCTACGGGTATTTTATTGCAAATAACCACATAATAGTGTGTTGACTACGCCAACTACGCTTGCTACACCAAAACATTGGTCTATAGGTATACATACACACTGTCATGGTCCACCCTAGGTATAGCTACGTCTGCTACGGGTATTTTATTGCAAATAACCACATGATAGTATGTTGACTACGCCAACTACGCTTGCTACGCCAAAACATTGGTCTATAGGTATACATACACACTGTTATGGTCCACCCTAGGTATAGCTACGTCTGCTACGGGTATTTTATTGCAAATAACCACATGATAGTATGTTGACTACGCCAACTACGCTTGCTACACAAAAACATTGGTCTATAGGTATACATACACTCTGTCTCGGTCCACCCTAGGTATAGCTACGTCTGCTACGGGTATTTTATTGCAAATAACCACATGATAGTGTGTTGACTACGCCATCTACGCTTGCTACACCAAAATATTGGTCTATAGGTATACATACACTCTGTCATGGTTCACCCTAGGTATAGCTACGTCTGCTACGGGTATTTTATTGCAAATAACCACATAATAGTGTGTTGACTACGCCAACTACGATTGCTACACCAAAACATTGGTCTATAGGTATACATACACACTGTCATGGTCCACCCTAGGTATAGCTACGTCTGCTACGGGTATTTCATTGCAAATAACCACATGATAGTATGTTGACTACGCCAACTACGCTTGCTACACCAAAACATTGGTCTCTAGGTATACATACACACTGTCATGGTCCACCCTAGGTATAGCTACGTCTGCTACGGTATTTTATTGCAAATAACCACATGATAGTATGTTGACTACGCCAACTACGCTTGCTACACCAAAACAGGGGTCTATAGGTATGCATGCACACTGTAGGGCCCACCCTAGGTATGTCTACGTCTGCTAGTATGTTTACTACGCCAACTACGCTTGCTACATCAAAACATAAGTCTATAGGTATACATACCCACTGTAGGGTCCACCCTAGGTACTTCTGTACGTCTGCTACGGGTATTTTTATTGAAAATAACCACATCATAGTATGTTTACTACGCCTACTACGCTTGCTACATCAAAACATGAGTCTATAGGTATACATAGGATCCACCGTATGTATATCTACGTCTGCTACGGGTATTTTATTGAACTAACTACATGATAGTATGTTGACTACGCCAACTACGCTTGCTACATCAAAACACGAGTCTATAGGTATACATACACACCATAGGATCCACCGTAGGTATACATACACACTGTTACCTTCATGTACTACATGTATTTTGATGAAATGACAACCTGTGCTCATGTTATATGGATGCATCTTCATCTGTGCATAGCATTGAAATGGCCCGTAAGATCAGAATTTTCACACGTGAGAATTCATCAAGACCTTACATTTAAATATCACTGTTTGTGAGAATGGCATGTGGGTGATACGGATAATGCACTCGTAAATTACATTTCAAATTTCCCGTGTGGGTGATACGAATGATACACTTGTATTTGCATTTTTAAAATTCCCGTGTAGGTGAGCATGGCACAAGAACCTCTTTTTGTTTGGTCACCATGGAGATGCAAAGAAACAGACGCTTCAGATGAATCACCTCGTTGACGAGAAAACACTCGTGTACTTTCCAACGGTTGCTAGATACAAGAGAGAAGTCCATTTCAAGGGGATCTCCCAATATGACCAACCCGATGGGTCGAAGACATGGTGAGTCAAGCAGGGTGAGTTAATAAAGAATATTTCATCTTAAAGTGTCTCACATATTCGATCAAAATTTGCCATGCAAACATGTTAGTCTACTTTACTGGCCCCCCTTGCTGTAACAAGGAACACAAAACACATTAAAACGTAGACATAAACCAATTAGTCACTTCACTATGAAAGTTAGGGGTGTTAGCAACTGTGTATTAGCAGAATACGCTGTGTGCTAACACAATGTTAGTGGTCATTTACTGTGTCAACTTAGTAACCCTTGCATATCGTGCTCACTCAAGTATTGAATAAATTTTTTTATGATCTAAATGTTTGTGGTTTATAAAAAAATGTGATATATTTTAGTTGGAAATACATTAATAAATATATTCATTCAAACAGCACTAGAATGCGGGAAGAAAGAGCAATGGTGACAAAATGCAGACAGAATTTTCCGTAAGGGTTTCAAACATTGCTGGACACAATCATACATGTATTTCATGTGTACTGTTATTTTTGGTGCTGTATTTATAGATAAAATTTCACGTATTAAAATCATATTTTCCAGCAATGACTTCAAATTCGGAACCACCCTCATATCACATTTTCTTCAATAACTCCAAACATGTGTAAACATTGACCATGTGCATATAAATTCAGATTTCACGAGCTTTCCTATTCGAGTACCTCATACACCCCTGCATGGATTTGAGTTGGATTCGCCTTTTATACATGAGCCGATACACATCGCAAACGCTGATTGGATAAAGATTGCGAGAATCTTTAACTTGTTCTTTATTACCACTATAGGCGTCCTGCGAAAACAAGCCATACCACATCGTTTCAATTTCCTAGTTCTAATATGAGACTACGCTTGTTTCGTATTATATCACACAATCCGATTGTTTTTGGAAGCTCTAAAAACCGTTTGACCTGAAAATTCAACCTTCGACTTAATTAGTGTTCTGAAATTCTTTAAATAAAGTGGTGTTAAAATTGTAAGGTTTATTTCATTACAATAAAAATCCAAATTTTGGCTACTCCTAAATCGTGACACTGTGTTATATAAAAACCCTTCGACCTACGACCTTATTGAGTTCTAAGTTGAGATTCGTAAGTTGTATACTCATCAATGTGAAGTAAATGAAAACAGTTATTAAATAGGCTAGATGTTTTTTGATTTTATTTATTCCTCTTCACCCAATTTAGAGTATTAGAGTCTCAAGCAGTACAAATTTTAGCAACAATAATTAAAAATAATGTAACAAACATACATGCAGTCCCTTATTATTTTATAAAAACAATTCTAACCAGTCTTTTGGAAAATCAACCCTTACATTATCTCCCTTATCACATTTGTAACATAATTTTGAAATTTTCGACTTCGACACAAAACAACCAATCTCTACACCTTAGCTAAAAACTTTTTTGAATAAATACAGGATTTACCACTTATGATGCTTAGTCATCAATACATTTGCCTCCTTTATAAAATGTGCCAGTTTAATTAACAACTTTCTTTTCCTAGTTCTCATTAGTTGACTAAACTTCAAGGTATTAACATTATTACAGAAATATCTAGGCAAAAATTGAATTCTTAAATGCTGAAGAGATGTACATTCCATAATAAAGTGGTATTCATCTCAAATTTATCTGAATCACATAAATCACAAAATCTATTCGTACGTTCTATACATTTATACCGACCTCTCTCAATAGGAAGCTTATGATTTCCTGTCATAAACTTACATAAGATATTCAAATTACAAGCAAATCATTTCTATGGATCAGTTCTTAGCTCCCCATTGAAGAGTACAAAAATTACGCAACACCAATGCGGGGGCCAATCTACTTCAGTTTTTTAGTTCGGTTTACTGTGCACGAGCATTGAATCCATTTTTCTAGTAATGAAATGCATGCGCTAACTAAAACACAACCGGTCAAAGAAAAGCAATTTGAATAATGGGAATGAAAACCAAAAATGGAACTTTGCGCAGAATGCCCCTATCATGCCTATAATAGTGCTCTTCGAGACCGACAAAAAGCTCCCATGAACTGTTCTTTTTTGTAGGTTCGAGGAGTGGAACTACTACACTTCGGAGCATGTGGGAACTCATATTGATGCACCAGTTCACTTCGGGAAAAATGGACCTGGAAATCGATGGTACATCGAGGATATCCCGTTTGAAAGATTTATTGGTCCCGCTGTAGTTGTTGATGTGTCCGATAAAGCAGACATTGATACAAATGTGGATTATGGTGCAACGATCGAAGACATCCAAGAATATGAGCGTCAATTTGGGGCGATACCTTCAGGTGCAATTTTACTTATTCACACAGGATGGGGGAAATACTGGGGCGACCAGGTTAAATATGCCGGAACTGATACCAGAGATGAGAAAAAGGCCCATTTCCCATCTTTGTCCCCCGAAGCGGCTCAATGGATAGCCGAAGATGGACGCATTGTCGGAGTCGGTGTGGATTCATCCAGTTGTGACACGGGAGACCAGTTAGATACAGCAGCCCACGTGAACCTATTTGAAAAGAACGTTTACTGTTTGGAAAATGTGGCCAATTTGGGGCAGCTGCCTCGAAAGGGGGCTACAATCTACGTCATGCCTATACCTATCAAAGGAGGTAGTGGCGCCCCCTCTAGAGTGTATGCTACATGGGACGATGGACTTTTCTCTGGATTTACACTGAAAAGTGCTACGGCGCCATTCCTTGTTGGTGGACTTATATGGGGATACATACTCTATTTTTATAATCATAACATATAAGGGAAAATATAAGCAAAACACCCCTTGCTACCTCTCGTTATTTACTGTCACTCTATGAGATCATAAATTATTTTTCTATGAGGCAAAAGTGAGTAATGCCAAAATGAATTTCTCCATCATCTTAGAAATCATATTATGTTTAAGTACGTGGTATGATAACTTCTATTATCGTTAAGGCTGCCCAACTGTGGCATAGGGACGCTATGATGTCCAACAGATGATTTAAGTGTGTTAAAGACGGAAATGTTCACCTCTACTCTACGTAGAATTGGAAGGTTAAGTTACACGTTTTCTTAAAAAACTTGTACGTGAACTTGTAGAATTTATGGTCCTTTATGTACTGGTATTAGTTCTCTCATATGTAGTGTTTACTTGCCAGATTGAGTATAAAGGTATACAGAAAATAATTGTCATTATGTATGTGGGAAAGTGAATTGAGAGTGGGACAGTAATCCCCGAGGGTCGAAATATTACACACTCACGTGCAGGATCCCTTAAAAACGTATTACTTAAACCTCTCTAATATTTAGAACTGTGTATAAAAAATACCAAATTGAAGCAATTTTGAAGGATTTTATGAGCACTTACGTGACTTATGAATATTCTAGATTCATTTAAAGGAGAAAATTCAATGACCTACTTTTTTGTAATATTAAGAAGTAGGTCACTGTATTTTCGTTATGCTCATACATTGTACAATTTTACTAACCCTCAACTAATAGGCTAATCCGAATGGTCTTCCTGACCAATGAATGATAAAAACATATTTCCAAAATTTCCATGGGGCCTTTAACAGTCAATGAATGCAAATTTCCACTTTCGAGGAAATATTTGACGTCAAGTAACACTTTTGCTGTGAATTTAGGTATGCCAAATATATTGGAACCAAACACGAGATGGTCTATCAGAGGAACCAATAAATAATATTTTTGACCAATAAAGAAGATGAGATGGACTGGTTAACAAAATGGAACTGGTGCACCGACTTTTTGTTGAAAAAATGAACAAGAAAGAATAAATCTCAGAACATTGAAAAGCAAGTTTCACAGTTTATTGGCACGATCGAACACCTCGCCGATCTTCTTAACCACGAATAAGGTATCGGAATAGTAATACATATGGCTAAATAAAGTATACCATCATACGCTATATTTAGGATAAAATTTATATTTAACGATGATGATTGGAAGGAAGGTCCTTTACTTTCATTTTTGAAGTTTCTTAGTTATTGATGGGAGGGGGTGTATCATAGGTTATACTACTCAAAACCACTCAGGAGTCCACTTGTAAAAGTAAGACGTTTGCAAGCGAACAAGATATTTACCTGTTTACCTGTTACCTGTTACCTGTTTTGCGCAATGCCGCAAAAAAGTTGAGTTCAAATTAATCTTCTCCATTCATTATAAGATCAATAGTACATTGTTAGATGATCATGTTTTGTTCCTCGATCACTTGCGCTGGCCTGTAAACAACTCGTTGGTTTTTTAGTTTTTGGCTTGTCTATAACCATATTAGCAACTTACAGTCTTAGCAGTGCACGCTAGAGAAGCGGCGTTGAAATTATGGATTTGGGGAATCTGAGATATTTAATGATTGTTTTGCAGTTTGTTTGCTTTGGTCACCATGGAGATGCAAAGAAACAGACGCTTCAGATGAATTACCTCGTTGACGAGAAAACACTCGTGTACTTTCCAACGGTTGCTAGATATAAGAGAGAAGTCCATTTCAAGGGGATCTCCAAATATGACCAACCCGATGGGTCGAAGACATGGTAAGTTATAAAGAATATTTCATTCTTTATTTCCTCTTTGGCGTATCTTTCAATGATTAAAACATGGATCTCTAGATGACAACGATTAAAAATGGTAACTAAATTGAATGAAACATCTTTCTGAATTGGGGGCGCATCAAAGTCTTTATTAAAAATAGGCTGGTAGCCAGGCACCCGAATGGTTTCCTACCCAATGGTGTAGTTGGCTTCCTAGATTTTAATTCCGCTTTCTCATGTTTCTGAGGTTATTCAATTCGTTGATTAAATAAATTGATATACAGATAACGATGAACAGAATTAAAAAGATCAGTTAATATACTTTGAAGGTAATAGCTTTAAAAGTGTATATGCAATAGGAGACTACCCTTGTAAATCTATTATTTCAAACACTTCAATTGTTTTTAGGTTTGAGGAGTGGAACTACAACACTTCGGAGCATGTGGGAACTCATATTGATGCACCAGTTCACTTCGGGAAAAATGGACCTGGAAATCGATGGTACATCGAGGATATCCCGTTTGAACGATTCATTGGTCCCGCTGTAGTTGTTGATGTGTCCGATAAAGCAGACATTGATACAAATGTGGATTATGGTGCAACGATCGAAGACATTCAGGAATACGAACGTCTATTTGGGACCATACCATCAGGTGCAATTTTACTTATTCACACAGGATGGGGGAAATACTGGGGCGACCAGGTTAAATATGCCGGAACTGACACCAGAGATGATAAAAAGGCCCATTTCCCATCATTGTCCCCCGAAGCGGCTCAATGGATAGCTGACGATGGACGCATTGTCGGAGTCGGTGTGGATACATCCAGTTGTGACACGGGAGATCGCTTAGATACAGCAGCCCACGTGAACCTATTTGAAAAGAACGTTTACTGTTTGGAAAATGTGGCCAATTTGAGGCATTTGCCACAAAAGGGTGCTACCATTTACGTCATGCCAATACCCATCAAAGGAGGTAGTGGCGCCCCCTCTAGGGTGTATGCTACATGGGACGATGGGCAATCTTCTGCGGCATGTACATCCAAAGGTGTTCTAGCGCTATTCCTTATTGCGCTGATATTGGCATATAGAACTCAATTTTTATTTATATAACGACTGGAATGACTCTTGGACATCGACGGTCGCGCTCAGCTCATATTTTCTATCAAAAAACTGAGAGGAAGCTGCTCCATTAAAATGTGTGTTGACAAAATAAAACGGTTATTTTCTCCACCATTTTGGAAAATAGACAATATGTACAGTAAAACCTGTGTATATTGAACAAAAAACTCCTGAGAAAAAACAATACCATTAAAGGAGGTAGTGGCGCCCCATTAGGATGTATGTTACATCATGGGACGATGGGCATGTACATCCAAGGGTGTTCTGGTGCCATACCAGTGTTTGTAGGTGTTCACTACAGAGAGGATAATTATGAATAAGTCGATAGGGTATAATTTGGGGGGGAAGGGTGTCCACTAGAGACAGGTGTACACCAGAGAGAGGTGTTCACTAAGACAGGTTTTACTGCCATGTCATGATAACTTTTGTAAACGTTATGTTGTCCCACTGAAACATAGTGGCGCTTTATGATGCGATGGTGCCTAACAAATCATAATCATTGCTTTTGCTAGGTGCATTTGTGGGATTATATTTAGAACCCTGTAAATAACTAAATAGTTAAATACCAAATTGTAGCAATATTAAATAAATAGCAAATCGAGTTCAGTTGTCTGGATGTATTCCTGGTGTAAGGTGAATAATTCGGATGGAGAAACCCATGTACAAGTTCACCTAGAACTGCACTGGGGATGAACTGGAAACGAGGGAGGTTTTGCCTCGTATCAAAATGGCGGCGCGTGAAAAAATTTCATTCGGTAAGATTTTTGTTTTTTACAATTTTCGTGCTTTAATCCTTCAAATTAAAACTTAATATTTGGCAAGTAAATAGTTCATAAGTTCCGGTTTTATAATATGATTACAAATTAGAAATCAATACTGGCATTGCTGAGATATTTACATATCAATTCTCTCACTTAGGAAACGAGGCATGTTTCTCAAGGAAACGAGGCAGCTATATAGCATTCTTAAGAATGAAACGAGGCAACCATATTTAATTAAAAATGTTTTTGTTTTTATTACAGAACGGGGCCTACAAAAAGAAGCGTCCCTGTTCAAATGCTATTTCTGTAACACAGGAAACGACAACGTTGCTGATATTGTATTCCATATGATGCAACAGCATGATGGTAATCTCTCTGTACGGAAACGAACGTTAGATGAGAAAACAGGTTCATATGTATACACGTCTCATCATTTTGGCGTTGCCATTGAACGTGTAAGAACGCTTAAGAAGGAAGGGCATACTGTGATGATAAATTCTGATATGCAGTTGAGAATAAAACGACGGATCGAGAGAGAATCAAGTAAATATATATTCAAATTATTAACAGTTTGATTGTGTTTTGTTGGTTAACAGCAACTGAGTTTCTATATGGTATGCCTTTGGGCGAATGTTCCCCTTTATAAAGGCGCACATGAGGGTTTACTTCCTTTTAACTGATGTCGCAAAACTTGTAAATGTTTTATACTTGATCGCAAATGGAGTTATGAATTGCCAGAAATGTAAAATTATTTTGACTACCCTGTACGAGGTATGCATATTAGGAGTTATTAATGTGCCCTAAACCAGGGTCCCTCTACATCCCGCTCTACATGCACATGTAGCAGTATAAGCTGCTATCAGATATATCCTTTATAGTAATGGCATTTTCTTTGTGCAATGGATCTATACAATCGCATGACGAACCAACAATTGATTAGACGATGGTCTCGACGATGATCCAGACGGTGATCTCGACGATGATCTCGAAGAACTCAAAACAATAATTCCCCGAGTAGTTGAAAAAATGCAGAAAACTAGAAAAACAGCAACTCCACGTAGCAAATTCGAATGGCAGTTGAGTTACCAAAGATTACGAAAATGAAAATGAAAAATGGCAGCCATTCTGAAGATCAGCCGCCATCTTAAAGTTTTTTCTCGAACAGAGCTACTGTGTTTCTAGGCATCAGCATATAAAATTTCAACCAAATCTGTTCACTGGTATTTGACTTATCAAAGATTACGTTTTTTCTTATGAAAAATGGCTACCATTTAGAAATTCAGCCGCCATCTTGAAAAAAAATTCTCGAACAGATCTACTGTGTCCCTAGGAATCATCATATAAAAAATGAGCCAAATCTGTTCACTGGTATTTGAGTTATCAAAGATTACGTTTTTTACGAAAAATGGCGTCCATTTTGAAATTCAGCCGCCATCTTGAAAATTCTTTCTCGAACAGATCTCCTTTGTCCCTAGGCATCATCATATAAAATTTGAGCCAAATCCGTTCACTGGTATTTGAGTTATCAAAGATAACCTTTTTTACGAAAAATGGCCGCCATTTTGAATATCAAGCCGCCATCTTGAAAATTCTTTCTTGAACAGATCTATTGTGTCCCTAGGCATTATCATATAAAATTTGAGCCAAATCCGTTCACTGGTATTTGAGTTATCAAAGATTAAGTTTTTTTACGAAAAATGGCCGACATTTTGAAATCTAGCCGCCATCTTGAAAATTTTTACTCGAACATATCCACTGTGTCCCTAGGCATCAGCATATAAAATTTGAACCAAATCCGCGATCTAGTATTTGAGTTATTAAAGATTACATTTTTTACAAAAAATGGCGGCCATTTTGAATTCAGTGGCCATATTGAAAATTCCTTCTCGAGCAGAGGTCCTACACCCATAAGGCATAAGCCTATAAAATTTGAATCAAATCCGTGAAACGGTATTTGAGTTATCGCCCGGACAAACAGACGGACGGACGGACGGACGGCTTTCCTATATCCCTCTCGAACTTCGTTCGGTGGGATAATAAATAGATCATCAGATTTTATATCCGTGTTGAATAACATTGCAAGTGGAGAGCATTGGATCATGTATATCGTGTAAAACGTAATCGGTCGTATGTGACCAGAACGGTTGAAATAAGATCATTAAATGTAGACACTATCACAGAAAGAATAGTTGCCTCGTTGCAAGTCAAACATTGCCTCGTTTCATTGTTACAAAATGTAGACAGGTGCCTCGTTTCCTAAGTGAGAGAATTGAAATGTAAATATCTCAGCAATATCTGTATTGATTTCTAATTTGCAATCATATCATAAAACCGGAACTTATAAACTATTTACTTGCCAAATATTAAGTTTTAATTTGAAGGATAAAAGCACGAAAATTGTAAAAAACAAAAACCTTACCGAATGAAATTTTTTCACGCACCGCCATTTTGATACGAGGCAAAACCTCCCTCGTTTCCAGTTCATCCCCAGTGAAAATGAGTAAAAGAGTCTTAAATCGGCAGAGTTTAGGATGCTAACCAAGAGATACGAGTCAAAAATATTCTAAAATGAAAACAATGTTTGTTTAAGTGGCAACAAGGCCTGTAAAGAGACTGAGCTATCAGGGCAATGATTGCCTTAACATCTTCTTAAAATTTCTTAAAATGTATGGACATGCCTATCTATTTCAGCATTTAGAAGTGTATAAATTAGTTTAAAGTTTCCACAAGAGGCGTTCCATTGGATCATGTATATCGTGTAAAACGTAATCGGTCGTATGTGACCAGAACGGTTGAAATAAGATCATTAAATGTAGACACTATCACAGAAAGAATAGTTGCCTCGTTGCAAGTCAAACATTGCCTCGTTTCATTGTTACAAAATGTAGACAGGTGCCTCGTTTCCTAAGTGAGAGAATTGAAATGTAAATATCTCAGCAATATCTGTATTGATTTCTAATTTGCAATCATATCATAAAACCGGAACTTATAAACTATTTACTTGCCAAATATTAAGTTTTAATTTGAAGGATAAAAGCACGAAAATTGTAAAAAACAAAAACCTTACCGAATGAAATTTTTTCACGCACCGCCATTTTGATACGAGGCAAAACCTCCCTCGTTTCCAGTTCATCCCCAGTGAACTGGGAATAGAACCAGTAGTTCATTTGTCACCCCTATACATCCAATAGTGAACCTAGAAATTGTTAAAAGTACGATGTCGATGTCGATGTCGATGTCGAGTATGGTCGATTTATGATAATAAGGGTTCTCTGAAGTGATTTAACTGGGTTGCCCAAAAATTTTGTTTGGGGAAAAAATGATATAGGCTGATTAGGGAGGGGTGCAATCGCTTAACATGGCGTTGACTATTGACTTAGCGTTTGGATACCACCATATACCTGGTATGTTACCATGGTAATAGATACAAAAATTTTCCCCAAAGTTATTTTTTTGGCAACCCAGCTAAATCACTCCAATAATCCCTAATGATAGTATTTACACAGAAAAACATCATACTTTTAAATATTTATACGTTCAGAAAATGACAAATGGACTACATTGAATACCCAGTACTTGTTCTGCAGCAAAAACAGAATGCTCACCAGAAAGCTTTTGTTTGGGACTTTTGGGGGTCCCTATTCCAAAAATGCCAGGGATTCGATTTTCGAGGGATATCATTTGTATCCATGAGTGGATATCGACGATCTCCACGAGTGAGTATAGATAAAGATGATAGCCCCAGATCCTATTGTTTGAATTGAATTAAGATATCTTGACCTAAAATTGATCTAATATCTGTCGTATTCTAACATTTGCTTCTTATTGAGATGGCCTCGTACTCACTGTCGTCTTTTTAAGAAGGTTAATGAAAAAACTTGCAAATAATTATTCAAATCCTAAATTGATAAATGTCCATCACATTAAGTTTTCACCTCTATTTCGAAATTTCAGATAATAATTTCAACCCTTTTCGGCGCTAGATTCAAAACTAAATGTAATAGTATCCGTCTGATACGTTTGGTTACCACGTCGTATCTCATACTTGAGTGGGTTTGGGGTAGATATCGCCCGGGAGCGGGCAGGATATATTGTATATGTCCCGCTTCAGGCCAATTGCGGGCAGATATAATATATCCATCCCGCTCTCGGGAATTTTTCAAAAGATTTAAAAAGTTGAAAAGTTAAATAAATTTTATAATTTTTAAAAAGTTAAAATGTTACAATTTCATTGTATTGAACTTGAGGAACATTACGAAAATGCTAGATATAAATTGTGTTTTTACAGTATCGGCCTATCTTTTCATTTGAAAAAGGTGGAAATGTTATATCTACCCGAAACCCACTCAAATATGAGATACACCAGTTATTTACGGTCGGTTTTGGATATAGGGTACATCCCTCGGGAAATATTTATATCTCCCCTTGGTCCCTTCGGTCCCTCGGGGAGATATGAATATATCCCTCATGATATACCCTATATCCAAAACCTCCCAGTACATAACCCTTATATATCAGCTGGATACGATATTAGTGGCGCACCAAAATTATATTGTGTTGTTATTCCCATATATTTATTTTATTGTTTTTTATTTCCCGTAGATTGCGATTTGTGTTGGTTCGAAATTAGTACCTATGACATGTATGATGTGAAACAATCGTTCCTTCCTAATTCACGTCTTATTTAGTTTTGATTCCTGGAACCGTTACATATATGTATTACAAAGATCGTATCTTACAAACCCATCGTTTATTTTGATTATAATACATTTCGATGCATAATACATTTACATACCTTTATAATACATTTATCTATTTGTAATTTGATTTTGACGAATTAAAACCGTAATTGGTTTAAAAGTAAATTGTGACATCAAAATACTTTAACATATTTGAACCTGATTGTTCTTTGCAATTGCTTAAGTCCTCAACATTCGTTAACTAACGACCTTGTACAGTGCTGTTATTACTTCATAGTCTGGGAGTTTATGGAAGGGTTTCGTTCCATCCTCGGCTTCCCATTGGTTCATCTGAATACTCTTGACTTTGATATAATTGTGTTCGAGTTCATCCAATGCCTATAATGTTGGAATAAAAATGATGTCAGTAGAATTTTAAAAAATGAAGCAATGGTTAGGGAGCATTTCAAAAGATCGACGACGGAAAATTAAATGTGTTTGAACAATTATGGGGGAGGGGTCATGTGCCTTAAAAGTTAGCTTTCCGATATCGTTCCCGGGAATTTTATTTGAGCAAGTTTTGTTGGATATAAACTTAGGATTCTACAGTGAGATACACTACAAGAGATAATCATATGCTGATACTGCTGTACGAAAATACAGTTTGGAATAATTATAAAAATTGACTGTATTACCATTACATATAATGTTAGATATAGTGTGAGTGGCCGTCTCTGGAGTGACTTATCAATAACATATCAACATTTCTCAAACACAGTTATGAGGGGAGGGGGTCCAGATTAATTGTTCAAATACTAATAGGCTACAGTTAATTGTCCCTCGTCGATCTTTTGAAGCGCTCCCTTATTTGAATCTAACACTAATCAGGTTAAAGTGACCTCGTTTCACTATGTTAATCATTGGAATTAATCAACCTGATTGGACATATTGGTAACCTGAAATTAGTACTGCACCAATATCAATAAATATCAAGGCCTTGATGCAAAACTTCTTCAACCTGTCCTTCGACTTTGATTTTCAGGACAACCGTCGCGATGACATGTATATTGCCTGATTGTTCCATAAAAAGATAAGTTAAACAGACGTCGAAGTGCTATAGAACAAGATGCTCATATCATTCTCATAACATTTATACATATTGAAGTCAAAGAAGTGTACGAAGTGATTTGTTATTCTAGAAATCTGGTGCTTTCAACATTTTGCAATCTATTATTGCTCCCCCTTTAATCAATAGCATTCACAAATAAACCAACACCATTTACCGACAAAAGCAACTTTATCATGTTTTGGCATATTCTTTGCTGTATACTACTTACACATGTAACTGGGTTAGTATCAGTTATTGCAATCCCTTTAAGACCCTTAGCCTTGGCGAATGGTTCGGCGTATGCACATGCGATGTTTGTTAGCTCCAGGTTCTCCTGGTGGGATAGTGTCTTGTCGGTACCAAAGATGAACTCAAATAGCCATGTTCCTCCATGTTTCTCAATGGTTTCTTTCTTCATTGGCGTCTCAACACTCTCTATCATGTAAAACACTGGTAAGATACATTCGGGGAACGTTGATCCAAAATCGAAATCGGTGTCGTACGTAGCAAAGTTATAATTCATCTGACAGGCGACCATTTTACCGGATTTCTTGTTCACAATACCAACAGATAGGTTCGCTCCTAAGGTATAAGGCCAGCAATTCTTAAATGCTTCGTACATATCTTCATATTTGGGATTCAGCGCAACACACATCTCATCTCTGACGCCAAATGAGTGTGTCATATATTCGATACCATTCGCGTTGTCCTCACACTCCTTTAAATCAACGACAGCGTACTTATCAGTCTCATAGTATACTTTAGAGAACTTATCCATCGCTTTTGGTTCTGGTTTGACAACAGGAGCAGCAGCAGCAGCAGCCGGTACCCCCTTTTCACCAATTACTTTCACTTTATCGGCCAATTCATTTAAAGAAGTTGCAGCCAGGAAATCAGGCATGCTTATCTTAAGTCCCTTCTTCTTCAATCCTACGAGAATTCTTGCTGCATTGATCGAGTTGCCCCCAATTTCAAAATAGCTCTTGTTTGGATCGATTTCTTCCTTGGGTATACTCTGAATGGACGCTATGATGTCCAGTAATATTTCCTTCGACGCCATGATTTGCTGTTAATACAAAACGTTTCAAAATTTAATGTTTTCAGATTTAATTTAGACATTTCAGTGGTTAGTATCAGGACTGAATAACGACCGGTTACCTCTTCTTTCGAAATAGAGGACGGTAAATGTCGACAGGTCGCATGGTCGTTGGATCATGGCATCCAAACATGATATAGGAGTTATTAATCAGATTGTTGAGTTCTTATGTCATCCACGTTTGATATTGTCGAAATTTTAAAGCCGAGTGACCACGACTAATCCGATGAAAGCTATAAATATCGAGACTCATCATATGCCATTTTGAAAGAGATTAACAACAGTTACCTTCTCCTGATACTAACCAGTGTTTCGTTGAAATCAAGTGATAAATTTAAATAAGTGGCTATTAAGAATAGCTTTTAATTTTTACGATTTATTTTTATAAAAACTTACTCAGTTCAAGTCTGTCTACAGCTGATGCAGAAACAATCACTCATGAACAGCGTGTCCTATAGAAACCACTCTGGGTGTTCAAATTTAGCATATAATTTAAATTAAATTAAGTCGACTGTTCACCTCAGAGCGGGGATCAAAGTCCGTCTTTAAATGATTTTTTCAGTTTACATTTGTAGTGCTGACGTTTTCGGAGGTTCGGGTCAAGTGGTTATGTATCTTGTATGAAGATTACAATGAATCATAAAACATGTAAAACCTAAATCGAAAAATTGGAGAGCAGAAAAATTTTCGGGGCCCAAGATTTAGCGCCCTTCTCCACATAAATGGACAGCAGATAAATTTTTTAAATAAACTGACATTACTGGGCATTATTATTTTATTTAAGGACCAAATAAAATGGGCCTCAAATCACAAAATTGGGCCAATGTTTGAAAAAGGCGCGAAGTTTTTTTTCAAATCAATTGTTATCTCTTCCCCTTGATTTCCAGGACCGCCCCTGTTCCAGTTTATAGCACACCTTCCAGGACCGCCCCTGTTTCAGTTTATAGCACACCTTCCAGGACCGCCCCTGTTTCAGTTTATAGCACACCTTCCAGGACCGCCCCTGTTCCAGTTTATAGCACACATTCCAGGACCGCCCCTGTTTCAGTTTATAGGACACCTTCCAGGACCGCCCCTGTTTCAGTTTATAGCACACCTTCCAGGACCGCCCTGTTTCAGTTTATAGCACACCTTCCAGGACCGCCCTGTTTCAGTTTATAGCACACCGTCCAGGACCGCCCTGTTCCAGTTTATAGCACACCTTCCAGGACCGCCCCTGTTTCAGTTTATAGCACACCTTCCAGGACCGCCTCTGTTCCAGTTTATAGCACACCTTCCAGGACCGCCCCTGTTCCAGTTTATAGCACACCTTCCAGGACCGCCCCTGTTTCAGTTTATAGCACACCTTCCAGGACCGCCCCTGTTTCAGTTTATAGCACACCTTCCAGGACCGCCCCTGTTCCAGTTTATAGCACACCTTCCAGGACCGCCCCTGTTCCAGTTTATAGCACACCTTCCAGGACCGCCCCTGTTCCAGTTTATAGCACACCTAACACTCCAAATAGTATTCATCTTAGTACACTACAGGTAAAATGGCTATCGTGGCCTTGGAAGAGTACCTTATTTGTAATAATGTGTATTTTAAATCTTGAAATTCCAATTGTTATTAGATTTTACAATTAAAAGTCAACAATTTCCCTCAAGAAATTTCGCTATCAGTATATAACATAACCAGGACATATCAACGTGGAAGCCATGTTCAACCCAATCGGGCTTCATTATTTTGTGATTAGATAGATTTACTTCTAAAGAGTTAGCAGTAGCTCGCTATCCATCAAGGCCAAAATCTATTATCGTTACCAGCTTCAAGACTACCGTAACAATGTATAGAATAATTTCGACAAGTTCTATTGCCTGTTTTATGTAAGAGCCTCGCTCCGTCATGCAACGATGAAGAAAATAACTATCTCTTCTTCATCGTACCCCCATGCATGCGCCGCTCTATTTGACCAGGAACGTGCATGGAACCTCACCAGTTTTAATCAAAATAGCGAACGCTCAAAAATATTCACGTACTTGTTATATATTTTATATAATTATCTTTTTACAATTCTCACATTGATACAAAAGTACAGATCAGAGTGAACAAAGTCAAACAATACACACAATGTGTAAAGGTTGGTACTTCAACCAAGAACTTATCATCTTGAGTGACCTTCCCCTGCTCCTTTTAAACACACTCGTGTTTTAATTAGGCCTAATCTTTTAAGGAAGTGAACGTTAAAAATTATAACCAATCCGATATCCGCGATAACAGACTTTATGTATAAATAGTTTCAAATGATTTTTAGTACATAGATGATATAAAATGTCAATGATCCTCTAAAGTTGAGTTCTTTTTTATATATTTTACAGTATGCCAGTTATGTTACTGTATCATTTTCACATTATTTGACTAAAGCGGAAAAGGATAAAAAAAATATGGATATGACAAGAACATAAATTATAATTTAAAAATATTTTTATCATAAGCTCCAGTGGGGCCTCGATGAAGTGCAGATTTGATAGCTATGTTGTTTGTTGAGTAAGAGTATATCATTATCAGATGTTCTTTATCCCGATAAACCACTCAGAAACAAGAGGAGAAAAGTCATAGATCATAGTTGAAAAAGTGGTTCTTTACATGAGCCTGAAATAAGTTCATCTTCGGATTTTGGGCTTCCCTCCTTACCTCTGAAACAGATAAACGAAACTGCCATCTTTCTTTCTACCCAGAACCTAACATCATTATATGGTATAAATCCCCAAAATACATCTTTTCAATATAATGGCTTAAATTGTTGACACTGTACCCTTTGCATTCGTTTGACTTCACTTCTTAAAAGAGAGCTTCGTCTTTAACTAATTAAAGATTTGACAAGTTTTATATGTCTCTGCTTTAAAACATATTATTTATTTCCTTCATAATCAAAAAATACACAAAATATCTACTACTACCAATCGCCATAGGCTGAGACAGTCATTTTAAATCATCCTATTTTAGCCATTTCAGTCAAAGTTCTTCACTTTCATAGACATCTATATTAGCTAATACTAGGAAAACCCCCAGGTAGGTTAGTTGAGTACTTGTGTTTTGTACTCTCTTCCCCTAGCCTAATTCTTATCAGAGACGCGAAATAAAATCTTGCAAAGCAGAGACACATTTTATATGTCTCTGTGCAAAGGGCAAAAGGGGAGAGTCAATGATCTCTCATCTCACAAAATTACACAAAATCAATTTTTGTTTAAGATAGATGTCACGACCAGTAGTCGTTGCCTTTGATATTTGAGATGGTGAAAGCCTGAAAAGCCTCATTCAAACCCAACGTTGGCTTAAAATCCTAATAGTCATAAAAATATTATCAAAAATGTGCTCTGAAAAACTTTTCAATTTAATTTCAAATAGCTGAATTTGAAGGACTTTTAGTTCAAAATATCGTGAATTTATTACAACCAACATCCTAAACTAAAAGAAAATTGGTTGAAAATAAGCAAGAAATTAAAATAACTCATATGTGCAGAAAAGTGGTTCGGAAAGAATCATTTTTAATTTCAGTTCTCATTGAATCCAATGGTACAAAAATATTTAAAACATGATAAAGCTTTATTTTCAACTTAGATAGGCCAACAATATACTTTATTTAGAGATTTCATATTTAGAAAACAACAAAAACAATATTTTGCCACCTATCACCATATATTTTGAAATTGCTAAAACAGTTATATGCATCAAATCATAGATTAAATGGTTAAATTAATATTACATTGTGCCTGATCTATTCAATGCAACGGAGCAGAGAAAATAGTGTGCTTAACACTGTTAAGTTAACAGTGTTAATTAAGTAAAGTGTGTTGTGTATGACTATGATTCCCAACAATTAACCATTTAAACGAGATTAGGGTTCACCCATACACCCGCTTATAAACAACGCACCAAATGATGCGATAACAGTAGCCAGAATTTTCCAACAAGGTGGGGTTCACTTTCGCCCGAACCACCCCCCCCCCCCTGGCTACGGGCCTGACCAGTTTAACATCCTTTTGGCAGAAGCATGAGAACGTATTCCTTAGTATGTATAGAGGTTTGTTAGAACAGTTGACGTGGTTCAAGTACTCTCACAACACAAAATATCACAACAATCATCAAACGTTAAAGTTAGTTCTTTGTTCATTGAGTTCTGCTGCACCAAATCAGTTAAAGGGGGCTCATACCTGATGAACACTTCCGAATTTTCAGAAAATCACACAGAAACTGTCTTTTTTATGTCACAGGCGCCAAAAAGTGTCGACTTATTGTTATGATCTCCGTTTTTGTGACGGCGGACCTTCAACAATGACCTTCTCAAGGTCTAAAAAGGTTAAAAAAAAGGTCAAAAAGGTATTTTGTCAACTTGCTTCGAATTGACCAATTTTTTCACAATCATCTACAAGTTCTCAGAAGTTCAAATCTGCCTTTAGATTTGAGATTTCACCTACAATGACCTTCTCAAGGTCAAAAAAGGTCCAAAGGTTTTTTTCAACTTGCTCCAAATTGACCATTTTTTCCAAAATCATCAACTAGTTCTCAAAATTTCAAATCTGTATAGATTTTACCATCTCAAGGTCAAAACTATAAATTTGGCCTTGAATGGCCTTCTCAAGGTCAAAAAGGTATTTTTTCACCTTCAATGACCTTCTCAGGGTCAAAAAAGGTCTTTTTTAACTTGCTTCAAATTGACTTTTCAAAATCATCTTCAAGTTCAAATCAAATTCAAATCTGACTTGAACTCATAATATTGTGAGCATCCTCCGTACGCAGGGCTCCACAATCAATTCAGAGTACCATTTTTCTTTTTGTACGGATTCTGGACACCTGCTTAGGAGGATGATTGTGAGTAACTTGGTGACATTTTGTCATGTTAATGCCTTGTATGAATGCTTGGAACGCTGTATAAAAACGACAATTTCAAAATATGTCGGGGAAAGGTTGAATGCATACTGCGTCGCTACAGAATGAATTACACTACTCATGATATTAGTGCCTAATGCCTATTAGGTGTCAACCACATACATATGGATATATTTGAAGACCTAAAATGGCTTAGTTTCAGAAATGCCACAAATTTAAACTTAGAAATGACCATTAACTCTGTACCAAATGCTCATTCCTACTGCACCAGAGATTTCCAACAACCTTTATTAATTTACATACATTTACATGGGATTGTCTGTTATGTCGATTTTCAAAAATTCATCAAAATCATCAATTTTCGACCTATTGGAATTGAGGAAAAAATCGAGAAAATCTGGAGGTATTGGAAATAAAGTCAATTTACTTTTCTATCAATATTTTAAGTATTTTCATCACAGGTTAAGTAAATAAAAATCCAAACGTAGGGAGGCTTTAACACGTAGTTCAATGGGGGAGCTAAGGTTGCCAAACTTATTGAGGGGAGTGTATATACACACACACATAACAGGCGCTCCGTCTACGTAGGGTTGTATTGCTAGCCTAGTGTATGATATAGGCCTACAATGATGGATATAATTCAATTTCCAATAAATTGATAATTTCATATTTGAAATCATTGTCCATATTCACTCAAAATTGTCGAATTTCTCTTTTTGAAATGGATCACCCCGAACCATCAAAATCCCCGAAACATCATTTTATTGAAAATGCCGAGAAATGTCCCCTTTCCCATTTTTTAGAATTTTATATTATTTACTTATAAATATTCATTTTAAATGGTGCTTTTATGAATTTATGTGTTTTTAACGTAAATCTCTTTGTAAAATGGTATATCATATACAGGCTTAGGTGTGTGGCCATGGTGTCAACAATTATTATATGGAATTTTTGATCACCAAATTGAAATCTCCGCTTTCAAAACCACTGAACCACCAAAACAAATTATTTTATCCCAGGTCTGCTTTATTTTACCCCGGGATTATTGATGTGTAACGGCCACGCCCACACTCACTTTGCACATTGATAATCCCGGGATGTTCTAGATTCTGGAGAACAGTCAAATAAGATTAGGTTTTTATCGAATATTTAGTGTATCCAGTTTCACCCAGCTATCTGTATTAAAATTACAAGAGTGTCCAGATATTAGATTGCTTGTTTACCAAGTTAGTCAGTCGGTGCACTTAAGTTATACTACTGAGACGGAATTTAATACTACAACTTGATTCATTTCCAAATTATGAATGAACCGAATGTTATACTGACGTCACCTTTAATCCTCCGTTGTAGAATATAACACGAGAACAGTCAATTATGATCTTTCAACAGTAACACTTTGGTAATCTTGTGATTTTGTTCAATATAATTGAATCACATTTACGAAAGCACAAGTGTTCTTGTAAAACTGAACTACAAATTATTGTATTAATAACCCTATTTAAAAATTAATCGCGCATTGATATAAGCTTAATGACGTCTGGGTACTACTTTTAGTTAATCAACTATAAAATGTCCACGCGATAAGCATTTCATCAGAACAACACAAATATCGAACTACAGAGCAAACATGAGCGCTGCAACAATTATAAACGGTACCAATGGTACAAACGGACAGGTGAACGGAACTAATGGGAAGAATGGAGTGTCGCAGTCTTCACAAAACATGTAAGTTTTGTATTGGCTCTTCCGGGGGCTCTCTAGTTCTTCAGTATAAAGGCTATTGAAGGTCAGGTAAGGACAAAAAGCTAACACGATATATACTGAAGTTGAATGACCTTTATCGATAACCTATTGAGACTGATGACAAAAACAGTAACTGAGAGCCCATGAACAAACCATTCATGGAATTGAATTATGACTCCATAAAATTCCATTATATCATTTTCAAGTGCAGTCAGCTAATGAAGCTGTTTGTCTGGGACTCCACATTCTGCTCTCTGATTGGTTAGTTACATAGGTGTGTTTTATTTACATCAGTGCATGTCAATATTCTTATGAAATGATTCCATGTTTTGGCTGCATGCCAATGTCAGGTGAAAATTGTAATTAGTTTTCCAGAATTCAAGAGAATTTGATGGCATAATGCAACTTACTTGCCAAATGTTGCAAAATGTTTGTTCATACCAGAGGGGGGGGAGATTACCCAAAGATGACCTTTCATATTGGCACGTTCGAATTTTTTTTATAAACAGGCCTCATTTGCCATTGAATTGAATCTCCCTATGTTTGCTGTAGTTTTATGAGTATTCTCTACAAGTTTGGATCAAGTAACTTTAGTAGTAATACCGTAGGTTTAAAATGATGATATTGAACTGATGTTAACGTCATTATCACGATTTCAAATTTTACTTTGCGCATGTGCAGCCCTGAGAGAGCACATGCTCATGATTGTTCACGTGATCGCATCCTGCAATTTGATTGGAGATGATGCGGGAGAAGATGTAATGGGGAATCCCCGAATACGATAGAATATGAAAGAATTATGGGAGCTACTCACTTTTTCTGTGTTCATACTGTACCCTAATTGAAAAAAGTGAAATGAAGTCCAATGAAATGAAATTATTGTGATGATTGTCCCAAAGGTCCTAAACTTAATGTTCTAAAATTGCTTTTAGATTGTATTCAAGGACTTAGATTTCATATGTACAATGTTTATTTTTGTGTGCATTTCAATTTAGTAGTGCAGAGTAACAGGTCAAATTCTTTTTGTATCTTAAATCAACAACTCACAAATTGGGGACATATTACTATAAGTTTCCAACTTTATTGTGGACAGTGTTTGGTGGTTACCATGTCTGTAACAAATGGCAGGTATTGACATGTTGCATGTTAAAGGTGCAACAATTAGATGAAGAGGGGCCATTCAACGATCATGGACCTGAGTGTCAAAATATTTAAGTTTAGATATTTCATCAAGACTAGTTTTTTTTTATCTCCAAAGAAACCCCCTGGATGAACATTATTTCTGCTGATATTTCACTTGAAACATGGTGGATTTTGAAAATCTATTAGTGGGACTCCCTTTATAGAAGCTTTGAACTGAATTTACACTTCTTAATGCTAAAATTGATAGTTTATCCCTCCATTTTAAGAAAATAGGCATGTCAAAGAAGATGTTCAGCCAAATGTTGCCCTGGTAGCTCAGAAAAAGTAAAAAAAATTCAAATTTTTCTCAGGCCTTAAAATATGGGCTTAACGATAATGATATGATATTCATATGATATAATAATATTCATTCATTTATAATCACATGATGGACCACCACCTAATTTGGTCAACATCTAGGAGCAGGTAATTTTTACAAGAAATTTCAAGATTTTCACACATTTTAACTGGAAAGCTACTTATTCACATTCAAAATGAACCAAGACATGCTACAATACAGACCCATAGCCAGGATTTTTCAAGTGGGGTTTAACTTTCTTAAAATTTTGTGTATTTTTTTGCCTGTGTGTGAGTTGCCCACTTCCCTTTTCACTTTAAATATATCATGCATTGATCTTGCCTCTAAAATGGATGATGTTACATAAACAGCTTAAACTCTAGTTTATTGTAAATCTTTTGAAATTTAGACTCTCTCTGGTGCAATCTGAGCTTATCTGAGCCTGATATTACATCATTGAATCAAGTTTTACACATCTGAAAATCAAATGAAGAACAAACATACATGTGTAGTTTATAGTTACAATAATCGGCGATCGCTGTATATAGCACCTACTGTGCTTCATAAAGTTCAAGAACAATCGAGGAATGACCTGGTATTAACAAATACAGCAGAAAAATCTACTTTTTCAAAGAAATCAAGAGGTTACTATTACAGTACTTCGCCATTATTTACTCTAAAATGTGGTCAAAGAGTGACGCATTTTATGATTCGCTGCACCCCCCCCCCCCAATAAAAATCTATCATTCGATGCCTTCTAATTATGATCCTATATGTCAATAAAAGTTATAATAATACACTAAACTATCCTAAAACAGTCAATTCTTTTTAACATTTTGCCTTATTCTCACAACTTTTATACGAAAAATAATGATCTATAAGGTATAACTTCAGATTGATATCCAACAATCTCCAGTGGAAGATTTTAACATATTTTAATGTATTTGAGTTACCCTGTATTCTTACAATCAAATACACACAATTTTCTTTACAGGTAATATTTCATAATAAAGATGGTAGCCTATGATCTCATATTTGCTAGTGTATAATAATTGTTTTGTACAAAACCTGCCTTTTAATAATCTACCAGCTATTAACGCCTATTAACACATTGATGGTTTGGTGCCAATTATAAGAACCAATCAATGACATGCTACATGCAAGTCTTCTGTTTTTGATAGATAACAACAACTTAATGTTTGATAAATGTTATGATACACCACTCTTTACATAATATGTCCTTCCTAAATATATTATACCATTATACATTTTTGATTAATTTGATAATTAACGGAAATGACTAATTCTTTTTATATCCTTTGAATTTATACACTGCTGCCACATTGGAACAAACATTGAAAGTCTTTTTATATCGTATTTGCTTCATGTTCTTCACATTTGATAGAGTGTGTATTTTGAAAGGTATTGGCACGTCATACAAGTATTGATTACCAATCTCTTGCTGAGCGTTTCACACTGATATAGGTTTACATGTCATATAGCACACAAAAATCAATCCATTTAGCGAAGGCCCAGGAACAGGTATTTATTAAATCGAAGTTAACTATATGACCGTCCCTTTAGAAAAAAGCCTTCCATTGGACAAACTTTAATTTTGCCCCAATTATACATGTTCCCAGGCCTATGAATTGATCATATATAATACAATCATTCATTCACCCAAATCCTTTACGATTCTATATTCCATCAAGGTTCATTCAGGCTTTTATTAAAAAAAATTTGTAGTGCAGTGTATCATTGATTAATAGGGTTTTAAATAAGTTTAATACCTGTATATAAAAGGTTATTTTAGATCAAGTATACATATATTACATAATACAGTCACAGGTGTATACTTATTAAATAATACAGAGAACTTACCTGTTTATTAGAGCCTTGACGTTCAGAAGCAAGCAGAAATCAGAAAGTATTTTCTAAAACTCAGAATGAATATGCTGGATAAGGAAATGTTGAAAAGGTAGGCTTATGGTTACAAAAATGTAATGGTAATTCTTATAGAAGGATTATGTAAGAGTTTCATCGTTAATTTTTGGGTAGAAATCAATTTTTTAGTAGACAGTTTTCATTTTGTTTTCAACCTTCACTATGATTTGCCAATGGATAATATACATGTATATAATTGATTGATTGATTTTGTAGAATTATTACATAAAGTTCTTCACAATTTTGATTTTAGTGAGTATAGGCGTGTGAAGGGGATAATAAAAAATCAGTTTGGCGTGTTAAGTCATATATTTTTCGTAATTTACACACATCATACTGTTTTGTCAAAAATTATTTTAAAAGCATTGATTGGCAAATCTTTGCTGTACAGAGCAAAAAACAACTCTCTTTATATGTTTAAAATACCTTTCTTTCAGTTTAATGTTTGAAGGCACTTAAATGGTCGGGTGTCATTGCAAGAATCTAATAATATATGAAATAAACATTTCAACATTGTAAATTCAGGTCACATTAATTTGAAAATATCATTTATATTTATCTGAATATTCAAAACGAAGCTTGGAATTCTTACTTTGTATTCATTTTTCTTCGAGTAATTTACACACTAACATATATGAAATTTGTTTTCAGGTGCAGTTATGAAGAATGCGACAAGATTGCCCAGCATTTACTATCCAAGACGAGGCACCGCCCTAAGATTGGCATCATCTGCGGCTCAGGACTAGGGGGTCTGGCTGAATCCGTAGAAAACAAAGAAAGTTTCTCATACAAAGAAATACCTCAATTCCCAGTCAGCACAGGTAAGACAGTCTTTAGCAATTAAAATTACAACATTTGTATCTTTACTTCTTGGACACCTTATATGTACTTTAGTTTATGATACAAAAAATACCTCAATTCCCAGTTAGCACAAGTGAGCCAATTAATTGTATTTAAAATTTCAGCGTTGTTATCTTTACTTTATGGACAACTTGTAAGGATTGTTTATATCTGTAGGTTCATAAAAAGTAAAACATCAGTTTATTTCAACCAATTTCAAGGTTATACTGTTTATATCACAGTCAATACAAAAATGTCAATTAGAAATCCGAGATGATAAAATATAAGAAGATGTAATTGTATTCAGGGAGCGGGGGGCAAGAGGGGAGAGTCGAGGGCATGCGAGGCGAATCCTGGAAACCTGGGTTCAGGAAAGCAGGATTCACTGTTTAGTGTTTGTTATCCCAATGAACGAAGTTCGGTGAGGATATAGTGAAGCCCTCCGTCCGTCAGTCAGTCCATCCATTCGTCTGTCCAGAAGATAACTTGAATACTAGTGGATGGATTTTCTTCATAATTGGCAGAAAGATGTATATTGGTGAATAGTTTTTACGCAACAAAAAAATTCCAAGATGGCCACCGCTTTAAAAATGCCAGCGGGATTTTTTCATTACTGATTCCAGACCACACATGGAATTGAGTAACAATTAAATGAGGCATTTCAGGATCGCCATTATCGTTACATGCCAGTGAACTTATGCCAAAATTTTTAATAGGTAAGAGGTCATTTAATAGGTAGTAAGAGTTCATTTAAAAGGTATGTATCAGATGGCTTCTTATCTAAAACATTAACATTATTAAGTATTTTTAATGTTTTTAAAGTCATATCAGTCAAGTTGAGTCCTTAACAGTTGTTGAAATAAATGGTTATATGAAGGGCCTCAGTATGAATCTATCTATAAGATAGAAATCACGTAATCCTATGACGTAAGTCAATTTATCATTATTTCATTTTGCGGAGGCAGGGCTGCAGTTAAGTCATACACTTTAACTTTAATTTCAATGGTAAACTTATTTAATTGATATGTTTGATTGTTATTGTTATGTTTGATCCACACTGGTGTGGACTGACTGTTCACATCAGGCCTGAATTTCATTGTATTTTCAATTGTTAGTTTATTAAAGTATATTATTGGTGATCCCTGAGAATGTTTCGAAACAAGAGTCTAACAGTTGCCATCAAGCCATAGATCCAGACAATTGGGGTGAAATGAAGAGAGATTCAACATGCTACAAGGGACATATTTGTAGCATGAGTTGGACATTAATGGCTAGTTCTACATCTTCATTGTCAATTGTAATTAATCAAATAAGTACAATCAATATTTCAAATTTGTTAATGGGCTTTAGTGAGATGGCAGGTCATTGCTAGATTTTTGCTTATTATTGGTCTCTAAGCCAACCTTTTAAGACATCGGAATGATTAGATTTAACTACATGTACTTTCTATACATTATAAAATTATGTTCTTATTTTAAAGGAACATCCATTTTCAGGTTCTCTCTTGTTTTACTTAAAGAATTTATTTTGAGAATTCAGTTTTTCATCATCTGTTGCATTGAAGGTTAAAGTAAGGACAGCCTCATTTGACATTGATGCAAAAAAGTAAGAGTAGCAGCATATACATTTAATTCCTATATTACACTCCAATTAGGAGATGGTTGCTGAACCTCTATATTACAATACATGTTTGTTATTGATTTCTCTGTGTAGGGAGAGGTTTAGTAATGTCGCTATCATGAGAATAGTCAAGGTCTGCTTTATTGATCGGTTCAGCGAGATCAATCCAGCCCATTCTAGAATTGTTGTTTACTGAAGGAATAAATGAATTTCTTTAAGAATTCAAACGACATTCTTACACTTGGGTCTATTGACAGTTCTATTTTTTACCCCTATACTATCAATATTCTGTTTTACATGAGTGCCTGATATTAAATTTAAATATTTTCTTTTAATCCATGAGTGTAATGTAAATGAAATGGAAAATATTTAAATATTTTAATTTGACAAATTAAAGTAGATTTACTTAATTTATTGGATTTTGACCAAAAAACATTTTAACTATAGAGTTTTCAAGGGGGGATCCCCCTAGTGTGCATTTTTTGATAATTTTTGAAGTTAGCCTCGGTTCTGCCTGATTTTTCATGTAGCTGCTCCTAGGGATATAGGAATAATTTAGTGCAAAAATTGTGTATGGGGGTCTACTAATCAGTTTTTTATTAATTAGCAAAGTCAAGTACCCTGTATATTTTTCTATGTTGCTCTAATACACAAAGTACAGTTTACAGTGCTAAAATTAATTAATTAGTTTCTATTATTGATTATAATTGATTAATTAATGAATGACATTCATTATGTAATATAGCATTTTAATTTTTTCACATCAATATGTTAGATTTGATGTTCTAAATTGACAAAATACATAGAGACATGGCAAATCACAAGAAAAGCAAGTTCTCCATATTTTGTTATACCCCTTCAGTAATTAAGCAGTGATATCTTCTATTACAAAGGAGATAAACTATCAAATTATACATCACTACACTCCCAATAGAATGAGTTGTCATCAGGCAATAGTGGTAAAATAAGGATATTGAGAAGTATAGCCACTTTTCACCAGGGGGGGGGGACTTTGTACCCCTTAGGAACTCCCGTAAGTGCAATTAGCTTAGGAACTCTAGGGTTAAGAATGAAAACCATTTAATTAAAAATATGTTTAAAACATTTGAATGCAATGCAAAAATAAACAGAAATATAGTAATGTTTGACTATAAGCCTGTCACTTCATAACATTTTTAAAGAATAAAAAGGAAATAAAATCAATGAGTCACTATTATAGGACCATCCAATAATTATATCTAGTTTGATTTAGAATCAGGTAAGGCACAATATATTTATATCTTGAGGTGCAGTATACTTGTACAACTATAACATTTAAATATGTAATAAATTCAATTTTATTGTTCTATCTGGCATCTGTCGGCTAATTGACATTGAAACATCATAGGTGTGTCTGAAAAACAAAGCTTCTGGTTGGTCGATATGTACATTCCTCTTTGGATGATTTATTGAATCAGTTCAGAAAGGTATTGTTTGTCATGTATGTGTCGTTAACCTACAGTAAAACCTGTATATCGAAACACCTCTTTTCTCCTAAAATCACTAAATGTGGACACTCTTTCTTGGTCCCAGTTTTGTTATCTTCCATGATTCACATATTGTGAAGCCTTGAAATGTGAACACCTGCTAATGTGAACACATTTAAGCTGTCCCTGTGGCGTTTGTATAAGACAGTTTCTACAAGTTGCGTTTATTAGTTGATGGCAGTCAAGTACAATTGGTTAAGTGTACTTATGAGCTGAAGGAGAGTTTCAATTTCTGTAAAGTGGGAGAACTAAGCAGGTCAACACGTCACCAATCTTTCTCCCATAGCATCGTGAGATATCATAGCCTTCTCTCAGTGTCCTTCTGGAATTCTTGTGCATAGCAGAGATGGTCTGAGTATCAGAATGCTCCCATAGGAGTATTGGAGACCTTGTATTAAATAGGCCATGGATGTTTATACAATAACAAGTGAAATGTGAATGACCTGTGCCTGCCAGGCCCGTAGCCAGGGGAGGCTTGGGCGAACTCCCCCTGGCCAAAATTTCTTTCAAAATCATGCAGTTTTTCACCATTTTGACTATTTTTTGAGTGATTTTTGGCCAAATTTGCCAAAGTGAACCCCCTAGAATTTTTTGAAAAGTGAACCCCCCTTGGAAAATTCTGGCTACGGGCCTGCCTTTTGTCAATATAAGAGGGGGATATTTTGGTTGAAATACAGATCTTAATAGGACTGTTGCATGTGCACATCAACTGTATATTGTTATCTCCTAAAGGAGAAGTAACTCAACCAACATTCCCTCCCCTGAATCCTATCTGATAAATCACATCTCTCACATATCTTTTGCAAGGAGTTTAACTTCACATGTCTGAGAATGAGCTTCATCTACTAAGTTATTTTACTCCAAGATTTTAGGTTTAACATATAAAGGCCAAATCAGAACCTGTAGCTTCTTAGATAGTCCACAGCATCGTTTTTTACTAAGATTCATGTCATCTCCAAGTGGGACAGGCTCATCATAAATAATTTACATTTTTCCATTAATACTTAGCATTGCAATTTATTAGTGCTGCATTGGTTTACAGTTGAGGGTGTGTCAATCTCGCAGGTTAAGGAGAAATGAAGGACACATGTGTCATCTCAATTAAACTGACACATGTGTCATCAGTCAAACTGACACTATTCGTCATCTCAGTCAAACTGACCTTATTTATCAAACTATTGATAACAGTTTTTAATTGACATGTATTATCTAATATGCTAAATATAAAGGAGGAGATAAGCTAGAGATACTTTCGTTTTGAAACAATTGAAGCACCTGAACACCATGTACATCTTCACGTGATGTTTTGATCAACATTAAACATATTTCTTACATAATTCTTGATTTGGAATGACAACTTATAATACTGTATAATTATACCAGAACCAGAAACAATTACATTGTTTAAAGCAATTTCATAAAAAAAATTAATCAAACATTTTGTTTCATTTTGATAATAAATTATCGTGATGAGTCCAATAAATTATTTGCACATCTTTTGAAAAGCGAGACTGTACTAGATTAATTGCTTTTCTTGTACTTTAATTTTTAATTGCACCAACATTAGATATTTGCCCTATGATACGCAAACAAATTCCAATGTTTCTGCCTGATCTAATGTTAATATGACCACACAGGTCCAATGTACAACTGGCAAATGTCTCCCCCCTTCCTTCTTCTATGAAAGTGACCTTGAAAGCTACCTGCTACAAAATATGTTTTTAGGGCTACATTGTATGTAAAATTGTCACATTGTATGTTTAACATGACCCTTCAAGTAGGTTATCAATAGATCACATGACATGTTTTAAATTGCTTTTGGGAAGAGTCTAGACCAATTTATCAAGAATTGACAACTGCATTGAAGGTCATTGTCCAATCTGATTTTATTGCATTACAATAACAAATCTTAAAACTCCTTTTTGTGCTTAGTTGGTTAGGATTTGTTTGTTTGTTTGTTTGTTTGATTGTTTGTTTGTTTGTGTGCTCGTATTCATTGTTATTATTGTTTGACGAGGGTGTATATATCTTTTGGTGCAGTGATTTATATATGAAGTTTCTTAGAAATACTCTTCATTAGCTGTAAGTTCTGACCATATGATAAGGTTACTATGGTAATGTGTCAAAGAAAGTAATAAAACTGGATTTTGCTGGATTGTCTGGTTTATGAAATAGTAAATCATGTTTAATCCTGTCGTTAGTATAACTGATACACATGTTCAAAACAAATCAAATACTTATGTATAAAGATATGACGATTGACTCATGTTATTAAATTGATTTTTTGTATATTTGCAGTTCCTGGCCATGCTGGTAGGCTGGTCTTTGGTAAGCTGGGGGGCAAAGAGGTGGTTGCTATGCAAGGACGATTTCACCCATATGAAGGGTACCCTCTGTCCCTTGTAAGTACTCTAAACGTTTGTTTGTTTGTTTATTTGTTTGTTTATCCATAACCATTCTCTCTAATACTCCAACTGATTATTAGTAAATTGAAAATCCATAAACTGTCATTTTAATTATAATTAGATATTTGAGGTTAAAGTGATGTTTTCATGGAGTTTTCATTCAGTTTTCTGTTCAAAAACAAAACAAATCTTGATCGAATCATTCCATTCTTTTTCAGTGCACACTTCCTGTGAGGGTAATGAAGCTGATGGGAGTTGAAACACTTATTGTCACAAATGCTGCAGGAGGTCTTAACGAGAGCTATGAAGTTGGGGACGTCATGGTCATCAAGGACCACATTAATATGCCTGGATTCTCAGGCAATAATCCCCTCATTGGCGAAAATGAGGACAAGTAAGTTGGGCTTGTTATTTATTTATTTATTTAGAAAAAATGTATATACAATAATAATACATGACTAATACTGACACTAAATGGCATATAAAAGTATAATGTCAAGTATCATAAAAAAGTGTTTGTTTGTTTGTTTGTTAGATCACAGTTTCAGTGTGTTTTTTGCTTATGACTGGTAACAGTGTGATGGTCTTTATTGTTCACAGTGTGCCTTGTTAATTTGATTATTCTTGTGTTGTTTTTATATTTGTCTAAGAGGCCAAGGACGCAATATAAAGGTCAACTGGGTTAAAATGTCCTGATTCATCAATCATTTGATTAAATTTTTATTGCTTATTCATAATGACAATTGTTATCTAATATGCTATTTATAAGAGGAGTAAAGGAGACATTGCTCAAAGGTGACTTTATCATTCACTATCATTCATTATTACATCATGTTTGTATCACTTTCGTTTCATCCATAATCTTAATATGTAACGATCATTGGTGAGATGTTGTAATTGATAAAAACATTTTCCTCAATCTTTATATTTAATGACAGCTCACGATTCTTTAATTATACCAGAAACAAACATTTAGTAGTTTATTATTGATCATCATACATTGTACATAATATTTTGAATCATATATTCAATCATTATTTTCAATTTTTGTCATATTGATATGAAAATGATGGAGATGCAAACATTTGTTAATTTGACAAACAGCATCTTAGAGTTTTTAACAGCATACATGCTCTGGACCTTTATATAAATTTTATTTCTAATTTTCTATTCACAAGGCAGATTAGGTTCAATGGCAAAAGACATAAATTTTATCATCTGCCAATAAGTTCTAATTTTAAATTATAGGGGTCACCTTCAAAATATTTGAAGGATCTGATAAATAGTTATAATATATCAAGTTATTTGATAAGTCATGCAGATTAAAGATAAGTATAGCAAAGGATACGGGTCGCAACTGAAGATGTCATGTTTGCGATAAGAGAACACTACTTCAGATATGGAATGACTGTTCCTAATATTTGTTAGCTCAAAGGTCAATTGAGGTTATCCTTGATGACCTGCACATTAACAATTGCTGTTATAAATGTTATATAATTTAGGCAGTGTTTGTATGTGCCATCTTATCTTGAAATAAACATAAATGGATAAACAAAATCATTTAACACCGTAGCTGTCATTTTTTGGATGATAAGACACGATTAAGTACATTCGTTTTATTGCTGTCGATTTAACAATATTTTATATATCTATTTAATATTTGGATTCTACGCTTTTGTAATGTAACAGCGGCACACCAATTGTGTGCATCTATTTGAACATTAACATTTTGACATTTCATACTGAGATAATAAACTAATATAATGTAAGAATCAATTGGATTGAAGAATTGAATGATGTTTGACAGAGTGGGTATTTTCACTTTTTTTGTTTAAGTTCATTTTGCATTCTGAATTTGGCTCAAACTGCAAAATGTAACGGATTTGTGTAATTGTCAAAACTGATTGAGAATTTTATTTACAATGTAAATAATGAAAGCATTGTATTAAAGCATTTCCTATCAAGTATTGGACCCTGAGGTGGAGAGGCCAGTAAAAGGATTGGCACATGGCAAAGCTTTTCAAATCTGTAAAAAAGGTCATTCTCAACCTTGATCTTGTTGTTGGGCCCCGAGGCACATCTTCTCGTAATTTTTTGACAGGTTGTTATTCAAAAGTGTCAAGGTCATCTCAAATGTTAGTTAACATGGATACATGCAAGATAAAAAATGACTTTAAGAATTATTAGTCACCATTGCTGGCTGAACGCCAAGCGTTTATATTATACATTTAAAAATAGATTTATTTTTTTCTACTCATGTCTCCTCGACGATCTATGTACATCGTCAAGTTTATCATGTTTCCCCAGACTTAATTATATAAATAGGGGCAAGGGTAAGAGGGCGGTTGTGCATGATCATGGTTCTTGCCAAAACTGCACGTCAACACTGTTGCTTTTTGGAGATTTTCACTTTTATATTGTTTACATATATTACATATATTGTAAATATAAAATGTATTTATAATCTTATATATACAAGAACATCTAAATACTTGTACTGTATTGTATTCTTTATCTACCTCTTATATTTAAGAGAGTTACAATTGTACATTAATTGGGAGTTAATACATAAATAAGAAAATAGATAAATTGTTTGCTCATGTTTATGAAATGAGCGAAGTAGTGAGCGTTGCTTTTTTAGCTCCTTTTCAAGTTACATAATATGCTTATTTTGTGCAAAATTAATGATTTAAAGAATTAAGGGGTTGTCGTGATTTTGAACAGCAAATTACAGTTATAAATTGCAGCAATGTAATAAAGATGTATATTTTTACTTCCAGATTTGGGCCTAGATTTCCTGCTATGTCATCTGGGTATGACAGGAATCTGCGCAAAATGGCCCTTGAAATTGGCAAAGAATTAAAGTTCGATAATTTCATGCATGAAGGGGTCTATGTGATGTTGGGAGGACCATGCTTTGAAACTATTGCCGAGTGCAAGTTGTTGAGGATATGTGGAGCTGATGTTACAGGTAAATAATGAGTACAAGTGAAAGGTTAAATCGCAGAATGTATAAGACCAATTCAATACCCAATGTATTTACTAAATTTATAGAACTGGATTGAAGGGTCTCTGCCTTGCTTTTATACTGAGGCATAAGCGTCTTTTTTGCTCAAACCTTTTACTGGCATCTGATTTATTCAAAATCTTTAAACAGCAATGAATATGTCTGAGAGAATAAACTCAGATATTCTGAAGATATAAACAATGTTTTGTGGGTTAAATGATTGCTGATAACCAAAAAACTTAAGTATGGTGACGTAACCATCAAGTGTTTTTCAAGTACTACCCTTTGTACTTATCGAAGATCGATTTATTGAAGATATGTTGTGTTCTTGTAACATTTATTATCAATTCAGGGGGAATTTTGTCTGATCACATACTGATACATGTAGATAACAAACATGATCGCATTCATAATGAGTGTACCTATTTTATCTTGAATGCATAATAGAAACAGATTTTTAAAAAAAATGTTTGATTTGGTTTTGGAAGAATTTTTCTGAACGAAGCAAAAAATGTCACATAACTGGTCAAAATGGTTCAATTTCATGTTTTTTCTGACTTGTGATTTTAAATTCAAAGTTTATAAGCACCTGATTGATTTAATGTTGTTTCAAATGCTTCTCGTTATATATTTAAAACTTAATATGACATCATGAACCTTAATTATTTCATTGTATTTTTTAGGAATGAGCACTGTCCATGAAGTTATCATGGCAAGACATTGTGGAATGCGGGCATTTGGCATGTCACTCGTTACAAACAAATGCGTTATGGACTATGACGAAGATAGGAAAGCCAATCATGAAGAGGTGCTAGAAACTAGCAAACGTCGTGGAGAGGACATGCAAAAACTTGTCACAAAAATGATTGAAAGAATTGAAGTTTAAATATCCAAAGTAACCTCAATAGGGCAAGCATAATCAAAATTTGGCCATGTGTGCGTTTACAGATACCCATGACCAAAACATATAGTTATCTGAAAAAGTCACATGGTCAGTTATACGAAGAAAATTCTGCTTTTGGGTGGAGTAAATCACTTAGCGTATTTGCCCACAACTATTTAAGAATATCGAGTACAGAAAATATACTAGTACATGTTGAGGGAAACTTGTTAAATTTCATCTAAACTGATAGAACTTTGTGTTTAAGTAACCAAAAAACATTTTGATATTCATCCTTATTATTTAAAAAACTTTAAAAAACAAAGCTGACAAATTTTTTTACCAATTTGCAACAATAATGCAAAAATCTGAAAAGAACAGTAATAGGGTAGCAGTGAAAGCAGCTATATAAAGACATTGAGATTTTAGTACCTAAAAGCATTTATAAGTTATGTTTATTCCAAAATGACATGGGTTGATGATTTTTCTTGTTTGTGTATCAGTACATCTTGAGTGAAGTCTGGTCACCCCCTCCTCTTGTGACCTGTAACAATTGGGAGGGGATGGGTGGGGGGTCATTGAAAACTATCTTGTTATGTGTAATGGGCGAGAGCATGTAAAAACATTCCATGTTCTATCAAAAGTACAAATATACACTTACTTTTGAAATGTTTAAAAAATTCTAGGACTGGTCATGAATTTGTATTTTCAAGTTCAAAATTATAATGTGAATCATTTAAAGTTCATTGTCAAGTAAATAAGGTAAATTTTCCTATGTGCTTTTGGAAATAATATGGCAATCAGCAGCTGGAAGATGATTCTATTGATCTTAGTATATTTTGGCAAATACCACTATATTACATGGTTGAGCATTTATACAACTGCCAAAGCTATTTATAATATTTGTTACTGAAAATTATTGTGTTTTACTCTACTTTAATTAGAGTAACAATAAACAAAATGGACAATGGTCTTTATTCTAGAATATGTACAGAGTGACCCAAAAACAGAACCAAAGATTTATTTCTGTTTTTGGTTCACTCTGTATAAGGCTAAAGCTAATTATAAAGAAGGCCTAAAATAAATTCAGGAAGATGAGTGTATGTTTATCATATATGTACATGTACACATACCACAGTATATACATTTGAAAATGAAGAGAATATAATATTGTATCTTTTCTTTACCTCAGGCTAATTCTAATAAAGTAGGCCTAAAATAGAATAAGAATAATTACTTGTACCATGTGCCTATTTTAGGCTGAAATCTAAATATAATATGCACAAATCTTTGCAAATCAGAACAATGAATGATTTTAGTTGTTTGGGACCAACAGATGAGTGAACAAACATTATTTTTTTAAATGTACCCCATTTGGCATCTACTGTTATTTATTTAATATATTTTATCAATCAGAAAAATTGGTAAATTTTTTTTGTACATATTGTATATAAAGATATATTGTAGTAGATGTACAATACAAAGGCATATTTGTTTCTGTATTCACAATAGAATATTGATCTATTTACAATAAAGGGCACAATTGCAAATATATTACAGATAATAATTTATTCTTGTACATTACTGAGAATATATATATGAACACTAAAATGTTACATTACATTACAATAACAAAACTTGAAATGTATTCAAGCTAACATTTAATTAATTCCATATAAAATTCATAAAAAACGAAATGTTGGGCTGTTGGATTTTTATGTATGCATGTTATTAAAATATCATGGGCTTTAATGTTTATGTACTCTTACATATATGTACATTTTACCAACTTTGGACCATGCCATCGGCACCAGAAGTATGCAATAGGCACGAAAATGTAAATATTCATATGTTGTGCTAATAAATCTTTAACTAAAAAAAATCTTGTTGTGTAAAGTTTAATTAGAGGTATGATTAAAAAATCCCTTCACGAAAGTACTACATGTAACTGGGCAATCATGCTTATGGCATGTATATGGCATATGCAGGATTCATGATCGTCTTCTATAAGATTAAGAATCATCTTTTTAAATCTATCAAATAGTCAGGGTTGTGCTTAAGTGCAAATGTTCTTTGAATAAAATATCTGTATGATAAATTACCTTATTCAATGATATTAAAAGTGGGTGTATGAAAGGTTATCATTGAAATTACAAAATAAATGATTCTTATCTGTCTTAAGATATTTTAAGTTAAGATTTACTATTATGTCGCCGTCAAGGAGTGTTGACATATCATTGTCGCCGCCAGTTATTACATAACATGTTTAGTGTCAATTTTTGATGTCTCACTTTGTTACATTTTTATCATTGTCTCTTACTTGATGAGCCTACCTGTATAGAATAGAGCCAACAAAAAGTCCTAAAAAGAAAGTTCAGTTACCTGTTTAGAACCCCTATTCTTTATTGAAAATTGATTCTAGCAATACTAGCTGAAATGAATCTACTTGTTGAGACTCAGTCAACTTGAGATCTGAGAAAATGAGGATTTCAGCAAGAGTGCATTGACTTAACATGGGAAAACAATGAACTTTCAATCGTATGGTGTCATATTGTAAGAAAATGATTCATCTTTAAAATGATATATAATACATGGCATGATTTAAAATATATGGTATGATATTTATCTTTAAACTTGGGTATTGTTTTTATGGCCCACCCTGTATACGTGGAAATTCTCAAGAGAGTGTTTAGTCTTATGAATCCCTCTATCCCATATGCATTGCACTACTTTATATAGTGGAAACTCATACTGACATCTATTCCTCAGAAAGGTGTATAAAAGCATGTTTTTATACAGAATTTATGTGAAAACACTTGTGAAATAATACATGTACTAAGATCATGTGACTGCAAATGTGGACAAAATGGCAGACAAAGTGTCTGAAAATGAGGATAAAATAAAAAATGCTCAAATTATCTGGGATTTTATGCTGATGGGACATAAATTATCAAAGGTATGTTGTTGATACTCATTGTGTGCCAACAATATGTTATACTTGTGAGTCGTACATGTATATTTATACAGGCCTGTAGTCTTGGTCTTGTTGTAAGTGGAACAATTATGCATATGAAGTATGAAGATATGGGTATATATCCATACTTTTTCTGCTTAACACTTCTTAACACAGGGTACTTACCAAATTAAGCATGACAGTTGAACGTGCCGGGCACGGTACAACATGAGGGTAATGAAATGTGAGCAAACAGATGTTTTCATAGTTTCAGAAAGATGTGGTCTAGTTTCTAGATATTTTTATATGCAAATGTCTACATTCTAGACAGTGAACTCGACGATGCATTTCATTGTTAAATCTACACAAACTCCAAATGTACTATATGGTATAACGCACAGGTAAGATACTGTATAATGCAAATTCCTTATGTTGTACCTTACTGTTGCTGTGCGTTATACCATCCCCCACACGTTCAACTGTCACGCTTAATTTGGTATGTACCCTGTGTATAAGTACGTATACTGTATAGTCATGCACTTTTACTATTACACCATGATGTCAGAGAAGGAACAATACAGGGTTCAGTTGTTTAAATGTACCTTTCCTGTACTGCAGGCTGATTTGATTCTAGTACTTGGCAGCCATGATATCAGAGTGGGAGAATATGGGGTTCAGTTGTTCAAAGATGGATGGGCCGCTCGCATCATGTTCAGTGGTGGATTAGGCAATCTTACACATGGTATGTATTGTAATACAGGACCACTAAATTTTATGTTTGCCATGAAAATTTGAGATAGAAAATCACATTTTCAGCTTCAGGGGGCTGTTAATGGAAATTTTGTCAAGTTAAAAATTTCCAAATAAATTGTTCAAATCATAGATATGACATCACAGTCACAGAACAATTATATAAGGCCATTTACAGTTTCTGTGTTATCATGTTTAGTTTTATATTACTTTGGCATGAAATAATTGTGACTAATAATTGTTATGACATCAGAGAGTCAATACAAGATATTTTTGGATTACTCGAGAGGCCAATTAAAATGTTATGAAATACTAAACTGAATGTTGTTAATAATCAGCTGGTTCCATTTACTTGCAGGTATATGGGATAAATCAGAGGCAGACATTTTTTCAGATATCGCAATTAAATCAGGCGTTCCACCAGATTGTATTCTGATTGAAAACAAATCAACAAATACTGGAGAAAATGTGAGATTTTCTTATGAAATACTCAAATCTAGGAATCTTCTTCCAAAAAGTATCATACTTGTGCAGAAGCCTTATATGGAGAAAAGAACCTTTGCAACATTTAAGAAACAATGGCCAAGTAGCGCTGATGATGTCACAATATCTGTGACATCACCACAATTGACATTTAGTGAATACCCAAATGATGGTGTTGGTGGAGTTGATAATGTCATCAAAATAATGCTTGGTGATTTGAAAAGGATCCCTGAATATGCGGAAAAGGGTTTCCAAATACCAATGGAGGTCCCAGCTGATATTTGGAAAGCATATGATAATCTTGCAATGCTTGGACTTGCACCATTCGAGACAAGATATTTTGGGAATGCTATACAAGAATACAAAGAGCTTAATAAAAACTAATCTTGCAAAAATACAGGTTTATCAATTTTGATTATTCATGTACCTTTCAACTAAATAAAATTCATATTTCATTATCTATATGTTTACTTTTTATTTATTCATTTCATATGAAATATATAAAGATATACATCTTGTACAATTCAATTTCACAAAGATGCAACTAGTAAACTGTATAAATCAGGATACATTATGAGGTTATATAATGGTTCTTTCTGTATATCGTGTTTATACTCGAGTGAGTATATGATATATTCACAAGTGAGTGTAGCGAACGAGTGAATATATAATATTCTCACGAGAGTATAAAATGCACGATATACAGAATGAACCATTATATAATCTTATTATGCCACTCTAAGTTCAATTACAGTTGATTCGAACACAATCATAACAATTGTAAAAACCATAAAAATATCCCATAGCCAACTCAGTAATGCTGATGTTGATCTCGAACCATTTATGACGTGGCTTGATTCTAGCAAATCATGCCGGAACCATTTATGACGTCACTTGATTCTAGGAAATCATGAAAATTTTCATGATTTTTTATTCATAAGTTCCCAGAATGCACTTCTACAGTGGTATGCGCTGGAGTGTATACGGAAGAGTTGTATACGATGACGATATACCACTCTCCACTGTATATCGTTGTTATAGACCCATGTTATACAACTGTAATTGGACTAAGAGTGGTATAAGTAAGATTATTCAATGGAATGGGGACAGTATCCTATTGCATACATTTTTGTAGATTGTCAATTATTTCATAGTCTAATAATCATTTCTATTAATAGAATATTTGGCACCTTGTATCACAGCAGAGACATCTAAAACATGTCTCTGATCACAGTATACACATATTACAACCTGTGATTATATCTGATTTCCTCATCACATAATTACTTGGGTTTATTTGGTGCTTGCTTTAACTTGGTCAATTAATTTGAAAATTCACACCTTCAACAAAATTTAAACTGAATTCCAAACAATCTTACAAAACTGTCTGTCAGAAAACTGCTCTTCTACTCAAAGTCTTACAGTTTGAATGTGGAGTTGAATTTATGTGTGAATATGACAATGCAGAAATTGAATATAAGTCACCTAGACTGACAACAACATTAAATCGCCTTTGGGTGTCTTTCTTTATAAAATGTGTGTGAGCAAACTCAACCCTGGCCAAAAAAATCTTTCAAAATCATGCAGTTTTTCCACCATTCCAGGCACTTTACAACTGATTTTCAGCCAAAATAGTCAAATGTGAATCCCCCTGTAATTTCTTAAAGTGAACCAATGCGGGTTTGCTTTGGTTATCTTTTCATGTTTGTCTCAGTACAACTTTAGGGACACCCTGTATCTCCTTTCCAAAGAGTTTATAATTTTTGATAATATTGTCTCGATAAAAACATTTCTATGATCTAGGCTTAAACTTTGAGAGAATTTTATCAGCCATTTCAACAACTGTATCATCAATAGGTAACTTCATTTCATGATACAATGCTCTCAATGTTTTCTGTTGCTTTTTAGCACCCATACTTTCATAAAATGGTACAAGTTCTCTTTTGCACCCTCCAACAAGGGTTGAGATGTTTGCACTTCGCGCAGTCTTTAACGCAAATGCACACATGGCCTTCCCGAGTCCTTGACCCCTAAGTGGTTTGGAGACAACAAGGCCTGCAACACTTAATGTAAATGTCTCCTCTGCTTCGTATGTGTTAGCTTCATCTGGATTTGCGATCATTTCTTGCAAGGTCCCATAATCTAAATTATGCGTTTTTGCTGTAATTTCTAATGCACCAGAAGGAATGCCACTTCTATGCATTTTTAACAGTTTACCATATGACATATTCATAGATGTTCTACGTGTTAACTTAACATGGCCAACAACTAATGGTTTACCTGTTGGCCGGAATTGTGCTAGGGCAACCAGATGACATGGCTCTAATAAGTTGGAGGATTTAACCAATGTTTTAGATGCTTCATAATCTTGAAATTCAATATCGTCAGTTGAAACACCATCACGCTCTGGCCATTCTGATTTCAGAAGTCTGTCTGTTTGGTCCACATAAGTCTGGTTCAATGTATGCAGTTTGTGGAATGTGATTTTGCGCTGACTTTGTTTTTCTCGTTCTTTATTGGAATACTGGAATGTGATAATTGTAGTCATTGTCATCATAAAAATTATGGTTGAGTACTCTGGGAAACTTCTCACCAAAACAATCCCTATAGCTGTTATCAGGACGCTGTATACAGTATTTGCAGAAAATAAAGCCATGGTGGTTCTCTGTACATGTACCTGAAAAATATTGAATAAAATATTTGAAAGCTATCAGTTTTAGTGAGTTATAATTGAAAAACATTTGTGTTAAAATCTCTGTAAATTATAGATTAATTGAGTTATAATTTATGGTCATTAAAGCTACAAACTTTATTTTTTTAGAAAATAGAGTATTCCATCACACACGGATCGAGGATTTTGTTCTAGTGGGACGCTAATATATCCCAAAAATGCATGAGAATAAATGTTGACCTGGGGGATGCTGCACCTGATCACCTGAAAATTTTTGAAAATATAGCGCAATTTGGGTCTTGCAATGTGAGAATTTTCCCACAATCAGCTATAAGAATATGAATGACTTCATGAAGGCTTCTGTTTGACCCCAGGTGTTTGACACAAGTTTTTATTTTTTATCTTCTAAATAAATTTTCTGAGAAATTATAACAATATGACAGGTTTTATCAGATTTTTGAAAAATAATCTTTTTGAAAGATTTTAGGGGTGCATGTGCCCCAAACGCTAGCGCTACCCACTTTATCTGCTAGTGGCGATGAAAAGGCAAAAAAAGATACTAAACAAGGCTCCATAGATCTGATAAATAAGAAGTGATCTAGCTGCTACAGAAATACCTTACCTCAATAATATCCTATCCTCTCAAATCTGACAAAACCACCAGCAGTGCTGACTGTATTCTCCTCATATGGACTTCTTCCTTATATGGGCATGATGATGATTCACTTCATACCTGTTAAAATAAATACAAGGAGGATTGACTCCCAGAATAATTCAGTTTAATTCCTGAAAGCAGGAGTGAGACTGCTGATGAAGCATATCAGCAGCCAGCACTGTTAGAGCATCTAAGATGTTTAAATAACTATCATGTGACAGGTTTCAGAAACATGGAATCATGAATCTACCCTGCGCGCAGTCTGACGAGTTTAGACTATATTACAGTTTAGCGGCCCCTCCAAAGATTGTGCCTGTGACAGTCCAGGTAACAAATTATTTCAAATCTACCACGCTGACGCTCAACCAATCAGCGAAGTGGAAGGAACGCATGCTAAATATGTGCAGTGATGTCATAGGAAATGACCGTAAAGAAAGTCATCAGTATTTCAATGATGAACTCTGATTGGCTAGGTGAGATATGAGATTTATTGTAAACTGAACAAATGAAATTGAACGAGTGAAGTCGAACGAATGCAAATGATATCATGAATCGGATGTTATAGCAGTACTGTCAACCCCCAAAGATTTTCTCGCGGGACAGATTTTTTAGACCCAGTGCCAAATATTTGCGGGATTTCGCGGGACATCCACCTAAATTCGCGGGATTTCGCGGGACATTTAAGGGATTTGCGTGATTGCGCTAATAGGTCAAATTTTGATCAAATTCGCGGGATTTCGCGGGACCATTCGAGGGACAAACACGCTAATTGCGGGACAGTTAACAGGGTTACCACCAAAGACTTCATAGAGGGACAGATTTTTTTAGACAAAGTGCCCTTTTGCGGGATTTTGCAGGACATCCACTTAAAGGACGATTATCGGTTTGGTGAACAGTCTCCTGGGCTAATAATTTTTTCATGAAAAATATAGAAATATTACCCAAATTAAACTATGAATATTCAAAAGAGGACATTTATATCTACAAGATGTAAAAATAACAAATTGGTCTGAAGCAGGGATAACGCTCAATTTGACCGATTCAACCAGAACAACGGCAACGCCAAAGCGTAGCGAATCCCATCGAACAGAAATAGCTGGCATTTTTACAAACGAATAGCAAATATCATAAAACAACACACCAGAAAGGCCACCATTTTCAAAATGGTTGCTCACTAGCCAAGTTGTCATCAGAAGAAATAATATGCTTTTAAGTAGCAACCTCTAAAATTTTTGAAAAATCGCACACGTACTTGTAAAATAAAATAACACACATAAAAATGGTGGCCATTTTTCAAAATGGCCGACTACTCCCCAAAGTTTTATTAGACAATGTGCCATGCTTAAAGTATTCACATATCAAATATGAACAAAACCGCTTCACTACTTTTCGAGTTATAGTAAAATACGTTAAAATGGCGGCCATTTTTCAAAATGGCCACCTTCTACCAAAAGTGTCATTAGAAATAGACAGTGTGCCATGCTTATAGTATTCACATACCAAATATGAACAAAATCGCTCCACTACTTTTCGAGTTATAGTAAAATACGTTAAAATGGCGGCCATTTTTCAAAATTTTTTTCAAAATGGCCACCTTCTACCAAAAGTGTCTTTAGACAGTGTGCAATGCTTATAGTATTCACATACCAAATATGAACAAAATCGCTCCACTATTTTTTGAGTTATAGCAAAAATCGTAAAATGACTAGTAAAGGCCGCCATTTTTCAAGATGGCTGCCATTTGCTTCTTTAATATCTACATTTGTAGCATTATTAATGTCCTTTATAATTTTTTTACATTTAAAACATATTGCTATTACAGTTTTACATATTGCACCTAAATTACTGTAACATCGGCACTAAAATGGCCGCCATTTTGAAATGAGCGGCCATTTTGAAAATCGGCTTTCGAGCAGAACTTTTACCCCCATAGGGTATATGTGTACAATATATGAACAAAATCGGGCCAACGGTATTTGAGTTATTGCCCGGACGGACGGACGGACAGACGGACGGACGGACGTACGTACGGACGTACGTACGGACGGACGGACGGACGGAGGCGTTCCCTATATCCCTCCGAACTTCGTTCGATGGGATAATAAATTACAAATCTCGACTTGGGAAAAGAAGTTCATCAGTGTACTGCGCGAATATGTTTTTGCGAAAAATCTAGAAATATTACCCAAATTAAATTATGACTATTCAAAAGAAGACATTCAAATCTATGTTATGTAAAAAAAATCAAATTTGTCCGAAGCAGGGATAATGCTCATTTAGATTGATGAACTTCGTTCTCCAAACCGAGAATCGTCCTTTGCGGGATGTCGCAGGACATTCTTGAAAGGGATTTACGTGATTGGGGCTTAATGTAAAAGTTCTCAAATCAAACTTACAGATACTGATTTATCAAATATAATGCACTTAACTTAAGTAAACGTCAACACAATTCCACACAATACGCATAGAAATATTATTAAACTACGGGGTGGTCAAAAATATGGAAATCCTAATACCATTTTCCTCATATCTTTGTCATTTTAAAAAATAACTCCCTGATATTTTACACGTTTGTACATCATTCAATTTGCTTCCAGCGTTACTTATTTCCCGACCATCAGATTGATAGTCACAATGTTACAGTACTCTTAAGAACTTTCCCAGTGGCCACTATTGGGTTGTGAGGAAACTTGACTCATCGTCTAAAATGTCCCTACCTGTGGGGATATGGCAGAGATAGAGTATATGAGAATGACCTCGGAATTGCAAACCTCAAAAGTGAGATCATTTGTGTCATTCAGGCCACACCTGGAGGAGGAATACGTTCGGCTCATTGACAACTGCAATGGCCAAATCTGAAGCATGTTATTCTAAGTGCTGTAAATTTGTGTCTATATCAGTCCGATGGTCATGAAATATGGTAGAGTGGTAGAAAATTGAATGATGTACAAATGTGTGAAATATCAGGGAGTAATATCTTAAAGTGACAAAGATATAAGGAAAATGCAGGGTTTCCATTTTTTGACCACCCTGTATCAACAAACCACGCTTTAGTTGTGAGTACCGTAATCCAACACGAAATTCAAAAATTCTGAACAATACTTTGCACTATATGGTGTTCGTGACCAACTATGAAACATTTACCCCCCATAGTGTTACATATTAAAATTTACCTATTCATATTGGGGTTCGATTAATCTACATCAAATTATAGGGAGTCAGGTTTCTTTTCGAGATATCAGTTTCCATTTATTGGAACTCGCGTTTGCTAACATTTGCTCAGTTCTTAGATGAAGGCCGTGACACGCGTAGTAAAACGGCCAACGTTGGAACTATACGTGACATACATCCCTATTTTCGTAATTAAAATGAAAATTGCACTCTTCCTCTTTATTTTAATACCAAATAACGGCATTCTAGGGATGCCAACTATGGTGTTATTTGGATCAAAATCATAGTTTTATAAATGGACTATATGCTCTTTTCAAAAGCAGTCTTCGATGATCTGATGCACTGTGAGTTTTGCAGCACTTTTCAAATTAGGTAACTTTACTCCCCAAAAGCGCAAAAACTTAGCTTCTTAATCACAAGATAATCACAATTATTTAGCCTCGGGGATTGTTACAATTTTGAAAATTCGCGGAGGTCACGCGAATTAGCCAAATTTTGATCAAATTCGCGGGATAATCCCGCCATTCGCGGGACACTTGACAGCTCTGTATAGCCTACTAAGCATAAGCCCGTGAAAATGTGTAAAAAAGATCGAGTTGAATACATCATACATGTTCCTGGGCCTATGACTTTTTCTGTGCCAAACACAGACACGGGAACAAGAGTTCATCCCCCTCCCACTCACCATGTATTACTTAGAAGCGATACAGTGACTGGGGGGGAGTGGTAAATCTCCCTGGGCCTGTGGTGCCAAAGTTCAGAATCAATCAACAAATCTGAAAATTATAAATAAAATTTTTGAAGCTTTGAAACTTTCATTCTCATGCCTCAAAGCCAGATAGGAATTTAAATGTGTTCAGCATTAATTCTCTATTTATAGTACACGTATAATAAATCATAAAACAGCTTGCATAAAACATTTATATTGCATTTGAGAAAATAGTAAGTTCTTTTGTTACAATTACCTTGATGGAATTCCCCTCAGCCTCGTTTGCAAAGAGTCACGTGACTGGGGAATACCCCGCCATATTTGACTTTCCTGCAGACGGTGTTTGGGTTGTTTACTGGTCTTTCGACAATGTGGGTACTAAATCCACAACCTGAAACTAGTAAGCATAAACCTTTATGATAAACCTACCCACTAAATTTGTTTGATGCAGTATTAGGCAAGAATTTTCACGAAAAACTTAGCACGAGAAGATTCTTATTTTTTTTTATTTTTAGGTTTTCGAAGTGGCTGGAAAACTTTGTGAAATTTTAGGCTATTCAGCTGTGAACGTAGTATTTTGGCTAGAGAGCCTTTGTGTTTATAATCCGTGTTTATATTTTTTTATTGGTGTTTTCGCAATCTAAACAATAAAACAGCAGTCTCGAAAGCTTAGAGAATACAGGGAATCGCATTTGAAGGTGGCAAAAATGATGAAGACCTGGAGATGAAAAAAGGATCTTGTTTATTCTAGATACAGCACATCTTAACGCAGTTTATCATGAATGCAGGGACATCAGCCTGGGGACATCACAGAATACACTTCAAAATCTCACGTGACGAGATATTTTGCATAAATTTTTGCAAAAACGTCTTCCTCAAAAATCCTTCATTTGAATTGTTCACTTGTTTTTTTTATCCTAGCCTCCAATCTTACTTCGGTCCAAAGCCTTCTCTATATTCCGGCTTTGAGTAGAAAGATTGAGCTGCCTTGGTACAATGTATTGTAAATATTGTAAATCATTGTGTCACACGCACAGTAAATACGGCATAATAATATGAAATATACCTCTATGTATAGATTTGAGAAACATCAGCACACATCTCTGTCTGAATCTATCGTTATATTTGATTTCTTTAAGTGAGAATAATTCCAAAGTTTCCTCCATTTGGAACCGGAAGCCATTTTTTAGCTACAGTGAGAAAATTTCACCATGTGTCAAACTCCGAAAAGAAATTTTGAAATATCTAAATCCAGACAAGCAACGCTTCATCCTAAATATAATTAATATTCTTAAAAATATTTATAAAATTCATTAAAAATGATTTCTAGGTGCGTGTAGCAATTTTTACATACGAAATACTAGTACAGGGTGACCCAAAAAAAATGCAACCCTCCATTTCTTCAATATTTTTCTTAAATGGAGGTTAATTGCTCTGAAATTTGGCACACAAGGACTTCATTCAATGTGGGATCCTCTGGCAAAGTTTCAATAATCATAGTCTTACATTGATAGAGTTATGGTCATTCCAAAATATGCTCCAAATGTCGTCCATTTCCAATGTTAGGTTTTCAGATGAATCTCATTCTCTTCTTTCTGAACATGTAAACTCAAGAAATAATGTGTTCTGGGATCACAAATTCCAGATGAAGTGCATCAAAGGCCCCTTCATTCTGTTCAATGCACAGCTTGGGCTGCCAATTTCCAAACATGAAATCATCAGCCCCTTTTGGTTTGAGGTTGATAATGGCAACACTGTTACTGTTAAAACACAGCGCAATATTGGCGTTCCCAGGAAGTTCTAGGCAGTTCTAGAGTGACATAGAGGCTTCAATAGACAAGAACAGTGGTTCTAGAAGGATGGAGCTACTCCTCACACTTCTAATGATAGCATAACCTGGCTCACTCGTCATTTCTATGAGAAGATTATCTCTTCTAGGATGGAGAACCCATGGTCATCCCACAGTCTTGATCTCAATGCCCCTAACTTCTATATATGGGGTTATTTAAAGGATAATGTGTATGAAAATAACCCCACTGCAATTGCAGAACTCCAACAAGCAATGGCTGCAAAATTTGAGCCATACCCATGGGAAAGAAAGCATCCGTGTTATGAACAGTTTTCCTTGAACATTGCAAGTTTGTTTTCAGCGAAATTGATGACATCTGGAGCATATTTTGAAACAACCATAACTCCATAAATATTAGACTATGATTATTAAAACTTTGCCAGAGGATCCCACATTAAATGAAGTCCTTGTGTGCCAAATCTCAGAGCAATTTACCTCCATTTAAGAAAAATATAGAAGAAATGGAGGGTTGCATTTTTTTTGGGTCACCCTGTACATACGAAATCAATGAAGTTACATCTAGCTGTAAGCTAGACACTCGAGTAACTCCAATCCATCAATAAATGTGACCCCCACACCTTTATCCCCGAAGGGTCTTTTCTACAGTATACATCAAAATCTTTACTTAACGGACGTTGCGATTTATAAAGGATAAAATGGTAAAAATAACATTTTTTCTGGCTATGTATACATGATTGCCTGGTCTTACACCTTCTCTGGTTTCGATATATGCATGAAGGTCCATTCAAAGTCGATGTTTGAACCTTTAAAACGCCAAATTTAGACTGAGGATTGAAAACGTTCTTAGAACTTTTATTTTTTTTCTTCAGACCGGAAGTAAATTTATGAGTCGAGTAAAACGTGATTATGTTCTTTTTTTATGAAGTGGGGAAGTCAAAACAGTACTGATAGAAGTCATAGTAAGCATTCGAAGATCATTTAGAACCATTTGAAATCAAAGTGACAGCAAATTTGAAATGACTAAAAACTTTTTATGTTTTCTTCATCTTCTTCGCGGACCTTAGAGAAGACATTTCCGGTTTATTAATCAGTGATTTTATCGATCAAAAAATATTTTTTATGAATTTGTCCGATATCTGCTTAATATGGTATGTATATTTGTGCTGATTGTTAAATTACAAAATAGGTTGGGTATAGAATAGTCAAAGTCGTTTGATCTCGTCCCAGAAACAATATTTCGTCATTTCTGTCACCTAGATTTCGTTTAAGGCTCTCTAGCGAAATTGGCTATCAAAATACTAAAGAGCCTAAAATTTAAGGCTTTTTAGCCGAAATGCTAAAGAACCTTAAAATTTAAGACTCTAGCCAAATGGATTACCAAAATGCTAAAGAGCCTTAAAATTTAAGGCTCTCCAGCCACGGCCTTTAGTTTTTATTAGGATTTTTAAGTGATGTTAGTATAAAGCCTAGATCTAACTTTAGTTTAGTACAGTCACATAGAGCTCAACTTAAATATAAGCAATGAAGCAACCGAGTCTACAGTATGTTTAGATAGTCACCAGTTCAACCTAAAAAATAAAATAAGAAATGTAGCCTAAAGACCTTTGTGAATGCATTGTAGATTTTTATGGAAAAACATATTCATACTGTACATGTACATGAATGACATTTGTATATCTTGGATTGCTTCTAAATGGCTTATAAAGTCTGTAGCCTTTTATATTTTGATGCTTTTCCTCCATGTTAATTCTGAAAAAGAGATAATACATGTACCTCAGAAAAATTCTAGACTGCTCCCTCACTACACTGTTTTTATCTTGCAGAATCTAAGGAGTACCAACTGGTTGTGAATAAGGAGCATGTAGTTGGCAGAAAAGACTGTGACATTCTGGTGGCAGAGGATCAGAGCATCAGTAGGAAACATGCAACCCTCACTGTCTCACACCCAGAGTCACACCTGGTATGTACAAGCAGTAGACCTGGTCTAATGAGCTAGATATAGTATATATGGGAGCGTATATGATATTAGAAAATAGGATTCTTGAATTTCTATGAATCCTAATTCTGGGAGCTGGACTTGTGAATAGTAACAATATTACACAATTTCAGTTGTTTCAATTTATTCTGAAGAGCTTGAAAAAGGTGTCAAATTTATGTATCCTCCCATTGTCTCATGTGAACACCTCCTCCCATTGTCTCATGTAAACACCTCCTCCCATTGTCTCATGTGAACACCTCCTCCCATTGTCTCATGTGAAAACCTCCTCCAATTGTTTCATCTGAACACCTCCTCCCATTGTCTCTTGTGAACACCTCCTCCCATTGTCTCATGTGAACACCTCCTCCCATTGTCTCATATAAACACCTCTTCCAATTGTCTCATGTAAACACCTCCTCCCATTGTCTTATGTAAACACCTCCTCCCATTGTCTCATGTAAACACCTCCTCTAATTGTCTCATGTGAAAACCTCCTCCAATTGTTTCATCTGAACACCTCCTCCCATTGTCTCATGTGAACACCTCCTCCAATTGTTTCATGTGAACACCTCCTCCCATTGTCTCATGTGAACACCTCCTCCCATTGTCTCATGTGAAAACCTCCTCCAATTGTTTCATCTGAACACCTCCTCCCATTGTCTCATGTGAACACCTCCTCCAATTGTTTCATGTGAACACCTCCTCCCATTGTCTCATGTGAACACCTCCTCCCATTGTCTCATGTGAACACCACCTCTAATTGTCTCATGTAAATACTTCCTCCCATTGTCTCATGTAAATACCTCCTCCCATTGTCCCATGTTAACACCTCTAATTGTTTTATGTGAACACCTCTTCCCATTGTCTCATGTGAATACTTCCTCCCATTGTCTCATGTAAACACCTCCTCTAATTGTCTCATGTGAACACCTCCTCCCATTGTTTAATGTGAACACCTCCTCCAATTGTTTGATCTGAACACCTCCTCCTCCCATTGCCTCATGTAAACACCTCCTCCCATTGTCTCATATAAACACCTCTTCCAATTGTCTCATGTGAACACACCTCTTTCAATTGTTTCATGTGGACACCTCCTCCCATTGTCTCGAAGTTTTACAATCGTTCTTTCATTATAGGGTTTTCCTCACAAACCCCCAACACTGACCCTAGCAGACTCCTCCAAGTTTGGTTCCTGGTTCTGTGATGTAACTAACAATGGGGGAACTGTTAAGAACACAGCCTCTTGGCATCAGATACATGGGTCGCATGAAGTGCTTAGTGGACAGATGGTTAAGTTTGGTCAGTTAAAGAGCATCTTTAAGTAAGTTCAATATGTATTCTGTACTTTGATTTGTGTATGTACACCCACAGTTCTTGCGTGCGACTCAATTCTGTCAGCAGGCAAATGAAATGTCACGTGAAGATTTATCAACTGTGAAATTGAATTAAAGATTTGGGTTTGGTTTGATATTCTGCATAACTGCAATGTTTTTGTTCTGCTTCATTTTCTGTGGTTTTATATGAACTTAATATTTGAATATAGGAGCCAACAAAAGGCACTGACAGGATAACAAAATTACATGTTATTGAAAACTGATAAACCTTCACAGGAAAATCCAGTGAAATATACCGGACTGCTAAGAATCGATGTACAGTATATGTTATATGTTATATTTCATATTTATATGTTATATTTCAGGGTTGAATACAAGCCAATGATCTTAACTACTTCCTGCTTAGAACCAAGCATGAAGAAAACTGTCAAGTCAATGACTCGCTGCCTGGGAGGTCATGTTCTAAGTGATTGGAGAAAAATCTGTACCATGTTAGTGATGAGCAATCTTAGTGTCACTATCAAAGTAAGAAAGATTTATTAGATTAAAACATCAATTCTTTCAAGTCATTGAATATTAAAAAATTAACTCGTCCCTTAATATTATATTAACTGTATTTATATGAGTAAAACAGTAAAATCTGTATATTGGAACACCATTTAACAACTCTCAAATGAATCATCCTTTTTATCGCACCCTTGGGTACTATATTCTGATCAGTTTTTTCAATCTGAAATAGGCTTCCTTTTAAAGAATTGTTCAATTTTGACATATGCCGATCCAAACACTTTTGGCTGATCCTCATGGTGTTCCAGTTAGACAGGTTATACTGTAGTAATATAATGTTGAATTAATATGAGATGTTTTCTGTGAAACATATAGTCATTTTAAGATTGCTGTTTCAGGTAATATGTGCTCTTGTCTCACTGAAGCCCATTGTAACACCTCAATACCTGTTGGATCTCAAAAAAGCTGTGGAAAATAACCAACCTTTGCCCAAAATCAACAAGTAAGCATCTAAACCTTTACTTCCAATTAAATGGAAAAAATCTTGATTTTTACCCTAGCTTATTAACCCCATCAAAGAATAATTTATTATCAAAAATGAAATTGAAAGTGTGAATTCCATTTCATCTTTCAGAAAACTGACCTTTTGGATTGAGTTTTCGAGGTATGCCTCATGCGCATATACACTTGTGTTATTCAGGCCTTTGTTATTCATATACTTTTATGTGTTATTCATGTATAGCACATGTCTTTGTTATTCATGTGCATTTACGTGTTATTCGTGTGCATATCTGTGTTATTCAGGTACACACCACCATTGGCAGAGTCCCAACTAGACCCCAATGAGGTCTCCTTCCAAGCTAATCCTCTGAGAAGTTCTCTTTTTACTGGAAAAATATTCATCTTCCTCTCAACAAAACAGGTACAGTAAAACACTAACATAAGTGGCCCAACATTTCTTGTTTGCATAATAGATATATTTAAATAGTAACCCAATAAGTGAAAGAGGGCTGCTCTGATTTGTTTTGTTGTGCTTTGTATAATAACTCTATAAATATTCATTACTGATAGACATTGAGTCAGTTGCAAGGGGGTAAAAATGATAAATTCAGAACTCTTCTTTCTTCTGACAATATTTTGCTCCATAAACCATTTCATAAATCATGAAATAAATAACAGTTTTAAAGATATTTTGATCTTAGAAAGAGAAAATATATTTTTAAATTCATAGAAAAAAGAAATAATTGAATTTCAGAATCCATTTCAAAAATTCTAAAAAGTTCATTCAAACCTTCTTTCCATTTTCCTCACAGTTCAAGAAGTTGAGCCTTGCAGTGGAGCTGGCTGGGGGTACCCCTATGCTAATGGAAGAGGGGACTGATGACAATGATGATGGGATCCTGGTTGCCAAGGAGACATGTGTCATGCAGTGTGACATCAATGACATGTCACAACAACTGTCACAGAATGCTACTGAGTGGGTGACGCATGTCATGAAGTACTTGAAGAGGTGAGATATATTTCATTGTTACTCTATTATATAATAAATTTCTAAAATTTCTAAAATGTCAAACCTACTCTAAATCACATTCATGGTTCTTCAGAATATCTAGTTTTTTATCCCATCTGTAGATATTTGCATGTCTTTTGGTGCATATTCAACAGACTTGAGAGGAATTTTTAAATTCCCAACTGAGTGTATCAGTGAAATGTGAAGATTTGGACAAACATTTTATCATTTAAGATACACCCCTGCTTTGTGTAGTTTCTTTAAATCTATTGTTTAAATAATATTTCATATAAACACTTTGTCTTTGTAGTCACAAGAGGAGACCTATACCAGATTCAGAGTTGGGATATGCTGTGTTATACTGTTCTACAGAAAGATACTGCAACCCTGATATAAATGCAGGTAAGGTACAAAGTGCTAGTATTTCTTGCATTTTTATGAAACATTACTCAACATTACAGTAAAACCTGTATATCTGAGCAGCTCTTTAATCTAAACACCTCCCATTTGAACACTTCTCTGGTTCTGTTTTTCCTTCCTTGAAATGTGAACACCTCTTAATCTAAACAGTATGAGCTGGACCCAATTAGGCATGCAGATTAGACAGGTTTTACTGTACATATATTTATATATAATGTTCAGAGATCTGACTGTATGGGTGTACATGTAGCTGTACTGTACCCTTGCACAATACCCTTTCATTACAGTACACTTTACTTATCACAATACACTCTCTCACTACAGTACACTTATTCCTGTACACTTTCTCATTACAGTACATTCAACTCATTAATTACACTTTGAAGTTCTTGTTTTGAGAATACATAATGCGGAGGTATGCTTTTCAATGTGAACTTAAGCTTGCCAAGGATTGTGCCAGCATTAAAGGTTGACACTTTTGACATTTTCATGATAAAGTTTATATGCCGAGCTATGAGATACATACACAGGTAAAAGGTGACTTCCTTTTCTTTGGTCTTGTACCAAAGGTAGTGTTCAAACCCTGGAAGAACGTTCACCTGAGGAAAATCCATATCTTTAATTGACTTATATGATACATATAATATTGAAACTTGTTTGTTATTTTCTTTGGTTTCGTAGCACTCAAACATCAACTGGGTGATATCATTGAGACATCCTGCCAAGGCATTCCAGTCGCTAGGATTGTCACATGTTTCACATTTTCTTTGATGTAGAAGGACGAATGTTTTTAACAAGTGTGAGTTAATACATTCGTTAGCAATGAATTTTAACACCATCAAGATTCGTTTGTGTCCTGGTGTCAGCATTCCTTTGTAATTATGTTTATAACGTGTCAGCGTCCATCCATTTGCGGGAATATGTCTGAGTAGGCGTGGATAGGGAAGCACCAAACATTTAACATCATCTTCATTTGATGAACTCTGTTTTTCAAAGCAGAAACCAAGATCGATTGAAGCTGGGCAGATTGGTCCTTTGATTTTCAAAGTTACACATGGACCATTTAAAGTTATTCTTTGATTTTCACTAAAAGAATCATCTAAGTACTGGGGAATGTTATCATCATTGTTAATACATTCACTCACTGCTTCTAAGAGAGCTCTCCTTATGTTGCTTGGGGATGGTGAATACTTTATGATGTCATAGGCCACCTTACAGCATACAAGGAATATCAAGAGGAGAGTTAGCTCAAATTGTACGATGAACACAATACAAAATACAATAAAAAACTGAAATTCTGTCCAAACTATCGGGAGCTTTAACATTAAGCCTAATAAGATGATTACAACTTCAGTCATAACTCCAATTTTTCTGTTGTGAAAATCAATTTCATCCTCATTTATTTCAGATTTTGCTGTTAGCTTATTTACTGTCTGTACAAATAGTTTATCGTTAATTGAAACCTTTGTATCACTCATATCATCTGCTGCTTCAAATTCATCTGGTTTACCGACTTTTGTTCCATCATAAAAGCTCCCAGTATTAAGAATGTCAACTTTAAACGCAGGATATTGTTCTCCCAGTTTGGTGCACAGATCATGTATGAATTCTTCAACAAACACCTGGTGTTTATTTATCTGATATTTGGTGTAGTTTCGATATATTGATGCCCTAGAATATACTTTGTGTATAAAGTCAGCAAGGTGGTTTCTTTCTGTTCCACTCAATGTCCAAGCCAGTGGTTTGTAACCATTCCACCAATCAACAGACTGGGAAGTCAGTCTATTAATCCTTTGTGGAAATGTTAATGCCAATCCTAGTAAACACATCGACGTACATGTGAATGTTAAATATCCCATTGGGTATGTTAAAATCACTGCTAAAGTGATTTTACTTCTTATGAGGCAAATAAATTGTATGGCTACTGAAACAAGTACAAGGATGATATTGTCATCCATCTTGAATTCACTTTATCGTATTTATTTTTATCCGAAGGTTTGAGTCTAATACATGTATTTTCCCTTTATATCACGTTTCAATGCCGTAGTCTATTTGGTGTCAAACTTAAATGAAAATACTGCCAGTATGTTTATATTTTAAAGAACATGACATGCTTGTTTAAATAGTAAAATACTGCAGCTATACTTTAAGTCAGAGTTCAAAGGCCTATCATATGGTATTATATTTTGTTTTAAGCCTCGTTTAAGTTTAGTCAAGTGCATTGCAGTTTAATTATTAAACAACTGTTTTGCTTTAGATTGTTGGAATTTATTTTATTTAGCCTCGAAAGTATAATTACAGTTTTTCACTATTTCTCTATACTCAGTAATCTAAAAGTTTGAATATAATTCAATTATTGAAAGCTGCAATGTAAAGTGCATCTGAATAATATACATCTATAAAGCAGTAAGCTGTGGGTTTTTTATTTTGCTTATTATTTAATACCACAATTACGGGTATAGGTACATGTATGTGGTATGCTGTCAAACCTTTATTGAAAAATGTCTCTTTCTTTACTGCAATGATAAAAACTATGTCCCAAAGTAGTTCATCTTACATGTAAATCGATACCAAGTCATTTAGCCATGGCTGTAGTCAGGCATGAATCAGCAGGGCACCTACATTTCAACATTTGAAAGAAATGTAGTTTTTCAGATGTTTTTTCCAACTAAAACCATGAAAATGAAGTCCTAATGTACTAATATACCTCTTCTAGTCTACTTGTAAGTTTGCTTTGCACAATTTTTATTGAGGCTTTAATAAACTCCCCTGACAATAGTAAGTGGCAAGCTATTTGGTACATGTACCAAAAACAGATTGAACCAGCAAAAATCCCATTCTCAAACAATAACCCAGATGCGAGTAGAAATAAAAGTGTTTAAAAAGTGTTTATCAACTTTGAAAAAATTACTTTTCTTTGAAAATGTGACTTCTAGCTCGGGGAGATTCCCCATAGACTCCATGCTATAAAATCACAAAAAATTAAATATCTTTTCTTTTAGTGAACAGATAATATTTTGCTTTACTGGACATATTTTCATTAGCATAAGTATTAGACACATAAGGGTTATATGAAAATTGAGCCACTTAAATTGATAATATTCAAGTTTAAGGGAACTTTCTTATATACCTGCCATGTTAATTGACCTGAATCAGCCACCTGATGGTGAAACTGGTAACTACCTACTCGCATTTGGGTAATTGACCCTTTTCCATATAAATGGAAAAATAGATGGCATCGTGGGTATTGGTAGGGTTAAATAACATGGCAGCTCCATAGCATGCAGGAGTCACTTGATTTCTTGATTTAACAAGCTATTTCATTGCATTCCATTTGGATCAACTTAAAACACCGTTGGAATGTAACTATATGATATTATTGACATGTGGATTGTGATTTCACATTAAAACTGTGATCCTTAAAAGAGTAAATGAACTTTTAAAGGTTTTTCAACATTGTGTCAATGGGGATTTAGCCCGACCATTTTTAGAAAACTTGAAAATCTGTAGAATCTGAATAAAGGTAAATAACAGTGCAAATCAAAGTTGTTTTTAGAGAAAATTACACAAAAATTCAAATATGCCATCAAAAAGAAGAAAATGTTAGTCTTTAGTTGTTATAAATGCAGATCTCCTAAAATCTCATTAAAAACGAGACTTTAACGAGATTTCAAAGCTATATGGAAAAGCCTCTATTCATATGAAGTTTATAGTGTTATTTCCTTTATGTACATTTACAGTGCCCCCTGCAGTAGGCGCTAGTGCAAACAACCTTCCTTCCCAGACATTGTCACAGGCAGCAGATATCACAGCTATACCAGAAATACAAAAACAGAAGTCAAAACCAACATTTAAAAAACCAGAACCTGAAATTTTGGCAACAAACACTGAGTTGGTTTCACCAGTAGGGTAAAATTGAAATCTTAGTTTAACTCTTTTCACTTTTTCTGCCATTTATCAAAATATCTGAAAATGATCTAGATTCAGGCCTGTAGCCAGGGGGGGGGGTTCACCCTGGCCAAAAATTCTTGCAGTTTTTCACCATTTTGAGCACTTCTCAAGTGATTTTAGCCATATTTGGGCCAAAATTGTCAAATGTGAATCTCCCTTGGAAATTTTTGAAAACTGAACTGGCAAATCCTGGCTACGGGGCTGAGATTTGTAGATCTGGTGTCAGAATGTTTATTGCAATTAATGCATGATCATATTATATACAAATTATAAGTACCTTAATCTTAATACTCAATTTTGATTGGAAGAGTTGTCAATATTTTTGACTATTGACCATGCAAAAATAAGCACTTCCCGAAAAATGATGTCATGATGAGGAATCAGACTCATATTTCTCTGTTTGCCCTTGAACGGACCATATACTAGTAATGAAGAAGGCTTATATTGAGAGAAAGTTACACAGAATTGAATGTTGTTTCATGGTTACTAATATTCCAAATTTATATTTTATCTAACAGGGTAAGGACAACACACCGCAGAAGTTTGGGTGATGTCACAACAGTTCCAGACACTGAGCGCTCTTCCTTAAATGCTTCAACATTTAATCAGGTATCGTACAGAAATGTTTTATATCTGTACAATTTCGCAAGCACTGTTTTAGAAAACAGGATGTATTGTATGGTACTGTTTGAGATTGGCAGTGATATTATATGTTTCTTTCTATCTGTGGACCCATTGCAATTCACATATCCTACTGTGTACAATTTCAGAAAACCCCAGTTGAGCAGCGAACGAAAAGACAGATCAAGCGTGAAGAGGAAAGACCTCATTCAGAGCAAACCAACGTAGCAACTACAAGCAATGACTCTACAATGCCACCTAAGCGAAAAAGAGACAATGTTATTGGGGATAAACCAATAGGAGTTAATGGTGAAATTAATAATACAAGAAAAGATACAGCAATGAAGATCAGCATTAAGGAAGAACCAATTAGTCAGCCTTCAGTTCCTATGGCAACAGATGATGTTGCTATGCAACAAGAGGATATTGGGCATACTGAGCCAAAACTTGAGTCATCAACTCCAAAAGTTAGATCCAAGAAAAGGTATGTTCAAGTATTAATTTGTGTTCGATTTTTATTCCTTGATTTCAAATTCACATTATTCATTAATATTAATATGTGAACAGGTTTGAAATACTTTTAGTTCCAGAATGCAATATTTCAAAGTTGTGCAGTCATTGTATATAACAGGTACTCAACAGATACTCTGTGTTGCCATGGTTTCCCCACCATTCACCCTATTGAAAATCTGTCAAAATAAACAAAATTCAGAATATTTTAGCCTTAATAGGTAAAATTAGGATTTTGCGGCTTGTTTAAAAGTCAGTATTTCATCTCAATAGATAAACATAGGTACTGGTACTTTGCTGGTATAAAGATGGCAGTATAATGAGTATATTGAATCTAAATGTGTCAGTTTAGTGCTTTTTAGATAAAAACTCTTATTTTAGGTCAGTGTGTACTTTGATGAAATTTCTTGACCATGTGCTGTTTTCAGATAAACATAACTCATTCCACACATGGTCTACATCTTTAATTTTTGCACAAAATGTGCATTAGTGTACCTAGATTATTAATTGAGGGTTGATAATTCTTTAGAATGTATGAATATTAAACTAGAATATTCAGTTGTCTACTTTTCAAAATTGCAAAAAAGTCCAAAGTACACACTGGCCCTTATGTCAATTTAATCAAGTGTATATATTATTGATCAAGTTGTGTTATCAGTGAATGTCAAAGTCACATGACTTTAAGAACACCTCTCATATTTCAGAATGAATTCAAATGTGATATTTGAATACTTTTACTTTTCCACCTCGTTGTGTTACAAACAATTCCCCAGCTCTGTAGCTAATAGCCCAAGGTTTTTCCAAGCCATCTTTCTCACTCAGTAACATCATTAAGAACTCCCCTCTTGTGTTCAGGACTTGGATACGGTTGTTGCCATGGTCACAGACAAGGATTCTCCCTTGTGGATCAACTAAGACTCCCCTTGGTTCATTAAGCTTGTGATCTTCCCTAGATGGTTCACTGGTCTTCTTCTTAGAATCGCCTGTGTATTCAAATAGAATCTTTGGTTCAGTTTCTGTAGTGATTGCAACCAGTTTGTGTTCACCAGAGTCTGTTATGTAGAGGATATCTCCATGGCTATGAATGTAATATGGGAGTTGAAATAAGGGAAGGTTCTTAGCTGTAAGTTGAATCGTCTTCTGAATTCCATCCTCATTGATAAACAAAATCCTTGGCTTTCCTGTTGCTATGGAAACAATGCAACTCCCAGAGGAGTCAAGGCATATTCCATCACAGAATTTTGGCATGGATATGACGTGGTGAATTTTTCGACAATTCACATCCATATGGAAAATTTTATCTAGGCCATAAGAGGTGAGCACAAGCGAGTCAAGGTGCTGGACAAGTTGTTCTGGATTCTTTAGCTTCATCCCACCAATCTCTTCAAACTCCTCAATAAGAGCACCATTGCATTTGTCAAATGCTTTCAGTTTGTGATTGATATTATCTGCTATGATGATGGTATTGTCTGTAGCTACAATACCAGTAGGATCACAGTCCACAGTGTCTGTAGGTGTTGTACTGTCAAACTCTAGTAGTAGGTTCACAATTGGGTTTATAGCATCCATCTTTATTAAATAGTTGATCTTAACACATTGATTGAAGTACTTTGTCTGGCTTATAGTTCATGTTTGTCTTATATTTATGTCACTTTGTCTTTGTGTGCCTATAAGGCTGCATTTAAAAAAATGTTTAATGAAATGTACTTCCATTGTAAAGAATCTATTTGTATGAAAACCAATTCTCCTTTTCGCGGTTCGCTCTTTGAATCAGAACGTTCGTAAATATGCACTGAAAAAGCACTCAAAAAGGACAAAATTTGATTGGTCAATATTTTCCCACTATGCATTTCGCGTAGCTATTTGCGTGACACGAAAGTTCTAAATCAAACTAATTACTCAATTTTGTTTTTACACCCGCACGCTAAATAAAACAATGACACCATCGTAAGTATTCTTCTTTGTCATTGCTTTAATAGCCAGTATACCGAGTTTAATCAATAAAAGATTGTACAATGAACAACAAAATTCGGAAACGAGTACTATAGATTTGCTTTCGGACCACTGAACAGATTGACCTATATAATAGCGACGCGTCTTCTTTGGTCTACTGCTCAGTTGTTTGTGGGTTTTCAACGTAACTCTATAATGTAATTTGAAGATGAATACTTTTATTCAGTTGTTGCATCGATGTCGCAGTTTGTAGTGCGGTAAGATTGGCATGAAAGTATTGAAAGTCGAATGGAATTGTTTTTTCCAATATGGCGACTAGTCAACTGATCACGTGACCTTCTCTTCCGGAATATTTTCTCACTTTTCAATCATCGTTTTCACCACGCTATGAATTAATACAATGAAAAAAATAGCTGTTATATTAAGATTAATGAGAGATCAATCGTTTCTAATAATTTTTTCTGTACTCTCGTACGGGAATATGAACGAATATATCGTTCGAAAAATAGGTGTGAAAATCCCCATGTTAAACCTACGAGGGAAAATAAGGAAGTATAAATTTGTTCCTCCGCGAACTGCATCATGGGAAATATTTTGCCCTTATAAGGAAAGATTTTCGCGTCTTCTCTTTTGAAGAGGGAACAGCGATTTCGAGAATTAAAAGATACAATTTTGATGACAGAAATCCCCAAATTTCAAGAAAAACAATTAATACCATCATATACCCCATTTCTTTTTTTCACCAAAATCTACTTTAAAACAAAATATTAAAAATTGCAGCCTGTTCTAAACCTAATATGCCCTATCCATTATTTGGTTCAGTGGTCTCATAGTGTAATAGAATTGAAGTTTTTGACTGAGTGACCCACAACTGGTACATTAAAAAGGCTGTTGTGTGTGCCTGTATTTCTGTGTTTCAATTCACATGAAAAGAGGAAAGATTAGGTGAAGTATTTGAGGTGAAGAGGTCCTGTCTTTCCTAATTTTACACACATGGAAAAGTCCATATTAAAGATATATAACCCAGGGTACTCACTAGGCTTATAGACTCGGGAGAATCTCCGGAGTCTAATGTCTTTAGACCCTCTTGCTCCTGAGTCTACTAGCTTCTCCGGAGTCAAAAGTGTTTTTTTTTCGAGAGTCTAATTTTACATTTTTGTCCAATTATTTGTGGTAAAACTCTTGAGAAAATACATAAAACTAGATACAAACAAGGAATAGGAAGTCAGAAACCTTTTAGAAAAATATATTGTGATTAAAATAGGATGATAATCTTCAGTAGTATTTTGAAAAGTATTCAAATAGGATATCTCTGATCTCACATGGGTGAGGAGTTTGTTGGGATACTTTGATAAATCTGGTACATAGTTTGTCTATCGAAGGATAATTTATGATCTGATGTTGTTGCATGGGCAGACTACAAGATGATGATGATGATGATGATGATGAAGATGACATATGTAGACGTCCTGTGGCTAAAGCTCAGAGAAAGACACACATTGAAGATGATGATGATGATGATGATCCATTCGCTTCCTTAGGAACAAGACCTCGTTCACGGAAAACGAAACCCCAGATAACTACAGATAATCAAATTACTGAAAAAGACATTAAGATAGAAAATACGGAAAAGGACACTTTTCCCAAGGTTATTGACAAAAACAAAGATCGAACGTCTCCTATTGGTCAAACATCAACCAATCATGTGGCAGCAGAAAAGTCAGACAAAAGGCCAAGGTCGAAAAAGTCAGATGCTAAAGATGTGGAGATTCCTCCTGGTTGGCTGAGCACTGAAGCTAGTTTAGTGGTAGGTTTTCAGTTAGATTTAAATCAAGGATTAAGGTCAAGGTTGTTGGCATACTGTCACAACCTCCTTTGAAATGTCTATAAAATATCATTTTACGTTTTAAATGCTAATAGAATTAGAAATAGTGAAGCCTTTTAAGATTTCAAATGCAAACATATTAATTATAATAAGCCTAATACAAAAATAACACAGATGTTTGTTTCTATTGCCCGGGCATAAGGTACGAATTTTATACAATAGGGATGAAAAAGGAATGAAATGAGTAAGGCAAAGAATCTGTAATAAAAACATGTTATGTTGTCCATATTTAGAATGGAGATTGTGTTCCAACTGATCCCAGATTTGAGAAAGATGCAGAACTTCCCAATAACCTTGTAGTCACAGAAACCACATCATTGGTAAAGAAAAAACAGCAGGAAAATAACAGACAGCGCCCTATGACAGATATTGATGGCTTCTGCGAGTGGAAAGGAAAACGAGTCCGAAACTTTAAAAGGTTCAGCAAGGTATGTGTCTTATTTTATAAAGATAAATTGATTTTTGCTGACTACATATATGTTTATTACTTCATAAAACATTATTATAAAATACATGCATGTAAATTAGTTTTGACCTCAAGAGTTGATTACTATTTAGCAAAACTCAGATATTTTAATGTCTCAAGCAGGGTGACAAAATAATGCAAAAATTGAAGTCAAATTTGTTATTCTAGAACTGTTACACAATTGCACCAACCCTAACTCCAATTAACGTTAATAGTTTAAATATAATATATTACAATAGCAATATTAGTACTTGTAGAATTTGTCCTGAATCTGTTTTTAGACTACACATGCTGGGGCAGGGGGTGTTCCAAGAATAATAGGAGGCAGAGATCTAGAGTGGCACTCTAACAAACAGAGACAAGAGCTAGATGATTGGTTCAATCAGGAATTGCAGGTAGATGTTTGAACATTTCTTTAGGATTGCATTGAAATGCTCTATTTAGAACTATGGCACTGTGAAAAGGAAACTGATAGAGAAATGAACACATAATTTCTCCAAATAAAGTATGTTTTCTTGGGATTTTTAGAAAATAGATATGACAAGGAATGATGATATGAGTCCAAAATATTCCAAAATTGAGTCAGTTTTATGTTACATTTGCTCACTAGATCAGATGCTACCTTTAATAGCCACAGTTTCTTTTAATTTTTAGCATTTCTATTGGTGTAATCTGAGTATAATTGAAGTATAAGATTCACAAATGTTGGATATTTAGATCAATGTTTTTCCAATTTACAGCTGTGTGTAACACATTATGAGAATCTATCTTGTAGAACCTGTTTTTATACTTCATTTTTATGTCACCACCACAAGTGGTTACATATTTTTACTTTTTTGTGGTCAGTAATCAGTGGTGTCTGGTGTTTGGTTGGTGTTTGGTGGTTGGTTGGTGTTTGGCGGTGGCATCAGTACAAAACAGCAGATGGTGACATTTTGCATGTTAATGATTTGTTTTGTTTTATTTTTAAGATTGAAAGTCAACAAGATCAGGATGAATTGCTGGCCAACAAGCTGTTTGAGTGAGTAACATCATTGATTGATTGATTTGTAAACGATTTATAAATTGGAAGGAGAATTTGAAATAAATAAATCTGCAGCTCAGATCAGAAGTTGTATTTAAGAAAAACTAATTTGTAACTTTTGAAAGTTAACTTTCACAATTTGGTATTTCCTGTAAATCTGCTGTTCTAAAATTCAATGTTTTGATATCCAGGAGTGTTGCTGGTCCTACAAAGAAGACCACTGGCAGAGGGAGACGATGAACGGAAGAAAGGCTGTAACAGGGTGGAACAAGCTAATAGAGAAAAAATTTGGAGAATGGGAGGATGCAATAAAGCAAAACTGATACATTTTGTGATATTGAACCCTAAAGTGTTTTAAATGGACACATGTAAAGAAACATATGTACAGTGTACATAGATTATTATTAATTAGGAGCATTTCAATTGATAGAAACAATCATGAGATTGATTAGATATAATTTCACATTACTTGGGAATGTTTGCATATAATCTAGTATGTATGTGTAATAATCATTCACCAGAGAAATGAACTTTAACATTGATTTGAGAATGAATAGGTCAATGCAAAACTGAAGATTACATTCAGGAAAATTTTACGTAATATGAATATACTATTGCACACAAAATCATATTCTAATTATTGTTTTGTTCTATTTTTATAAATATTGTGATTTTGTTTTATTCTCCGCATTCTGATTGATTAAGGCTAGATCAAGGATTACCTCAGAGTGTGGATGAAGCTCTCTTTAAAGGAAGCAAAATCAAACTATTGTAATATTGTACTATTGTATTATTGTACTATTGTAAAGCGTATTGAATGTAGTTCCTCATGCATCATTGGGATTGGAGGAAACAAGTCTATATTTTAAATTTTTTGATATATTAGTGCAGTGAGTGATAGTAAAAATAACATCTGCAAAAAAGGTGAATTACAGTTTCCGTAGAAAAGCCTGCATTGGGTATGGGTAGTAAACGAAACATCTTTTGCAGATGTTATTTTACTGGGCCTCTAGGAAGACCAGTTTTGTACTGATAGAGCTACCCAGAATAAAAAAAAATTCAAATCAAATCAGTCACTCACTTTAAAAAATAATAGCAGATCTTACAAAAACAAACAAACAAAGAAATTATTGGAAAAGGTGAGTCTAATTATTATCCCATCGAACGAAATTCAGAGGGATATAGGGAACGCCTCCGTCCGTCCGTCTGTACGTACATCCGTCCGTCCGTACGTACGTCCGTCCGTCTATCCGTCCGGGCAATAACCCAAATACCGTTGGCCCGATTTTGTTCATATTTTGTACACATATACCCTATGTGGGTAGAAGTTCTGCTCGAAAGCCGATTTTCAAAATGGCCGCTCATTTCAAAATGGCGGCCATTTTAGTGCCGATTTTACAGTAATTTAGGTGCTATATGTAAAACTGTAATAGCAATATGTTTTAAATGTAAAAAAATTATAAGGGGCATTAATAATGCTACAAATGTAGATATTAAAGAAGCACATGGCAGCCATCTTGAAAAATGGCGGCCTTTACTCGTCATTTTACGATTTTTGCTGTAACTCAAAAAATAGTGGAGCGATTTTGTTCATATTTGGTATGTGAATACTATAAGCATTGCACACTGTCTAAAGACACTTTTGGTAGAAGGCGGCCATTTTGAAAAATGGCCGCCATTTTAACGTATTTTACTATAACTCGAAAAGTAGTGGAGCGATTTTGTTCATATTTGGTATGTGAATACTATAAGCATGGCACACTGTCCTATGACACTTTGGGTAGAAGGCGGCCATTTTGAAAAAAAATTGAAAAATGGCCGCCATTTTATAATGTCTTTTACTATAACTCGAAAAGTAGTGGAGCAATTTTGTTCATATTTGGTATGTGAATACTATAAGCATGGCACACTGTCTGTCCTATGACACTTTTGGTAGAAGGCGGCCATTTTGAAAAATATTTTGAAAAATGGCCGCCATTTTAACGTTTTTTTACTATAACTTGAAAAGTAGTGGAGCGATTTTGTTCATATTTGGTATGTGAATACTATAAGCATGGCACACTGTCTATTTCTAATGACACTTTTGGTAGAAGGTGGCCATTTTGAAAAATGGCCGTCATTTTAAAGTATTTTACTATAACTCGAAAAGTTGTGGAGCGATTTTGTTAATATTTGATATGTGAATACTTTAAGCTTGGCACATTGTGTAATAAAACTTTGGGGAGTAGTCGGCCATTTTGAAAAATGGAAACCATTTTTATGTGTGTTATTTTACAAGTACATGTGTGATTTTTCAAAAATTTTAGAGGTGGCTACTTGAAAGCATATTATTTCTTCTGATGACAACTTGGCTAGTGAGCAACCATTTTGAAAATGGTGGCCTTTCTGGTGTGTTGTTTTATGATATTTGCTATTCCTTTGTAAAAATGCCAGCCATTTCTGTTCGATGGGATTCGCTACGCTTTGGCGTTGCCGTTGTTCTGGTTTACATTTTTATTAATTACATTACATTACATTTTTAATTACATTTCTGATAGATTAAGGTATGCGATTTGTAGATTAAAGACTAAATTACACATTTATAAATCGTATGATTGAAGTAATCTTTACAACTTCATTGTGTTCTCAAATGTTTCCCCGTAACTTCTTTTTTTGAATAGTCATTTATTCAAGCCAGATATTGCTATATACTTGCTATATACTTTTTCAGTTTGAATATAAGACCGCAAACCATTTTAATGGGCATATGTCTTCAACATGTATCCTGTAAGAAGTCAAGCCAAGAAGCGAAGAGATGCTGGAGAACATGGATTCTTGATACATGCATTTCTGACTGAAGGTATAGAAAACTAAAATTTTGATGATACTTTTCTAAGATTTTAGAATAACAGATAATCTAAAAGACTACTATTATAGATCGGAAGGTAACTTTTGTATTATTGTTTATTTCTATAAATTTCTAATTAGTACAATAATTCATTTTTAGGGTGATGATCAGAAATATTGTTTCTCTATACACCAATCACAGATGAGATACAGTTAAGGCCCTGGACATATGTATAAGGCCGAAAAGATGAACTGTGCAGCTAACTTAAAAGTGCATCCCGATTACAGAATCAAGAATAGTTAAAAGCAGCTGTGAGAAATCGGGAAGGTGAGTTTTAATTATATTTTCTTTAAAATGTGAATTTATTTAAGAGGGTACAACCTCTGAAACTAGCAAAATCATGGCAACCTGTAACTTTTATGTTATATTATGAAACAAAATAACAATACTTAAGAAACATCATTGAATAACATTCTATGAGGAGCACTTCTTGTTGTACCTGGTACATGAGAATGTTGTTCATAGAGACCTCGCTGGAATGCCCCTAGCCTGTACTATAAACTCTACCCTTTGCATTCGTTTGACTTCACTTCTTAAAAGAGAGCTTCGTCTTCACTCTTTCAAACTAAAATAAACCTGTGAACTCACCGCGCCAATCAGTGTTCGTCGGCCAAATTTGACCGACGTTCTTTATATGGTCATTCCTTCTGACGTCATCGTTGAGCCCGGAATTGACCAATGAATTGCGCATATTTAATTAGAACGCATTTGGCGCATGTTTCTTCAAGCTCGCTGATTGGTGCAAGGTCAGCGCGTAGGTCAAAAGTGATTTACCCAAACTGTCACCGGTACCCATCGTGGGGGCGGGGCTACTAAACTGTAATACATGTAATATGGTCTCTACTAGGCAGAGTGTAGTTTAACTAGACTCTGCACGCAGGGTATATAAACTCATATATCTTGGAAATTTGTAGTCTCTAGCAAAACAAATATTTGGTAGATTACAACTTGAAACTTAGTATTCTTTCTAGTAGCATTAAAATGAACAATGCACTGTGTACAGTGACACAGCCAGGAAGAAAAAAGCGACGAGGCGAAAAATATTGCCAAACCTTGCCTTGATTTGCTTGCCTGGCAATAGAAGAACACGATGATAACCCTGAGATTGTTCACAATTGAATCAAAAATTGATGATTTAAGATTAAAAATCAATAAAAACTATACCATTAATTTACAACTTATCTTTGCAAGAGGAATATTTCTCAAAAGATGTTAAAAGGCGACAATGCAAGCGTCTCATCTGCCTCATCCTGGCTACACTAGAGGTGTACTGTAGATGACCCTAAGTCTAAAGTGAACTAGATCCATAAGGCAAGAATGGAATGTTGAGATCACCGTCCTTTTCAGAAGCGATAGATCCACCATGTCCCCAGCGGCCATATTCAAACCCAGTTAATACTTTATCCAAGGCATATTTGGCAGCCTCCAGGGGTATTTCTCTTGGGAAATGCACTGCTGGGAACACTTTGCTTTCCTTGCTTGACCTTTCTAGGTGAATCATGTGACTAAGGAACTGGCCAATCAAAGAATTGATGTCCAAATCACCATAGTAATCAATGTCATACACATCCCCATATTTTGTTGAATATTGTGTTCCAAAACTTAAAGATTGGATTCTGTTGTTGTTTTGTTGAGACTTCATGATAAAGCATGTGCTTATCCTTTCAATTATCTCTCCGATATTATCAAGTTTTGTCACATTGAAACACTCCCAATTTACGATAACTGTGCCAGTCGGAAATAAATGCTCCCAATGTGTACCATTCTGCAGAACATCTTTAGTTTCATCCATTGTTAATGGAAGAATGTTACCAATTTGGTCAGCTGCAGGACAATTTGGGATTCTATTTGTGTGGAGTAGATTTGATAGAGTCTCTGTGGTGACTTGGAAGCTCACATAGTGCTGGAAAAGGATTCAGGATATATTTGAATTAAATGATATAAATGATATGAATGATCAAATCAGGGGTAAAATATATTTTGTTGTACTATGATCTGATTATAATTTCCAATAATTTGCCTGTTGTGTCATTCAATCCGCCTATTTTCAGAAAATATAACGAAAAAACCCTCTAGATATTTTAATTGTACTCACTGGATTAAATTTTCAAAAATATGCTACTAAAATTAATTTGGTGACTTATTCCTACTTAGATGATGGAAATATTATCTTAAATCTATGGTTTGAATAAAGATGAGTGTATATAACTAATGATACTTGTCTACATTTGAGCATTGAAATGAAAGAGGAGAAAATCAATTCTTTTTAGAGTATAGCATTAAAGGCATATCATACTCTTCAAATTGGAGACTGTATTATTATTCTATGTTACCAACATACTGTTCTGAGAAGTATTTTCACAAGGGGATCAGCTTCTTGCTTGGCTAAGTTCTCAAGTGTCTCCCTCTGCACATACTTGATCAGGCTCACCTTGGGCCATTTTTCTTTGATATATTTCCTTACATATTCTCTTGTGAAACCAGGAAGACTTTTGCCTGAAATAATAATTTCAGTACATTTAGAAAGTGTATTTTACCTCATTAATAAGCTCAAGTAAAACACTGGCTTTGAGCCTTTTAGTATGAATCACAATAGTGTATATAGTCTTTAATCTAACAAAGTCTAAAATCTAACAAAGAAAATTCTTAGATTAAAAATAATTATTAGTTTAAACTTTTGTCTTAGAATTGTTACCTTGATGTAAAGGGTGTGTCCTTGCTGCTTCACTTAGTATGGTCTCTCCATTGTCAATCACATGCAGAATTACAAAGCAAACCTAGAAATGGATTCTTTTGATTAATTTTGGGGATGGTTTTGGCTGGGTCCTACTTTAATGTAGTGTTTCACCAATGCATTTTTTCAAAAAACAATTACAGAATACACAGAATAATATATTAATTTTAAATGATTTTTGAGTGAATCTCTGAAAATTATGTCTATAGTAGTATGATGTCCTCTTTAGTTTGCCTATTAAGCTTGCTTCACCTATTTTTGGAATTTGACTAGGTTTCTTATTGACTTACAATTTGTTCCTGTTTAACACAGACAGCGCATACACGATTTGACTGCTTAAGGAACTGCTGATAATAGTGTGGAAGATAATCCAGTCCCCAATATACATTAGTATTGATGTTATATATGCCTTGGAAATCTCCTGGTTCAGCTAGCCTAGCACTATAGCCTTCTGCTTGCAAAGACTGGATGCTGCTACGTTGCCTTCCCATTTTGTTTGAATCTTCTCAATTAATTTCCTTAAATATTTCAAGATTTCTTTGTTGTTCAAGAGTCCAAAAGTTGATCTGTACATGTAATAATGTCATATTGAAGTAGGTTTAACTGATAAAGGTTGTTGTGAATTAAGATAATCCATGTTAGCTTAAAATCACACCACACACCTTGTATAAGGATGTTCTACATGATTACAGATTTAATTATCATTAGCCTATTTATATTATTTATATTATGTTATGGAAAGATAATTATTGTTGAATAGTTTTAAGCAAAGAAAGTTTCTGAAATTGCTGCCGCTTTAAAAATGGCGGGAATTTTTTGCGAAAATCTAACAAAAGTAATTAGTATTGGTACTGTTTGGAATTTTGGTACTTTATCCATGAAATATAACTATTTGACATATGTTCCATGTTTTTCAGTGTGACCCCTAACAGGCCATATATGGGGGTTGGGAAAACAGGAGTTTTCATTAATTTTGAGATCTCTCTAAAGTATAGCTTTATCATACTCAAATGAAAGACAATTTAAAGTTGATTGCAAATATTGTATTGTTTTACTGATTCAGGCCTCAGAAAATTCAAGATGGCCAACTAATTTGGGATTTTGCAATAATTTACTGATCTTTTTATTAAAGTAAGGCTCCATTATATTCAAATTCAAGGAATTTTAGAGTAGATAACAATTATCATTGTTTTCTGATTTGTGCCTCAAGAAATTCAAAATGGCCAGCTAATGTGCAATTTCGCCAATCTCTGTCTTATAATTATCTGTAAACCATGGGTAGAGTAACCATGGTAAATATTACATTGTGACATGAATAATTTTTTTGTTGGGATTCGTTACTCTGTCAAATTATGAATTTCTAGTTGACAGCTAACTTCACCTAACTCTCCCTTTTTTGTTTACCCAGGAAGAGATCAGCAGAAGAAGTGAGAAGGCCAAGCAGAACCATATGTTGAAGAACAGTGAGCAACAAGATGGAGCACCACCTTTTCCTGTTCAGGAATCAGTGAACACTCAAGGTAGGTCACTTTGATCACAGTATGGTAACTGTCAGAGGGGAGATCTCCCAGAATTCAGTGTTGGTATTGGGTCATGCGACATCCATGTGATAAATCCATTTATCCCACGATTAATGTGTTATCTGTACAATAACAGCTATTGATATTTCTGATATCATTGAAATCTGTGTGATATTTTCCAGAAAATGGTTTATCAAACTCATTTGCGTGTGATATCGTTTATCTCACGCATATCCGTGTGATATCACATTTGCATTTCGCGCCACAATATTGTTGGAAATTAGGTCAGATAATTTATTCTCTTTTGAGAAAATAGGTCTGTTAATTTATTCTTTTAAAGTTTCATTGGTGTATTAAATTACGATTGTGTATATAATTTGATTAGAAGGCTGCTAAATAACGATTAAAAATTGTATTTATGACGAACTATATCACAAGGTGATCGTAATCATGGGATAAACCCAATATCACATAATTTCTCGTGATATCATTTTATCGCCTCGTAGATATCAAATATCAACACTCATTCGCTTCGCTCACTCGTGTTGATATTTGATATCAACTCGGCGATAAAAATGATATCACTCAAAATGATGTGATATTCTGTATATCTATACGGCTTGTAGGACCATATAGGAATCAAATTTTCTGAAACCTAACTACCCAAAGATTTATGTTTTGTAAAATTTGTATGTAATCAATAAAATGTTCTTTCATAAAAATGTTATTTGATCATGAGAATTCTTCTTGTCTTGGTACAAGCCTCTGTGACCCCCCCCCTCTACCACTTGACTAAACACTCACCTGTGGACAAGGTCTTGTAGCTAGACTAGAGTTCTTCAAGACCCCCCTGTGTTTATGAACACAATTCTGTAGATGACCCCCCTGTGTTTATGAACACAATTCTGTAGATGACCCCCCTGTGTTTATGAACACAATTCTGTAGATGACCCCCCTGTGTTTATGAACACAATTCTGTAGATGACCCCCCTGTGTTTATGAACACAATTCTGTAGATGACCCCCCTGTGTTTATGAACACAATTCTGTAGATGACCCCCCTGTGTTTATGAACACAATTCTGTAGATGACCCCCCTGTGTTTATGAACACAATTCTGTAGATGACCCCCCTGTGTTTATGAACACAATTCTGTAGATGATACAATGCATTCTGTTAATTGTTCATTATCATTTTAATTTTGAAATGAAATTGGAGAAAGATATATTATTATTGACACTCACAGGCTGGTATCGAAATATTTGTCCGCTGTGACGGAGCATGCTATTTTTCATAAAAACACTAAGAATACTTCACGATTTATTTTTTAACTCATATGTTTCGTTATGTCATACAAAAATACTTACTCCATGCAATGGATATATCATTTGCAGGTAACTTTCACTTCTGTTTGAAGTCCAATTACGCTGGGAAGAAAAGCTATTGAAAATGGCGCCGGGGTATCAAACTTCAAAATGTACCATTTCTTGTTTAACTTTCTAATGGCACGATATAGTGACTCGATAATATTTACACATGGTTTCAGCATAACTATGAAGGTATAAATGAGATGTTGATGTATATGGTCTTTTTAATTCTTTTTCTAAAAAAAATAATGTTTAATTTTTTTGTCCGCTGTGACGGAGCAGTTGCAAATGTGAACTGTGAAAATGCTCCGTCACAGCGGACAAAAAATATTAATATTATTTTTTATTAAAAAATTAAAAAGACCCAATGCATTAATATCTCATGAATACATTCAGAGTTATGCTGAAAACATATGTTAATATTATCGTGTCACTATATCATGCCATTAAAAAGTTAAAAAATGGTACATTTTAGAGTTTGATACTCTTGCGCCGTTTTCAATAGCTTTTACTCCTAGCGTTATTAGACTTCAAACAGAAGTGACGGTTACATGCAAATGGTATATCCATTGCATGGAGTAAGTAATTATCTTTGATATAACAAAACATATGAGTTAAAAAATAAATCGTGAAGCATTCTTAGTATTTTTATGAAAAATAGCATGCTCCGTCACAGCGGACAAATCTTTCGATACCAGCCTGTGACACTACAATTTAAAAGCATTTAGAAAAATTAACATGTCTTTTAAGCATACATGTAATTGAAGACAGTTTTCCCATTTTGTGATAGTATGTTTTTCAAATAACATCGTCTGACTTGTTTTTCATTCATTCATTTCAAGATTAATGGTAATTTATAATTGCTTAAAAATCCAAACTTTAAGTGGTTGATAAGCTCAGATAGGGTAGGTTGAGTCATGTTAACCTATGGCTATAAAGAACAATTATACTCTTATCTCATATACCGTATTTGCCGTAATTGGCGCCCATGTTCCTATTAGCGCCTCCCCAGACTTTTGAAGGCCCGAGGGTGAGTCCGTGGTTGAAGAATCAACGATCATTGTGGTCAAACGTAAGAAGTCAAGTGGGCGATAATAGGTCCTGACATGTAATTCCAAAACGAGGCTGAGAAAAAATTCGAATTCGATTCAGCAGGTATAAGTCCGTTTTCCTATAGATTTATCGAGTAAAATACTGATTTAAGTACATATTTTATATTCCATTAGTGTAGCAAAAAGAGTGGGATAGGTATGAACCCCACGGTCTATGCAAACGTGGCGAATTTCACGAACCAAAATTTTCTTCCAATTTTTTTCTAAACTGAAAATGAGACTCCGGCATCTTTTCTCAGGCGGGACTCATATGGGCGCTAATAAGGACAACTTTTTGAAATGATTTGACTTACTTTAAGCGCCCAGGCGCCTACTACGGCAAATACGGTAACTGTAAATATGGCATATTTGCAATGATAATAATAAATGGCGTCATAGACAAAAATTGGTATGCGGGAACGAGGAGGACATATTGGGCATTTACTTTAAAAACAAAACAGCCAAAGACACCTATTTTTTATAATTATAAGTAATTTTTTGAATAGAAATGTCTCAACTATGTACATATTATTTTATAAGGAATTGCATCAAAAATAAGAAAATTAGATTAAAATGAAAAAGATGGAACATTTTTTGGCCCACCCTGTGTATACATGTACCTAGTTTACCTGTCAATAGGGGTTGATTGCTACTCAGTATTGATAGAAAGTAAGCATGGAACAAACATGTCTAGCAGTAGTGCCTCGAAAAAGAAAACATAATTTATTATACTTTAAATAATATGATTTTATGAAAAAGAAATTCATATTTTTGTTTTTCAAAATTAATTGAAATTCAATTTCATACTACTTCGCAATATTTTTATTATTATTATTTAACTTGAATATTCTGGCATAGTATTTAGTGGCCATAATGACCTTTTACAAATTTGATTATAGACATCAATTAAACAAATTTCAAAACATTCAAAAAGCATTTTCCTCGATTAATGGGACTCATCATACCATATATGGCCGTTTCTCCTGAGACTTATCAGTACACTGTTTTTTAATGAGATCCACCTGTTTGAAAACTGATAGAGAAGATTGATGTCAAAACAAAAGTGCTTTTTGTTGACACTTTATCATGATTTACCTTACAACTACACGTACTGTGATACTAGAATTAGTGAATATATCATAACAATACCCTACATTATATCACCTATTTAGAATGTCAATAATCCCCATTATTAAATTATGAGAGTAAACAGACGTTCTACTCTTTCTAAACAGACAAGACAACGTCTTATTTTTCTGTGTTTTTTTCATTCTGATAGTTTGAATGGGATATTGAGAAGCTGTTTGTCCATCTGTCCATTCGTCTGTCCAGGATATAACTCAAATACCAGTTGATGGCATTGGTTAAATTTCATAGGCTTATGCCTTATGAGTGTAGGACCTCTGTTCCAGAAGAAATATTCAATATGGTCACTCAATTTAAAATGGCCTCCATTTTTCTTAAGAAATGTAATCTTTTATAATTCACAAACCAGGTGACGGATATGCTGATGCCTAGGGATGCAGGGGCTCTGCTCCAGAAAGAAAAGAACATAACCTTTGATTTGTCAAATACCAGCTTACGGATTTGGTTCAAATTTTATATTCTGATGCCTAGAGACAAAGGAGCTCTGCTCAAGAATTCATTTTCAAGAGAGCAATTGTTTAAAAATGGTTGCTGAATTTCAAAATGGCTGCCATTCTTCATAAAGAAGTATAATCATTGATAACTTAAATACTAATGAACAGATTTTGTTAGAATTTTACATGCTGATGTCTAGGGACAAGGAGCTCTGTTGCAGAAAAACTTTTCAAGATGCTCACTGAATTTCAAAATGCAGTGATCTCCCCAGCATTAAAGCAAGTGGATGTAGCACCCACCTGAGATTTTAAAAACAGGCTTGCAACCACCTTAAAAATCCATCTGCACCCACTTGAAAATGAGAAAAATCATGAAAAATAGGCATGTTTTGATCAATTTTGACCTGAATTGGGAAAATAATAATTTTGCACCAACTTGAGAAAATATCCTGTGGAGAACACTGAAATGGCCACAATTTTTCGTAAAAAAACATAATCTTTGATAATTCAAATACCGGATGATGGATTTGGTTTAAATTTTGCCTAATGACACAGGGGTTTGCTCAAGAAAGAATTCTCAAGATGGCAGCTGAATTTGAAAATTGCCACCATTTTTTGTAAAAGAACATAATCCTTTGATTACTCAAATACCAGTTGATGGATTTGGTTTAAATTTGATATGCTGATGCCTAATCACACAGGGGTTCTGCTCAAGAAAGCATTCTTAAGATGGCCACTGAATTTCAAAATGGCCAATGTTTTTGTTAAAAAATATAATCACTGATAATTTGTGTATCAATAATAGCAAATTGTATACGCTGGTGCCCTAAGGTAAAAAGAACAATGTTAATGAAGTAATTTTTAAGACAGCTGCTCAATTCAAAATCGCCATCTTTTTTGTAAAAGGTAGTCTTTAATAACTCAAATACTAGTTGACAGATTTGATTCAGATTTTATATTGTGATGCCTTAAGAGACAAAGGAGCTTTGCTCAAGAAGAAATTTACAAGATGGTTGCTTATTTCTGCAGTATTTCTTATTACTGAACCTCTTTTGTCCAGGCAATTAGACTATTTGGTGCATCCATTTTGTTACCATAAATCAATGATTGTCATGGTTTGGTTACATCCTAGTTATCTTTAGAGTTAGTTCAGAGTGTGTACTCAAACTCTTTCGATACTATTCTGTCCAATATTGATACCAGAAACATTCAAGCCAAAACTGCCGTTGATTCTAGAGCAGACCAAACTGAGAGAGTTGTAGCATGGATCGCAGCAGCACCCCACAACGGCCTTGTAAAAGATTTGCATAATACGTATTAACATCAGGAACATTCTGACAAATGGCTGCAGGCACCAGACGGTGCAGCAGCTACACAACCCAAACAGCATTCCACACCCCAACGAAAGAAAGATTCCAAATACAATCGATAGGAGGTTGTAGACTCCATACTGAAAGTAAACAAGGGTTCAGATATAGATCAAGCAATTTTTTTATTTATTTGGCATTTAGCGTTCTCTGCTACTAGCACTTTATATCGCTAAGGGTCAAGAACTGATAGACCTTATTCAGAAATTGGAGAACACGTATGAACTGTAATCAGAGATATTTATATCATAAAAATGGCTGTAGATGTTTCAAGGAACAAATCAAATTCCTTGAAGGGTTACACTTAGATCTTTGACCATTTTTTGCTGAGAAAAATCTTTACCTATACAGAAATGGTTTGATTCATGATTTAGGGATTATTTTCAAATGTATACCCACCAGGCCAACATTGTAGAGAATTTCAAAGCAACATGAAATTGGAGCCAACATCTTGGGTTTATCTGGTTCAAAGAACATACTCTCAAAGTCAATATCGATGTGCTCAGTGTAAGTAAAATCATCTTTGACTTTTCTTGTCTTGACTTTTGTCTTGTCTTCTTTTTCTGGTTTTGTTGGTTTTGTCTTGACTATTGCCTTTGGTGAATGTATTTCAGGTTGCTCCCTAACCTCATTTCCTGTTACTAACATAGATTGCGGATTGAATCCTGGGTTGTAAATAGCCCTGTCAAGTGTTGGCCGTCTTCCTCCAGGATAATCAACAGGATCCTGGGAATAATCACTTATATCATATGGCAATGGTGACCTTGACATGTTGTCGTATTTGAATATTGTTGTAGATTGTCAACTTTGAGCAACTGCTTAGAGCTGATCCTTGAATATGAACTGAACACCTGGATTTTAATTATTTTAAGTCCCTGTGTAAAATTTGAAAATGTGTTTTTATTATTCATTTACTATTTGTAATGACTTGAAAAGTTATTTTAGAGATTTTTGAAAAAATGAGAACTAAAAAATGAGAACTAAGATTTTGATATGCATTTTTCTCTGAACCATTTTCATGCACTGATGAGTTCATTTCTCGCTTATTTATGAACCGATTTTCTTATTTTTTTCTGCAAAAAACATGTGAGGATGAATGCTATGCATTGGTATGAATTATAGCTATGTGTGACCTCTAAAAGTAAATTTTAATTAAAGTCTTGTTTCAAAAACCACTTTTTGAAATTAAAAAAAAAAGTTTCACATATCACATTTTGATAACATTGGGTAAGACTACAATATAAGCCATACTTTACATGGGGGCTTTAATCAAGCGCTGCTTAATCTCAGGTTGTCTGTTTTGTAAAATTGATTAATTTATTCATGTTATCATCGATAACCTATTATTGAAGTTAAGTTATAAATTTTAGGGTAGCCTTGGGAAGGGCTTGTGAATATTTTATTTACCATCCCACTAAATGAAGTTTGAGTAGGGATATAAGAAGCTGTCCATCTACTGTACTCCCAGTTAATTTCGCGGGTTCACAAAATGCAATGGAGTTCCAGGTTATAAATCCCCAGGGATTAAATTGTGAAAATATGACTTCTATATGTAGGTCGTGATGCCTCATAGACCCCATGTTATAAAATCACAAAAAGTGAAATATTTTTTCTTGTATTGGACAGATAATATATAGAGGATATCCTATCATGTTCTTTTTATTCCACAGTTAAAGTCATCATCATAATCGTCGGAAATTAATTTGATTTAATTTGAATTTTCCAAACGATCAGGCGATGTTGACACTTAGCCTCGTTTTGAGTCTGGAGTAGAAAAAATCCATAATCCATCGCACACGGCGCCGTATGTCATGGCTAAAAAACCGTATGCTATGGTTAAGTGAAAATTTGTCAAAAATATCATATTTTACCACTGATTACAAAAATACCGTTTTTATTTTCACATGTTATCCTATGAATATCATGCTAACTATGGAATAATTTCTTTTATCATATGAACTGTAAAATGAAGCCCTCTGATTGGTCAGTTCATCTGCTGTACCAATCTGTAGTGGCACCTGTAACCTTGTATTGGTACGGAATTGATCATCTCTGTAGCAATACAGAAAATATTGGTACGGAGGCGACAATCTCAGAAGCAATACTTGAAATAAAAGTGTCTACATTGAATTAATGATTTTAGAGCAAGTCGGAATATTTCCTTGGGATAATCTCTAAAGCAAAATTTATTGGCCTAATATCACACGATTAAACGTTATTGAAAATGATTTGAAGTGCAATACATGATATATTGTGCTCTCTATTTTCTTTATTGGCACTCGACTTCGTCTTGTGCAAATACAGAATCTCTACAATATATCCTGTATTGCACTTCAAATCATTCAATAACTTATGTACAAGTATATAACATATTTTAATTTAATTTTGAATTTAAAATGATGCAATTAGAAAAGTTCCCTCTTGCACATTTCATATTTATTCAAAACTTAAAGAAGTGGAGGGTATACATGTATATAACTTTTATTGACATCTTGTATCGTAACATGATTACATTAGTCATAACTATGAAAAACTAAATATCTAAACTACAAATATTAACTAAAGCAAAGGTATCCTTGGTGGTCTAATACAAACATAAAACTATTGTAACATAAAGAAACTGTACCTTTCATGTTTATTGATCCCAATTCATTTTTAACTGAGGCAAGGGAGGCAACTGCCTCACCAAAGTATTATTGAGAAATAAATTTCAATGTTTTGACTGGGAACTGTAAAAACAATGTCTCGATGTAGTTTAATATCACTTTTGACAGTTTTGCCTCCTCTATTTGAAAGCCTGTTAAAATAACATATGACAGTTTTGCCTCCCCTATTTGAAAGCCTGTTGAAATAACATATGACGGTTTTGCCTCGCCTATCTGAAAGCCTGTTGAAATAACATATGATAGTTTTGCCTCACCTATTTGAAAGCCTGTTAAAATAACATATGACAGTTTTGCCTCCCCTATTTGAAAGCCTGTTAAAATAACATATGACAGTTTTGCCTCACCTATTTGAAAGCCTGTTAAAGTAACATATGATAGTTTTGCCTCGCCTATTTGAAAGCCCGTTAAAGTAACATATGATAGTTTTGCCTCACCTATTTGAAAGCCCATTAAAGTAACATATGACAGTTTTGCCTCCCCTATTTGAAAGCCTGTTAAAATAACATATGACGGTTTTGCCTCACCTATTTGAAAGACTGTTGAAATAACATATGACAGTTTTGACTCATCTATTTGAAAGCCTGTTCAAATAACATATGACGGTTTTGCCTCACCTATTTGAAAGACTGTTGAAATAACATATGACAGTTTTGACTCATCTATTTGAAAGCCTGTTGAAATAACATATGACAGTTTTGCCTCACCTATTTGAAAGCCTGTTGAAATAACATATGACAGTTTTGACTCATCTATTTGAAAGCCTGTTGAAATAACATATGACAGTTTTGACTCATCTATTTGAAAGCCTGTTGAAATAACATATGACAGTTTTGCCTCACCTATTTGAAAGCCTGTTAAAGTAACATATGATAGTTTTGCCTCACCTATTTGAAAGCCCGTTAAAGTAACATATGATAGTTTTACCTCACCTATTTGAAAGCCTGTTAAAGTAACATATGATAGTTTTACCTCACCTATTTGAAAGCCTGTTGAAATAAGATATGACAGTTTTGCCTCACCTATCTGAAAGCCTGTTAAAGTAACATATGATAGTTTTGCCTCACCTATTTGAAAGCCCGTTAAAGTAACATATGATAGTTTTGCCTCACCTATTTGAAAGCCCATTAAAGTAACATATGATAGTTTTGCCTCACCTATTTGAAAGCCTGTTAAAATAACATATGACAGTTTTGCCTCACCTATTTGAAAGCCTGTTAAAGTAACATATGATAGTTTTGCCTCACCTATATGAAAGCCCGTTAAAGTAACATATGATAGTTTTGCCTCACCTATTTGAAAGCCCGTTAAAGTAACATATGATAGTTTTGCCTCATCTATTTGAAAGCCTGTTAAAGTAACATATGATAGTTTTACCTCACCTATTTGAAAGCCTGTTGAAATAACATATGACAGTTTTGCCTCACCTATTGAAAGACTGTTAAAATAACATTTGCCTCACCTATCTGAAATAAATGAATATATTTATTACATGTTCTTTGCAAACTTACATCAATACTGGTTAATACAAATTATTTTCAAAGTACAGGTTTAATGTTAAAATAAACAGTGTGATTTGTTCATGACTTTAAAGTGAACTAGATCCATATGGCAATAATGGAATGTCAAGACAAAAGTCTGACTCAGAAGCGATAGATCCACCATGTCCCCAGCAGCCATATTTAAACCCAGTTAATACTTTATCCAATGCATATTTGGCAGCCTCTAGTGGTATCTCTCTTGGGAAATGCACTGCTGGGAACACTTTGCTTTCCTTGCTTGACCTTTCTAGGTGAATCATGTGACTAAGAAAGTGACCAATCAGAGAATTGATATCCAAATCACCATAGTAATCAATGTCATATACATCCCCAAATTTTGTTGAATATTGTGTTCCAAAACTTAAAGATTGGATTCTGTTGTTGCTTTTTGATTTCAGGATAAAGCATGTGCTTATCCTTTCAATGATCTCTCCGATATTATCAAGTTTTGTCACATTGAAACACTCCCAATTTACGATAACTGTGCCAGTCGGAAATAAATGCTCCCAATGTGTACCATTCTGCAGAACATCTTTAGTTTCATCCATTGTTAATGGAAGAATGTTACCAATTTGGTCAGCTGCAGGACAATTTGGGATTATATTTGTGTGGAGTAGATTTGAAAGAGTCTCTGTGGTGACTTGGTAGCTCACATAGTGCTGGAAATAGATTTTGTAATAAACAGGGTAGTCAAAAAACGGAAACTTTGCATTTTCCTTATATTTGTCACTTTAAAAAATTACTTTCTGATCTTTCACACATTTGTACATCATTCAATTTCCCACCACCCTACCATATTTCATGACCATCAGACTGATAGTCACAATTTTACAGCACTCTGAATAACATGCTTCAAGTTTGGCCATCATCGCGCTGTAGGCAAAACAACACAGTTATCAATGACCCGAATAGATTCCTCAGCAGGGTTGACCTGAATGACAGGGATGATCTGACTTTTGAGGTTTGCAATTGTCCTGAGGTCATTCTCCTATACTCTGTCTCTGCCATATCCCCACAGGTAGGGACATTTTAGACGACGAGTACAGGTTTCCCGAGAGCGCAATAGTGGCCACTGGGGCATATTCTTTAAAGTGCTGAAATATTGTGACTATCAATCTGATGGTCATTAAATACAGTAGGCTGGTGGCAAATTGAATGATGTACAAATGTATAAAAACTCAGGGAATTATTTCTTAAAGTGACAAAGATATGAGGAAAATGGTATAAGGGTTTCCTTTTTTTGACCACCCTGTACATGAATGTATATTTGTACTAAAACGAGGGATTTCATTAGTAGCCTTCCTGTTTAACCAAAATTGCATTTTGTTTTGAATTAGAATTTTGCAACTGTTTCCATGTTAAAATTATAATTGTCCCATTTTACCTGTTTTAGTATATTTTCCCCATTATCTAGGTTATATAGCTATTTTAAGTATACTTTTTGCATAAGATTTTCTTAATTTGAAACATTTGATTTTTATACACATTTTCACAAGAATTCATGAGCTGAGAGTAGGCTTGGCAATTTAATACATCTTTCATTAATTAAAAGATGAGGGAGGTGTGAACATTGTGGTATTTTTGACCACATTCATACAGTTTTGGTACATTTGTATGTACTCCATTTACTGATTAAGTACAGAGATTTTAGCGATTGCATAATAATCGTAATAATTCATTGTTTCAAACATACCGTTCTGAGAAGTATTCTCACAAAGGGATCTTCTTCCAGTTTCGCAAGAGTCTCAAGTGTTTCCCTCTTTACATTCTTCATTAGTTTCACCTTGGGCCAATTCTCTTTGATAATCCTCCTTATGTAGTCTCCGGTGAAATAAGGAAGACTCTTGCCTGAAATTAAGGATTTAAAAACACTTTCATTAGCATAATGCAATTTGGCTGTGAATATAAAAAAGAAAATGTTCTTCTATTTTTTTTATTTATTTCACCTGGAATGAGAGGAATTTCCTATATTTAAATAACAAACTTATATCTTGGAATTACATGAATTAAAAGAATTAAATGTTCTTTAGGAAATTCATATATTGAAAAAAAACTTCTTGGAATTGACCAAGGTTGAAATATTACCTTCATGAAGAGTATGTGTCCTGCCAGCTTCACTCAGTATGGTCTCTCCATTGTCAATCAAATGCAGAATTACAAAGCAAACCTAGAAATGAAATCTTTCATTACTTGATTTGGTGAATCACTAATTCTGTATGAGATCCACAATGTTGAAAATTAAGTCTGTTGTAGATAATCTTAACTCCTAAATAAATAAATGGCAGAATAATCAGATCTAGCCAGCTATCTGTATACTATTTTAGTTTTTAGAATACTTCCATCTCATATCATTCCTTCTTTTGTCTACATTCAAAAAATCATACATAACATGCATTTATACTTATTATCCCATAAAACGAAGTCTGGAGGGATAAATAAAACACCTCCGTCCATCTGCCTGTCTGTCTGTATGTCTCTGTCCGTCTGTTCAGGCGATAACTCAAATACTACTCGTATTTTGTTCATATTTTGTACATATGTGCCCTTTGTCTGTAGAAGTTCTGCTCGAAACTCAATTTTCAAAATGGCCACTTGTTTCAAAATGATGGCTATTTTAGTGCTGATTTTACAGTAATTTAGGTACAAATGTAAAACTGTTATATTTATATGTTTTCAAGGTAAAAAAGTTTGATAAGACATTAATAAAGGTTGAAATGTAGATATTTAGGAAACACATGGCAGCCATCTTGGAAAATAATGACTATTTTACGATTTTTGCCCTAACTTGAAAAGTAGAGGAGCGATTTTATTCACATTTATTATGTGATGACTTATAAGCATCGTACACTCTTTTGACACTTTGGCTTTTAGGCGTTTGAAAATGGCTGACATTTTACGCATGTCATTTATGTTTTTTTTTACTATAACACGAAATGTAATAAAGCGATTTCGTTCACATATGATAACTTATAAGCATGTCACACTGTTTTAGGACACTTTGGCTAGTACGTGGTCATTTTGAAAATGGCCGCCATTTTTACCTGTTATCTTACATTTCTACTATTTTATTGCGTTGTATTCACAGCTGACCTAAGAACTGTTTCCCATCAAAACACTACAGCAGACGCAAGTCAACATGCGGCCACCGTGGGACTGTTCTGTGGTCTGGCAGTTTTTCTATGGGGACCGCAGAAATGAACAAATATTATTATATTTTAATTTATCTGAGGTCAAATAATGGCCGTCGTACGACAATTGTGACTGGGGTGTTACTAAAATTGTAGTGAAGCAATTTTGTAAAGAGGACAGTCATGGTCATTTGATGGGATTTGCCACACCTTGGTATTGCTGTTGTCTAGTCATTTTTGGGCACAGTCTGATCTAAATTACATGTAAGTGAGAAATTACATGATGCAGCCCAAATACTGAATCAACTACATGTTTTTTTAAATTTTTTAAATCTTTGAAATTTTAGAAAATTGTCTGAAACAAAAATGGCGATCATAAAAAGGAAAATAGATCGCTTTTCAATTCAGTTTTTTTTATTTTTTGTTTTTCAATGAATGATACCAAATTTTAAAGATTGTATCATTTAGAGCAATATATTAGGCACAATTTCTAAAAAATTAAAAGATTATTCTCTTCAGTGACTTTTCCTTAGCTCCTACTTTTAGCTATTTTTCAGTCACATTTTCAGAGGGCTGAAAAAGTTATTTCATCATGTGGAACTAGTTTAACTGACTGGAGATCAAAACAGAACTCTGATATCTCGGTTAAAAAAATGGCATGGTTATGTCACTTCCTGTTTTGTCATTTCCTGTTAACTACCATGGCACCTTAACTGCCTCATCTACATTTCATGGAAAAATATTTTTAAACCATTTGTCCAGAAGGACTCAGAAAATTAATTTTACAGCCGATGAGGATTACTATGTAGTGGTCGGACTCGCCTGAAAATCTCCACTCGAGTGGGCCATGAAAAACCACGATTATATTCGCGATTTGACTTAGTTGAGTTACTTCCGGTTTCAGTTTCCCAAGTAGCGGCCGAATTAATAAATTTGATCAAGTCTTTCAAGGGCCTCTATACTTTTTATCGCACTTTGAAAAAGTGCTATATTGTCGTCGTCTTGTGCTGTTCGGCGTGCGGGCGGGCGGCACATAAACCAAATCTTGTCATCAAATTTCCAGGATAACTGCTTACCTGTTCAACTTGAAATTTTTACAGATGCAAGAGCAGACTAGTACCAAGATCTGATTAGGTTAAGGGGATGCTGGGTAAACTATGTGGCGGCCATTTTGAATTTTTCAACAAATCTTGTCATCAAAATTCCAGGAAAACCACTTATCCGTTCAACTTGAAATTTTTACAGATGCAAGAGCAGACTATTGCCAAGATCTGTTTAGGTTTTGGGTATGCTGGCTGAATTACATGGTGGCCATTTTGAATTTTTCAATTTGGTGGCCATATTGAATTTTTCAACTTGCTCCAAATTGACCAATTTTTTTTTTAAAAACATCTTCAAGTTCTCAGAAGTTCAAATCTGACCTTAGATTTCAGATTTGACCCTTCATTCACCTTCAGTGACCTTGAAAAGGTAAAAAAAGTTGATTTTCTAAATTGATATTTTGGATTTAAATTTATGTCAGCTTAATTACAAAACACCTACTGAGGTCTGAAAAGTGAAATTTTCAAGGTCGAAGGTCAAGGTCATTAAACTAGGACACAGATTTGACCTTTCATTCACCTTCAGTGACCTTGAAAAGGTCAAAAAAGTTGATTTTCCAAATTGATATTTTGGATTTAAATTTTGAAATTTTCAAGGTCGAAGGTCAAGGTCATTAAACTAGGTCACAAATGATGTTATCGACGTTTCTCAAAGTTTGAGACTACAAATCAATTCTTGTCATCAAAATTCCAAGAAAACCGCTAACCTGTTCAACTTGACATTTTTACACATGCAATAGCAGACTAGTGCCAAGATCTGATTAGGTTTAGGGCATGCTGGGTAAACTATGTGGCGGTCATTTTTAATTTTTCAACAAATCTTGTCATCAAAATTCCAGGAAAACCACTTATCTGTTCAACTTGAAATTTTTACAGATGCAAGAGCAGACTATTGCCAAGATCTGATTAGGTTTTGGGTATGCTGGCTGAATTACATGGTGGCCATTTTGAATTTTTCAACTTGCTCCAAATTGACCAAATTGTTTTTTTAAAAACATCTACAAGTTCTCAGAAGTTCAAATCTGACCTTAGATTTCAGATTTGACCTTTCGTTGACCTTCAGTGACCTTGAAAAGGTCAAAAATTTGATTTTCTAAATTGATATTTTGGATTTAAATTTAGGTCAGCTTAATTACAAAAGACCTACTGAGGTCTGAAAAAGTGAAATTTTCAAGGTCGAAGGTCATCAAATTAGGTCACAAACAATGTTTTCTAAATTTTCCCAAAGTTCAAGATTACAAATAAATTCTTGTCATCAAAATTGCAGGAACCGCTAACCTTGTCAACTTGAAATGTTTACAGATGCAAGTGCAGACTAGTGCCAAGGTCTGATTAGGTTTTGGCCATGCTGGGTAAATTGCATGGTGGCCAGTTTGCTCTTCTAAGTGCGATATTTATCACTGTGTGTCTTGTTATTGTCTAAATCGTATTGCACATCCCTATTCACCTTTCCCCAAAGTCCAAAGTGTACTCATTTGACCGCTGCGCTGATTGGTCGGTGAAAATCGATGACGTCAAAGCAGGGCACTTTTCGCGCGAAAACTCCATTTACTATTAGATCGCCCAATGAGTAAAATAGATCTCATCTAAAATGATATCAAAACTAATTGAAATTTATTTTTCTGACTTTTTTGTCTTCGGGTGTGTCTTAAATACACTACCCGGTAGATGAAACCATAGGAATAATGTGAGTGATATAACATTGGTTAAAATACATTGATGAAATATTAAGGGCAGGTTTAGTAATGAGTAAGGTAATGTTGTTCAGTTTCAAATTGGCTCAGTATAGCGAATATGGTATGTTAGTATACTTTAAGGAAAAGAGAGCTTGAGCGACTTTCAATTATCATTTGGCATAAGCGTGTCTGATTTTGGCATACACATGTCGCATTCTGGCATAATCGTTCATATCATAAGGAAAAGTAAGTTTGCTTCCACACGAGGTACTTGTTCCTTGTCTTGAATGTAATTGTATCCATGTAACTAATCGTGTATCTTAAGAAGTATGATGGGATATGTCGGGCTCGTTCCAGACATTATGTAAACAATCTTCTCACAGAATCTCTTCCACATTGCATTCCAAAGGAGGTTGATCTATGCAATGTAATTCTTAGCAGTTTGTGTGTAATCTATTTTGGGAAATCTTCTACAGAAGTGGGAAAGTACCTCTTGTGGAATTCGGCTGTAAATGGTGAGGCAAAACGTCTTGAGAAACAGAATCTATTACCTTAGAGGCAAAGCGCAGTTTGAAAGTCAATATCAGTGTAGTAGACTAAATGTCTGGGTATAAAATGTGAACAAATATGACAGGGGCCACATGATGGATTGCGGGTTTTAAGAAAGATAAGAGCAGGTTAGCGAGAGCAAGATAGAAAAGTAAGATGGGTTTGGAAAGTGGAGGAAAGTTTAAGATCTGAAGAAATGGAATTGTGTAGAACTTTGTACAATTAGAAATTAGAAAATAAAGTGAAGAAGAAAATTATATAAAGTCTCGGCCTTAATGTTTAGGAACTTTAGATCCGTTTACCAATTAGGAACACCAATGACATTGATCATAAAAGACTTTAAGTATAATGAACATTTGGTCAAGAAGAACATTGGTGGTCATTTTAAATTAACGGACATTGGTGGCAGCGGTGTCTTGCGAACTCACATAAAGTAAAGGACTATGGATACTTAGAAGATTAAAATAATTCGACAATTTGGAATATTGATTGGACAGATGTAAAACTTTAAATTTGGAAAGGATTTTGGACATACATAATATAATATGGATATATTCGACAGTAATTTTTGGATATTTCTTTCAAAGGAAATAAACATGGATTAATGATATGGAATTATCCTAGAAACTTAATACAATGGTAGGTGCAGTAATTTTGATTTACATTTGAACTTTTATTGACATTAAATGCTCTGAAAATTATTGACATTAGCAT